ACAAGGAGAGGAGGACAAGATGACGACAATAGCTTTGACGACGGAAAGGAGGATGTACCACGACGAGACATTGTATGCTCGCTCTAGACTGTTCGTATCTACGTCGTTTTGTAGGTTGAACGGCTCGCTTGAAGTGCCGCCAAGATCTGGCCTGGGACCCCGAAGCAACATTGAAACTTCGCTCGGCACGTCTTTGGTTGGAGTCCACGAACAATGTTGCCACCATGCTTATGGACGGCACTTGGATGGCACTCGTCGTACACATACTGAGAGCTCGCTCGAAGCGCTCTATCGCTATTCAGTAGCCTTACAGCTTCCAGGACAAGCTCGCCAGCCTTACTGAAGCAACTTCTGCCTCACGATGCCTCCAGTCGACCCCGGTGGTTGTCGATGCCTTTAGTGGTATACTCAATTCTGACAATACATCGCCAACCAAAGTAGATACCGTTGATTGTTCCCAGACAAGGGCATTCCAAACGACGGAACATAATACAGCTGACTGCCAATCACCTTCCACCAACATTCGAGTCTTTCCTTAACCAAACGTGAACATGTTTACGCTGGCAAGCGTGCCTGACCTTCCCATCTTGGAGCATGTATCGTGGTCTCGGTGCCACAGCGATGGCTGCAGCCTTTTTTTTGGTCATGTAGAAAGCCATAATCGTGCTGTGGAAGACCACTGTCCTTTTCCCATGGGATGGGCTTGTCGTGGACACCTGATATTGGCGAGAGAGCACGCCATGATGAAGGCCGGGCCCACTATGGTAGTTGTCCCTCCCTAAATGCGAACCCCATCCAAGAGCAGCTTGTGCATTCCGGTCGACTTGCCGCATCATTCCATCGAAAACAGGCACAATCAGGCATCTGTCCATCCATCCAGTACACGGAGTCCTATATGATGCAAGCGAAAGCTTCAATTTTTTTTCTCTAGACTCCGAAAGAAATATACAGCATCCGTCACCCATAGTCGACAAGATCGGTTCTCGACGCGTCAAAACACCATCAGCTGCCCACGATGTTCTGGCAGCGACAGACAGGTGCCACATTTAGGACTCGAATAATTTCGGTGACGACTTATTGGGGAGAAGAAGGAAGAGGGAAGGAGAGCGCAAGATACGGCGAGAAAGGGGATGCATGATGGTCATCATATACCCAGATTTCAGGAACTGCTCCCAGCTCGCCGGGCGGGCACCTGCATACACTGTTATGACTTACAGTAGAGCGGATTGCCACCGTCGTGAATGTCTCCTGATATCGGCGACGGCATGACCCTGCGGGAGACTACCTGGACAAGTAGTCCAGCTGATCGGTACAAGAGACGAAGAAAGTCTGTTACAAGCAGGCCGAGCGGAAAGTCACGAAGAACTTGACATGTAGCGAAGGCGCTAGGCGAGCCAGATGGGAGAAACACCGTGGAAAGACGCGAAAAATACAGGATTTTGGCTCAAGATTGAGGCAATGGGCACTACAAAAGTGTCGAGACGTAGCTAGAGGTAACGGTGATGTGATTCCCATTGGCTTTATATTGTTTTCCAGGTCGTGTAAACACTTTACGATTGCCGTCAAAGGATTGGATAGGTTCTGTACACCCAAGGACGTGGTCAACCGTTGAAGATCGGCAGACCTCCACCGTAGATCGCCAGGACGAGGAAGTGGGGATATGGGCGGTCGGGGCTATGGACACAGGTGGACAACAAATTGAGACCGGGCGTTCAAAGACAAGTTTCAATATATTCGTGCTGGCAGACGCACAACACAAGACTGAGCCCAGGGGGCACCAGAAAGCAGTGTGACTTCAGATTCTGCTCGTAAAACGGATGCGTCGCCATGGAAATTGTAGGGAGCTAATACGTCACAGTGTTCCCCCCTGCGCGAGAAACTGAGAGCGACTGGGAGGAGCGACCGAGAAGAAACCGACGACAAACCAATAAAGAGCTGACGCGGACATTACAGGCAGTAGACGGATATGAGGATCAGCAAGAACACGGGCGGGGGCAGGTCGACGATCCTGGAAACCGTAGCTACTTGGACTCGGATGTGCATATCCACAATATCGCGGCCTTCAAGGCGATATGTGCACTAGAGATCCCTTCGTGACAGAGCTAGAGCAGCGTGTACAGAATATAGCCTCTTAAGTGTGGACTTCACTTTCTTCGGCACCATTTAGTATCACGAGAGTTTGTGTGCCAGAGAATACCGGGGGATTATGGTCGTGGATGGTTTCGAGATCGCGGCTGGTTGGCTATTGTGGCTGGTGATGGTCCGCAGGACAGTAAACAGATTAGTCTTCCGCAGCAAACAATGCCGTAGGCGGTCATATATTAGTGGCAGTACTCTGACGGAAATCCACAGGAAGCTTTGAGGTCGCTGGTGGGATGATTCTGACGGGCAGGCGATGAGCGTGAGGGGCAGCAAGAACTTGGTTGCTGTGGGCTGCAGCTGATAGACGAAGGGATTCATATCGTTTGTTCGGAGGTACTCATGGCCATCGATGGGCCGAGAACGAGACTATCGTGGTTCGTGTTGGCGCAGTATAGAATGACGGAGGGCGGAACACATTTTATCTTCCTATTGACAAAAACCGTCAGCAGAGCGAGGCGTAGGAGGCTGAATCGAGATGCGATGAGTCGCGGGACAAAACAAAATGGCGTGAATCCTGGAGAGCATGCCCAAGAAGCCGTTTTTGTTGACATATTGGTGTTTTCCGAAGCGGTAGGACTTGTCCAAGGTGAACAAAGGTGAATGTTGCAAATGTCGACAGGTGTGTTTTGCTGAGGGTTGGGCAGACATATGGGTGGTTTGTTTTGGTAGTCGAGATAAAGGAACGAATACAACGAGAAGGGAAGACTACAGGGATGTAAGCAGCTCAAAATTAAAACAAGAGAAGGAAAGAGAAACTGGCAAATTAAACCATCAGGGAAGGGGCGCATGCGTAATAATGGTGGAAGACTCAGAGACGGCAGTCGCTCCTTCCACATTTACTTTTGCAACCCTTGCCAATACAGCTGGCAACATAAGGCTGCCGCCAAAACTGCAGTCACTGTTTCCTCAATTAGAGGCAAGTTCAGTACTCCGCTGGAGGAGATAAATGCTATGGCAGAAAGAACAACTTTCCAAGGACCTGTAAATAACGACTGCACTCTCGGTTGCTAATCAGTGCAAAATATTATTAAAACACCACCCGCAATTTACGTAGATACAGATACGCTGTAACCGCCTCCATCAATCGACAAATTCGGCAGAGGTAAGATGTAGCCTGAGGCTGCAATCGTTTCGACTCGTATGCAAAGGGAGGCACGGCTCTCCAGAGATCAGAAATGCCTTGCCACTACACTTGCCCGTCTCCAAGGCTTAAGTCCTCTTCGTCTAACTTTTATTGGAGCAACCGCGTCGAAGCAGAACTTTTTCGTTATGTCGTCGACAGGTAATTACAACTGGATATGCTTCCATTGAATCAAAATGAGGCTGTCAGTCTGGAAGAACAGCTTGCTGGCTATCAAATAGAACAGTCGTGATTTAGAAGATACTTTTCCACATTGCTCGGCAGTGCTGCTCTGCTTGTTGTTTCACAAGAAGTCGGACTTCTCGTAAAGAGAACACTGTCAGTCGATGTCCTCTGCCGGAAGTGTCGCTCGCTTTGGCTTTTTTAGAATCGTTGTTATCGGTGAGGCAGTGGGGATCCCTTTGAGGTTGGTCGGCATGACGGTTTGTCGTTTAGCGCTATCTCTAGAGATACCACTTCTAGAATCTCGCTAGTATTGTCGGTATTGTAGAGCAGTCTCAGTAAGAGCTAGAGCATATCCTCATATTGTCCTTGGAAATCTGTAAGCTGCGATCAGCACTGCCTGAGACCCAAGTGTGCCGTCCAGGGTTCGAGTAAACATGAAGGGCAGGGGCCCAAAAAGAGCCGAAACAAGGACTAGCGGGAATGCCACGATAGTATTTGAGCAAAGCTAGACAGTCTCACGCATAGCGGTGGGAAGTCGCAAATCCATGGTCGAGCTTCCTTGGAGGCCGTGCTGTCCTGAAAATGGAACTGTGTTTGGTGGTGATGATTGGGTCGATTCAAAGCAACATGGCTTTGGTCATTGCTGTCATGTAGTCGCGATATACCGCAGAATCGAAAATGGCTAATCGACCTCGAAATAGCCCGGCAGCAGCATGCTCAGAGCAAACATATCTATCATAGTGAGCCGACAGGAAATTCCTTTTGGTTCGTGCTAGAAACGTGGCGTGCAAACCAATAAGTCGGCAAGTGTCAATCTGGCGGTAGCCCGAGAACTAGAAACCGCATCATGATAGAAGAGTGTCCGAGATGTCTCAAATATGCAATAGAAAAGCTGCTGCACAGCCATCTGAGCCGGATACGTCAAGCAGACGCTGTAATAACTTTGGTCGGTATCAAAAGCACTTGCAAAGGGTGATGGTAATGTTCACGTACCTCTACAGCAACTCGAGATTTTGGACGAGTTAAATTATAGACAGACGGGCTGGGGAGTTGCGGACAGACGTGTATTAAAGTAGATGTAGAGCATCCGGATAGACGGAGATATAGAGCTGCCATGCCCGAAGAAAAGGAAACGGACAGCTGTTCGGACGCGCTTTGCAATATTAACGAAGGGGAGGAACTAAAACAGAGAAAAAAATGAGAGAGAGAACAGGGGAACATGAAAACAGCTGTGGTAAACAGGTAAGTGGATTGACGCACATTTGTTTGGGTGCTTAAACAACCATATCGAAAAGTGACTTGCGCTTTCCGCATTTGGAAATATATGTGTACAGCAAAGGTTCCTTCCCCATTTCCAAAAAGTCACGAATGAAATCGGTTAGTCAGATAGCTTATTACATTAAAAGGACAACATCATTTTGCTTCTGCTATTCTCTCGAGACTATAAGCTATGCAATACATGTTTATTATCTATCTTGCCAGTTTACTGCGGCTCGCTGGCCACCAGCCTCTATCGGCCCTCCTTTTGAGCGTACGTCACTACATCTCCACACTACGCATCTGTGGCAGGAGCTTTCTTCCCGAAAACCATTTCCAGCAGCTTCTCCTTCTCCGCGCTTTTCTTGGCCAGCTCCCAGAATGCGCCTGTGCCATCCGAACGTTCCTCGTCTGGCTCCAGCTGGCCAGCCTCAGCCACTTCCTTGGCCCTGGCGGCTCGCCTCTCGTCCAAAGCCATGCCGCGCTCCATAAGTTCCCGAGGTGTGCCCATCTCAGCAACGCGACCTTCCTGAAGAACCAGCAGACGATCGAAATCGACAACTGTGCTCAAACGGTGAGCAATGACGAGCACCGTGCAGCCACCCGAGGCAAACTCCCGCCGGAGCGACTCTTGGATAGCACTGTCCGTTCCGCGGTCCACGGCCGAGGTGGCCTCGTCCAGTACGACAATCTTTGGCCGCGTCAAAAGAGCACGCGCGAGGCAAACGAGCTGGCGCTGGCCCTGCGAGAGGTTGCCGCCGCCCGTGGAAATGGGCATCGCTAGGTTCGTGAAGCTGTTGACTTCGTCGTCAATGGCGCTCTTAGTAACACTATCAACGTCGCTGGAATTGCCGTTGCTACCGCCCTGTGCTGTGGTCTCGCTGCTCTCTCCTTCGGGTGTCCTTGAGCCCACGTCGGTTGCAGAGTCTGAAGCAACAACCGTCCCATCGATCGGATTTGCCGCGTCTTCTTCGATGGTAGTCTCCTCACCATTTGACGGCAGCAGGCGGGCGACCTCCTCACCCGTGTGGTCTTCCACCAGTTCAGCCCTAGCAACAGGGCCGACAATAGAGCCAGCTGCAGCCCCAGAAGGTTGCGCGCCGTCCTCGGCCTGGGGCTCGACAAGATGGACACGCTTCAATACGTGGTGCAGGTCATAGTCGTCAATGGAGTCCTCAACGTCGAGGTTCGAGCGCAGCGTTCCTGAGAATAGGAACGGATCTTGGGGAATAATAGCCAGCCGGCTACGGAGTTGGTCTAGCTTGAGTGTCGAGATGTCGATGTTGTCGATCCGAATGGTGCCTTCCTGCGACTCAAGAAGACGGAAGAAAACGGCAGCAAGAGTCGACTTTCCCGCACCAGTACGTCCCACGACACCGATGCGCTCGCCAGGTTGCACTTCGAAATTGAGCTCCTTCAAGACAGGGGGCAGGGATGGTCCGTAGCTGACGGTCAGGTTCTCCACCTCAATGTGTCCCTTGGTCGGCCACGCCGCAGGCACATCGCGGCCACCTTCGGACTCGGTATCGATATCGATGTACTCGAGGATTCGTTCCGCCGCGTTGAATCCGAGCTCGATGCTGGTAACATTGGCAAGTAGCCGGGATAGAGAGCTTGTGTAGCGCAAAGCGAATACAAGTCCGAAGCCCGCCAAAGATGCTTCGACATTTCCAAAGACAATGCAACTGGCCACGGCCGTTACGAACACGGCGCCAAACATGCCCATGCGGAAATTCATCCACCGAGCTAGAAGCTGCAGCGCCCAGCTTGCCTTGGCTGAATTATCGATGAGGCCGAAGACACGGTCCATGTAAAAGTCCGTTCTGTGGAAAGCGCGAATGGTAGACAGGCCCGTTAAGACGGAGCTAAACTGGTCATACACGGGCGAGTGCGCCACAGAGTTGATGCGCTTCGCTTCGCGTGCAGCAGAGATATACACACTGGCGATACGAGCATACAAGACAAGCAAACCAATACCGAAGATAATAATGAAGGGCGACACAGACACGCTATGGCAGTTAGCAAAGCAATGACAAATGAGAAACGGCAGAGGATCAAAGGAATGTCGCTAACCTTGCTGCAATAATCACTACAAGTCCAATGGCACTCTGAAGGAACGAACTCAAATCACTGGCGAGACGCCGGTCCACAGTGAAAGTGTCGGAGGTGAAGCGGTTCAGGACACGGCCAGTAGGCGTCTTGTCGATCCAGCTAAGAGGAGCGCGGAGGATCGAGTGTGTCATCTTCTCGAACAGAACCCGCGAGGCACGCAAGCCCGTAAACATGATAAGCAGCTGCTGCGCGATACTAACAATTAGGGTGGAGTAGTCAAACAAGACATAGGCCGTGATCCAGAAAATAATGTTTTTGCGGTAATTAGCGTCATCATCAGCCGGAACTTGTTGCAAGACTGTCGGCAGGAACGTGGCCGCCGGGGCGCGAATCTGCCAATCCCACTCAGGCTCAGCAATTTGAGTATATAGCCGATGACTAGCAATGCTCGGGTCGTTATCGTAGCTAGCTGAAAGCTCCTTGAGGGACCATGTGGTGGCAACGCTAAGCAGCCGACTCGAGATCAGCAGAGCGAGAATGAGCAGCCAGAGGAGCAATGACTTGCTAGCACGGACATACTCCCGGTATACTCGGGACTTGACACGGCCAGTCTCACGGTCCTCAGAATCCTTTTTCTTGTCATTGGCAGCCTTGTCACCGTCACCATCACCGTCCCCTGTCGTTGCTCCACTGCTATCTCCTCCTGCTGGTTCGTCTTCCTGGGCAGGAGCAAAGGTTTCCGCGGGCAAGCCTTTATTTTGGTAGTGCTCGATCTTCTCCACTCCCTCAACACGGCCACTATCGAGCCGTACAAGATAAGAAGCGTAGGCCATGCACATTTCGGGGTGGTGGGTGGCGAGAATTCGTGTGCGGCCTTTAGCAAGGTCACCGGAAAGCGCCTCGTTCACAATGGTCCGGCCGACGTGGGTATCAACAGCACTCAATACATCATCGAGAATGAGGATACCAGCGCGAGAATATAGAGCACGTGCGAGAGCAACGCGCCAACGTTGCCCACCGGAAAGCGTGACACCCTTGGGTCCAACTTCGGTTGCGTCGCCATCAGCCAGAAGCTCAATGTCCTTGGCTAAGGCACAGGCTTGGAGCACTTTGCGGTACCGGACTTCCCGGAACGGCATACCAAAAAGAATGTTGTCTTTGAGTGTACCACTTTCCACCCACGGTGTCTGCGACACAAACGCCGTGAGCGACGGCAGGACCCAATCGCCTTCGTTGATGTTCTGGTTTTCGATCACCGAGACAGGCGGGGCCTTTGGGACTCGCACAGTACCAGACAACAGCTTCACCTCGCCAAGGATGGCGGCCAGGAGAAGGCTCTTGCCAGCACCAGTCTTGCCAGTGATAAGACTCAACTCTCCGTTGGGGAACGCGACATCGATGTTGCGCAGGATCGAGCGCGTCTCTTCTGGCACAACAGTCGTACCGGCATTGTCTGTAACAGACGATTGTTCAGGGGGAGGAGAAGCAGGTGCTGCGGCTAGTGCGGAAGATTCGCCGTTGGCCGGGACGTCGGAATCCTCAACGCGAGGCCACCGCACAGTGGCGTCGGCAAAGACTACGCTGTCACCTTGGTCGGCGACAGGTGCTTTGTCGGGTTGGTTGAGGTACTTCTCAACACGAACACAGCTTGTCCAAGCCTCCATGAGGTACACCTGGATCAGAGGTAGGTATCCGATGGCCTCGTCCAGTTGGTCAAACAAGCCAAGAGAGGCGAAGATCACCGAGGCACGAACGTGGGTCGGTGTTGTAAACGTGTACACTGCAATAGAAATGCTAGAGAGCATAATGGGTCCCGTGTTGATAATAAAGCTGAGTGAGCACATCCACTTGGCCACACGCCAAAACTGCCGCAGCTCTTCGTTGCGGCTCTGGATGATCTTTTCTTCGTACAGCTGCTCAAGAGCCGAATATTTGATCTGGCGCATACCCTGCAACGCCTCAGTCAAGACGTGGGCCTTGGCATCGCGGTACTTCATGAGGCCAAACTGGATCTTTGCGTACTTCTTAGACATCACATGGCTGATGGGGTAGACCAATAGAGCGCATGAGAAGCCAGAGAAAAACGCCTTCCAACCAAGAAACTTTATCAAGACGGAGCCGGCAAGGATCAGCTTAAAAATAGCGAGAGGAAACCAGTAGTTGTATGTGCAAAAAATCATCATACGGCCGCTGTACAAAATTAGAAAATAAATCGCAGTTGTTAACAGCATCCAATTTGAAAACTGACCTGTCGAGTTTCATGTGGTTCACAACAGATTGGCGGACGTCGCCCTCTGGCTTTTTAGGTCCTTTCTTGTCCCTGTTTCCTGTCTTTCCATCGCCTTCGGCAACTTTGTGGCCGGGGTCAGCAGCTTCGTCAAGACGCAGAGCCTTCTGGAAAATCAGAGTCTGGACCAGCGAGTTCAGTGGTGCCTCAAGACGACTCGACGTGAGCCAGCGTTGCGCGCTGCCAATCCAGATCTGAAGGACCAGGCTGACACCAATGCCAATAACCCAGCCCCAGAGTTTTGGGTTGGCAGCCTTGTTGCCCCCTTCGTGGCTATCCAGCCCCTCAAGGAACTGGTAAATGATAAACTGTGGGAACAGGGCCAAAACCGAACGAACGAATGTCAGTGCCCACTGCAGGAGCAACGGCCACTTGTACGCCACCAGAAGCTGCCACCAGAGACGGCCTTTGGGACCACCGGCACTGCCACCACGGGCGAGATAGCGTTCGTTCACACAGGATGAGCGAGTGTTGCCGTCAAGATTGGGTAGGTCCTCAAGCTCCAGTTTCCGCGCGTTGGCAATGTCAAAAACGATTTTATTCCAGTCGAAGCTGAAGCGAGAGAGAATAGATACGGCATGTTGCTGATCAACTAGGTCGCCCTTGTAGTAGACGTCGGGGCGATGGGGAAACGTTGCGAAGCATAAGGTAGCGACCAGAGCAGCAAGTACTTGCACGAGCCAGCAGACGGCCGTGCCAGTGGCAAGCCCGTCTTCAGCAGCCACATTTTGCCCAGCCAGGATGTGCACAATATCGTAGCCGTAGCGGTATCCGAGAGAGCCGACAAGCAGGGCGCTCGACGAAAACGCGATGATAGAAAGCACCCACCGCTGGTCGTACTGTTCTTTGGCCGGGGTGCTGGCCAACTGGAGGCAGATGAGGGCCCATGCAGGGACGTCTGCCCAGCTGTCGAACGCGAAAAGCCAAGGCCGGTCTAACGATGCGGGTGGTGCGGTAGCAAGTGTCAACAGTATCGCCGATGTGATGGATGCTGCAAGGCCGAGATACAGGCTGAGATATGCGCCAAGACGAGGCTGCCGATCAGAAAATGCTGCCACAGACGCCTCAGTAGCTTTGCCGTCTGCACTCTCAAACAGCTGTGGGACGACCTCATATGCCCCGCCGCCTTGCGCGCCGCGGTTGCGCCGCGCAAATTGGGCTTTGGTCCAAAGCTGGCGGAAAGATGGGAGCGACAGTAGGAAGACAAGGCCAAGGTTGCTGGCACCCACGATAGGGTGCAGCAGCGCCCAGCTTTTGTCGTCCATTGCTGCTACCATTTACGACCAAGCCTGACGCAATTGAGACGAGTCGTGTGGGACGTCGCTTCGGTGACTGTATGATGGTTTGAAGATTGTAAAGAGTGAACTTTGGTGGCGAACGGCCTCTTCTGCGGAATAGTCGATACCGAAGGTGTGCTCGAGCGAGGCGCGTGTGCGGTTCGGGTGCCTAGTGGCGGGCACTGCGGAGCTAGACACTGTAAGAAGGCCGGCTGAAACCCCAAACTCAACAACGCAGAGTGGCATAAGGCTTATGCAAGACCCATTGACGCAAATGATCCACTAGCGTGGCTGTCTGGGTCGATCGGAAACCGACTTGACAATGGAGAAATGGAGAAAACGACTAGGCGAGACTGCGACAAAGGCTCGACAGCCCCAACTTATAAGTGCGGCAGCCGAGTCGGCCGCCTTGCCAAGGTCTGATCTTGGGCTGTGGCTTCGTCCAGACACAACAACACTCTGGTTCCACGGCGTCTTGGGTGTTGAATAGAACAGACGGTGAGCGGATGGCCAGGCCACCTAAGCGAAGAATTTTTGGAGTTGCAAGGCAGCCAACAAAACAGACAAATGCAAGGACACAACGCTGCATGTCAAAAGGCAAAAAGGGAAGCAAGAGATAAGAAACGGGAAAGAGCACTCACGAGACCTCCATTCTTTCTGCGGAAGGCACACGGGCCACTACAAGAGTTAGACGCTGGAAGATTGTCCGCATCTACCTGCGGACAAAAGTGGGTCCTCTATGACCGCCTTGCTCGGCGAACAATCCAAAACTCCGAGCATGCCCATTCGTCAAGGTCCCTGGATTTGACACAGTCAGGAGAGGAGAACAAGCCTGTATTTCAAAAAGCAAGGCCTATAATTTGCGGAAACCAGCCTGCAGCATCCGCTCGTTGTTTCGCTTACCGTCACAAATAACAACCGGGCCTGAGCTGTGTGAGATGCATCGTGAGCCGAGAACCACCGGCGGCAGTTCTTTGGTCGACCCAATCACCCATTGAGGGGGTCATTTTGGCAACAGCAGCCAGGCTCCAAGGCAGAAGAAAGACACGGTTTGGCGCCTTTAGGCACATCCTCCTTTTAGAGCGCGCGACTTCGAACTGCTCGAGCCCATAGAGGAGAGGGCTTTGAACAGAAGCAGTCAGCAAATTGTTTCCTTACGGCACGACCAGTGAGGCCCAAACACGTCTTGGATGCGCTCGCTGCAACATCGAGCTCGCGCAGTGCCAGGCAAATATCTTCTAGCCAGCAGATCCTTCAATAACGACGGCACACTGCACAGATGGTAAACGGCAAATCTGAGCCGGGCATAGCTTGACTCGTCAGTCACAGGACGTCCTCGTGCAGCTCAGTCGAGTATTGGCAAAATCCTTCTCATGCAAAAAAAAAAAAGCAGTTGCGCTCCTCTGCTCCTCTGCCTCTTTGTCCCTTCTCTTCCGTACCTTTTTACGACCCTAGCCCGTCGCTCCGTCACTGGCAGCCCTTTCACGTGACGTCTCTTAGGACCTGCAATGAACATCGAAGCTTGGCGAGGCTGTTGGCGCAAAAACATCGCGAGCCCAAAGTACATTGCAGACTTCGAGGAAGTCGGTCTCGGACGTCGAGCAGTGTTGTGACCGGAAGTCGCACACGGAGATGTGACGGTAGAACATATATGTGCGTTGATTCGTTGGACAGCCAAGTGGCCTGATTTGGCTTGCATCTCATCAAGTCACAAACTATCCTCGCAAAACTGTCAGTAAAGAGCATCGATGGTCTCAACTGGATTGTGATGCTTCCTGTTTTATCAAACACAGAAAGTGCTCAGAAGGCAGGTTGGAATGAAGCCAACAATGCCAATGGCCGGAAAAGAGAAGGACTCGTTGTCGGATATGGACTGACAAGATCATATGGCATTGCATCGTGTCAATCGATGCTTTCTTCCGGTCATTGGATGGCCGAACATGGTATGCAATGGAAATGTGTCAAGGCTTCCCCTAAGACGAACGCTGCTATTGTTGTTCTTGTGGAGAGGCCCATCAGCCACGAAAGGAAAGAGCATCGAGGGGGACAATAGCAAGCAATAAGGAAGGAGCGACCAGCATCGTGAGCACGCCCAGCATGCCTGGCCAGGTACCCGGAGAGGCGCCAGCACCGAGCCACAAAAGCCTTTGCCACACCCAAAGGGCCTTATTCCCTCCGTTTCGTTATTGTTTCGTCCTTCTATTCTATAAAGTGGCGTTTTGTTTCTACACCAGGTACACCATCACCGAGTCGCCGAGTGTACGAGGCAATGTCCTCCACCATTCGTGGCTACACAGGCCTATGGGCCCCTCAATGTACGGTGTTTTGTATTATTCCTCTTTCTCCTGTTGTCGTTCTCGTTCCTTGTCGTTCTCTTCCATTGGCTGCGCCCTTATATCTTTTTTTCTTTTCTCCCTCACATCATCCTTTTAGTTTTTCTTTACCCTTCGTGTTTTCGTTTACCTTTACTTCCTGCCCCATGCCTTAACCATCCCCCTTTTCGTCTCCTTTCCTTTGTGATCATCTGTTGCCCGGTTCTCCCTACCGCCGTCGAACAATTCTCTTCAGCAGTGAGACACAGCTGTGGTGGACCTCTGCCGTCGCAGAGACCGACAACCTGCAGCGATGGTCCGCAACTATGGCATGGAAGAGCCTCTCTTCGTGATTGTCATCACCTTCCTCGCCCTGGCATGGGTCACTTGTTGTCTCCGCGCCTGGGCCAAGCTCGTCGTCCTCCGCAAAGTCACGGCCGATGACTACCTCATGCTCTGCGGAATGGTAGTTTTTTCTTCGTCTCGCGTCTCTACTTGAGTCAAACTTCCTTCACCAAACCTGACAATTTCTTACCTAGGTCTTCTACACCGGGTACGCGGCGTCCGCTCTCTACGGAGTGACACATGGAATCGGCACACTCGGCGAGGGCATGTCACTTGAGGAAGCATCGATCGGCCTGCGTGCTTGGTGGCTCTGCGAGATGCTATACGCGCCCGTCACACTCTGCGTCCGCACATCGGTGGCCGTGTTCCTCCTTCAGATCGCTGTCCAACGCGTTCATCGCCGCACCATCATCGCCGTGATAGTAGCCTTTTGGGTTGTTACAATCCCCCTTTTCTTCGTGGCCATTTTCCAATGCCGGCCCATCTCCTACTTCTGGATGCAACCCTTCCCAAGCGTCCCGCGCGGCACCTGCGTGGACGGGCGAGTCATATATATAGTGTCTGTTGTGCACTCCGTCACAAGTGCCTGCTGTGACTGGACACTCGGCATCCTCCCTGTTTTCATGCTCTGGAAGGTGCGACTCAACGTGAAGACCAAGCTCTCACTCTTTATGCTCCTTAGCATGGGCGTTTTGTTAGTTTCCAAACTCGTGTTTTCATTTTCTCCATAATCTACTAATATATATTTTTAAAGCGCTGGCATAGCTCTCATCGTTCGAGTCGTCTACGTCCGGCCATTTGAGGTTTCTATCAACTTCCTCTTCGAGACCCTGTGCGTGCCACTGTCTGCTCACAGGACACACTCTTTCCTCCAGATCCTAACATAAGTTTAGTAACGTTGCCAACTGGTCCATCCTAGAGCCTAGCATTTGCATCATCGCCGGCTGCCTAGCCACTCTCCGTCCAATATTCAGCTGCTGTGGTTGGAACAGGGATACGCGGCACTCAATAAGGACGCCAGTCTGGTGCCAAAATACAAGCTCCCGCTCCCGAACCCCCAACAAAAGCAAGAACAGCCGAACCATCGGCTGCCCCCTCGAACCCGTATCCAATGGCAGCAAACAGGTGCTTTCTAAACCTTCATGGCGCGCTCACGGCCTCCGGCGCTCACCCCGGCTGACAATGGATGAGGAGTGCACGGAATACGAGCTGATGGTGAACAACGAGAAGGACAAGCACTTCGCCACGGACAGAGTGTGTGACATGGAAGACCAAGCTGACAGACGGGCAACCCACCTTGACCTGGGTGACGAAGTGCATGACGATGTCGATCTTGGAACCCTCGCGACCAAGCAAAATCACATTCGTCGGTCGTTGGCAGCCAACGCGTCTATCAACCCCGGCCAGTCTGTTCGATTCTCCACTCCATCCTCCCTGGGCACTCCGTTGCGATCCCAGAAGCAGCTTAACCGCCTATCACAGTGGATTGATTCGCATGGGCAGCATCCACTGGCGTCCTCGCCAGTAGCGGCGTCTCCTCTCTCAGCATCCGCTTTGGCAACACCGTCTTCGCCGCCTCCGCGTGCTCCCGTCATGTCACCATCACCATGTCATATCTTTGTTAAGCAGCACACTGTCGTTGAGTACAAGGACTCACCGAAGTCATCCGGCATCCTTCCTTCGCTTCCTATGAGCGCCAAGATCCCACCAATGCCTGAGCTTCCTCGGGACACTACGATGAGTTCGATCGCCTCCGAAAAATCATTCGAAGACTGTGCGTTTGGCGAGCATTTAGTGAAGATTTCTGGACCAAGCACGAAGCTCTGAGGAACACTCCCATACATTACTTCAGCCTCATGAGGGTACCAAGGGGCTGTCACCGGTATGGGTCACAATCTCTATCAACACGTATTTTCTTTGCAATTTATAATGTCCATAACGGCATTTCTATAAGTAGCTGTCAGAGTAAGGGCAATCTTACTTCTTGCTCCAGCTCATAGTATTAATTGACACATGTCTTTTTAGAACTCTTTGTCTACGGCGTGTTATAACTAGGAGATCGAAAGCAACCAGATCTCTTCCTCTACCCCGTATACTCCATCGTCCTCTATTTTAGCCCAATTAGTGCTCTGGGAGCGGCCCCCCAAGCGTCTTGTTGCCGAGGCGGCCGTAACAGCCCATGGCGCCGTCGACGTCGACAAGAATAGTGTCTTGATGTTGTCAGAATTCTGAAATATGTCAATGTATGGTGCGTGTAACTCACTAAGATCCAGGGTGCTGGTCGTAGGCCGGCGTCTGTGGCTGCTGAGGCAGGTGCACTTGAGGCTAAGTGTGAGGCCCTTCTTGTAGGCATCGGATCCCGTGCGGCCAGCAGCGTGAGGATTGGCTGGGAGGCGTGAGAGGGAGGTCTCACAGCCCGAGCATGATTTCTGGAAGTTGCCACTGAACGTGTGTATTGGCATCAGTATAACAGCTGTTTGGGGCTGTCTGATGGAGGAAAGACTTACTTTTTTTTACCAACCAGGTTGCCGTTGCTGTTTGCGATGCACGCATCGAGATCGATCCTTGAGTTGTCAGTGGAGCCCAGGATCACCTTGAGACACATAAGGGACACCTACCATGTCCAGTTGTAGCCAAATGACGCTGTGTTCAGATTGTTGCAGTACATGCCCAAGTAGCTCTGGTTCAGCTGAGCCGTCTGGATGTTGCACGAACCGGCGAAAGCGAGCTGGCCGGCCACCAGTAGAGGCATAGCAGCGAGCGCGACGGCAGTGGTAACGAGAGTTTTGATACCGGTCTGGTGTCGGTGCGTGAGGAGCGAGAGACACCCTCCGCTCGAAGAGGGAGATGACATAGTAGCGACGCTGGAGTGGGATGCAAAGATTGAGATGCAATGAGAAGATACGATACAATATCGAAAAAGGTATGTATTATATCAAATTCTTTGGGCAGATGAAGTACGGCAACGTTCTCCGGGGGAAGGCACGATGATAAATATATAGATGGATTTTTCTCAATCTGTTTGACCTCCATCCCCTTTTTGTGTCTTTCCTCTTTACCTTTTGGTCCCCTTTCTTCACTTTAAGTTTCTGCACACGAGGCACTCGGTGTGTTACGACTACAAAGAATAAAGCCACGACGGACAATCATTCTGAAATGTTCGGGGCATTGGGCGCCAGTTTTGGAGACATGTTATCCGAAATCCCCTATTTCGTACGCAGTGTGAACAACATTGGTTCTTTTGGTGGCTTGGGATTGAGAGAATATAAAGCCATCTCTAAACCACCAACTAGGTCCACGTTGCATTATGCCGTTGTGCGCAAATGTTCACATTGTCCAACCGTGATGTGTAGGAAAGTAGGCGACCAATTTGCTGTCAATCTACGTACCGTACGCGTCGACACTACTAACACTTCAAATTGCTCTCGAGTAAAGCAGCAGGCATACGCGTCATACAGGAGGACAGGAGAGATATAAAATGAGACACATCACACATAAGCAAGTGTGTTTAATTCGCGAGCAGACAGGAGCCAAACCTTTGTCATCCACGTTTCTCGCCTGCGCACGGTTCCTTATATTGTTTGCTTTTCTGTTGTTGCGCCGGAACACGCCGACAGGTTAGGATTTTCCAATAAAAAATAAATACAAATGAACTAAAACAAAACAGAGAGAAAAGAGATGTGTAACGTAAGCAGGAAAACCTGCGTAATGGGACACAATTTGTTGGTGTCAGTCGAGCGTCCCTGAGTTCGCTTGGGTTCGGACTGGGCACTGTGGTACAAAAGCACAGCCAAGAGGGACCACGGAGTGCAGGGGGGCGACCGAGGACGAAAGGACGAACACGGGGCGAGAAGGGGGGGGGGAGAGAGAGAAAAAGAAAAAGAATAATAATAAAATAAAATATACTGGACTACGGGGTGACTCGACCTGTCAGCCGGAATTTGTCAGACGGCGGTGCCCCCAGCATGAAAATTGCGGCTACGGCAGTGCAACCCAACCTAGATGATGCAGGTTGATATGGAGGTGAAGAGACAGTCCAGTTAATATAATAATTGCTGGAGCAGGCACGAAAAAAATTATGTACAAATGGTCGACTGTGTCACCAGCAGAGACGGCCGCTGTCAAAAACCAAGTCACCCAATTGCAAGCATTCTCACACCTGCAAGTGCACGTGAGCACGCAAAGTAACACCCAGGATCCTGGAGAAACGCGGTTCAGTTGATCATATGGGTCAATTCTGGGGCTCAGTCTTAAATTTTGCCAGCGTAGAGTCCAGACCATAAATTAAAACCAGGTTCGAGGAGCCGAAAAGAGGTAGTTTATCACTCATCCGGGTAGATCAATACGGTCTGCAAAGAGACAGCAGACGGGAAATAATCAAGCGTAAGCCACAAGCCACCAGCCACAGGCACAAAGTTATTAATATATAGTTCAATCAAGTTCGTAGAGGTTTCTACCTTTTCTCATTTTTTTCTCGTAGTGGAGTTATGCCAAAAGATATGAATCTGTTTGGAGGAAACTATGCAAATGCAAAGATGTGATGAGAAATTGCAAAAAGAAAAGAAAAAGAAAACAAGCGTATGTCTGCAGTCAGCAAACAAAGGAGTATTAGAGCCCAGAGAATCCCGTGACAAAATGAGTTTGAAAAAGCAAAAAGACATGAGAAAATAACAAAAAGTAAAAGAAAATAAAAAGGGGAGCTACCCGTGTGGGGGGTACCTTGATAGAATTGAAGGAAAATATGTCCGTTGTTAACCTCGCGAAAAGAAGGGTATGAACGAGGCTAAACCAGAAGGTAGCAGAGAAATACACAAGTTGCTGAAACAAGCCACACAATTCCAACATCTAGGGCCCTTTTATCGCGTCTCCGGCATTCTACCTCTCCACCTTCACACAGCCAGTCATCTGGTCGTGGGCCTCAGATGCCAGCGTCGTTCTCCAAGAAAGTCCTTCATAAAAGAACTTTTTACAGAGCGAAGATGGCAACGGCCAGGCCGCCGATCAGAGTGACGAACGAGCCGGCACCCAGGGACTTGGCATCGTTGGTGGCGACAGTGGAGGCAGTGCCCGTGGAATCCGAACCCGACTTGGTGGCGGTCTCGGTGGCAGTGATGACGGTCTTGGAGCCACTGGGCTTGGAGGTGGTGATGGTGCCGTTGCCAGCAGCCGAGGTCTTGGTGGTCAGAGTAGTCTGGGCAGTCGAGCTGGAAGACGAAGTGGTAGCGGTGGTCTTGACCGACGACGAAGAAGAGGACGACGCCGAAGACGAGCTGGAGGTGGTCTTGGTGGTGCCAGTAGGGGCCGACGTGCCGGTGGTAGTGTCAGTGGAAGAGCCGCTGGCCGAGGCCGAACCAGAGCTGGAGGCAGCGCCGCCAGAGATCTTGAAAGGGAAAGAGTACTCCAGGATGCTGGGGTCGGAGTCCAGGGTGATCTCAATGCCGTAGTTGGCCTCAGCACCCAAGGACTTGGAGACGGCCCAGGCGAACTCGCCGGCAGAGTTGGCAACGCCAGCTGGAGACAAGTTAGTACTCAAAAGACTATGTAGATAGTGCCTTTTCTCTTTCTTAAATCAAGCGTCACATACCCTTGATGACGGAGATCGTCTGCAGACCCTTGGGGGTAGCGCCGCCGAGCAGCGTCAGGGTGATGGTGTCGTTGTTGTACTCGGTGGTGGGTTCCCAGGTGATGGTGAAGGTCTTGCCAGCGGGGACGACAGAGCCCTCGGTTGGCTTGGTGATGACGTCGAAGTTGGCGGTCTGGGCCAGGACGGCGCTGGCGAAAGCCAGAACAGAGGCAGCAGTGCAACGCATTTTGACAGTTGTTGGAATGGTGTTAGGTGTGATGAAGACGTTGAGCGAGTGATAGTAGAACGAAAATATCGATGTATGAAAGAAAGTAGGCAGTTGGATATGAAAGTCGAAAGTGATATACAAATATGATAATGAATGATAGAGAAGAACCGAAAAAAGCGAAGGAATGTGGTATTTGTATAAACCGAGAAAAGAGTGATCCAAAGAAAGGGAGGAGTAGGAGAGAAAAGAGAAGAAGGGAAAAGCGAAGTGTGGGCGTGTGGGCAATATGAGGGAACACTTTCCAAACTGGGCACGCCCGTCCATCACACGATGAACATAGCGCCGGGGAAATAGCCAGGCCATAACGGGGGAAAACTCTGACTGGATGTGCCTCAGTTTGCAATCCTTCTCGCTGCGACCCAGCGTTAACACCAATTTGGCGTATGCCAGGGTGTGATGAGTGACGGGCGAGACTTTTCGAGACAGGACCTTTTTGCGCCTCACGATAGAATGGCGCCTTCCAATGGCATTGGGCCAAGCCCACAAGGCGCCAGGCTCCGGTCCAGGCCATGCGAGGCCTATCCTTTCTGTCCTATTATTCCAGCGGATCTTCGGACGACGCGGGCCTTGTCTGGCCTTCTTTCGCCTCTCTCAGTGGCGATCGACCTTGACAGTCGACGAATCTCTTCAGTGGGACCTTGCAACTGCAGGAACCGTTTTTTCTGCACAGCTGCTGTGGAAGAATCAGGTGCATACTGCATGCTGTGGAGTGGCCCGTCTTTCGCTCTGGTTGCCTAACTGGTCCACCGTCAACAAAACCGTTGTCAATGAGGGTGGCTCGCAGGCTCTTCGAAGTGTCGTGAAAGATTGGAAGAGGAAAAAGGGGAAATCGCTTGCCCAGGGGCTGGCGGATTATTTAGGTGTGGGTGGAGCCAGCGAGCCTAGCGTTATTTTTGTTTTCTTTTTCCTCTTTCAATGTGAACTTTCCCATCAATTGGATCTTGCCCTCGCGGGTCCTTTCCATTTCGGGCATGCTTTCGTGGTTGCAGGCGGTCGCTTCCACTAGCCTCATTGGCCCTCTAAACCTACACAGTAAGCATCATTTGCACCTTGGGCTGGTCCCAACCTGTTCCTGGTTCGCACAGGCACGGTTGAGAATACCCACACCACTGTCTCACCTCCTAGTTTAAAGTTTGGCATGCAGTTTTGGGTCCTCTCCGACCGCAATGTCTTGCTTAGTGCACCGAGCTGGCTCAGCCACGACCGAAGCATGACCGGCAGGGACGAACGCGACGATGGGGGGGGGGGGAAGAGGGAAAAGGAAGTCAGAGCAATTTGATCATGTCAGCAGTGAAAAGAGCAAAGGACAGTTGCTCTTGGCCGATATTTCCGACCAACACCCGGTTACTGACGTCGATTGGAGTGGACAACATATCTTCAGAGTGCGGGTACGTTGTAGGACATGCTTCGTACATGACCAACTCTCTAAACGCTCACGCACACCATCAAATGCCAGACAGAGACACCATCGATGCGGCTGGGCACAAAAAAAACGCCACTGTCATTTTCGCCAACGGCTGTCTCTTCTCAGATGACAATCCTCGTCAGCCTTCGGAGAACACAAGCCACTATGACCTCCAAACACCACCTCACCACAGCTGACATACCACGCTCACCAGTCATGGAGCCCTCAAGATTCACAAGAGATGGAGCAGGGATTCACTCATTTACCCTTTCTTTTTTCCTTCTCCTCGGATTTCCTTCTCCTCGGAGGACTTGTCCCTAGTAAGGAGGCATGGGATGGGTCCCGCCAAGATGAGGCCGTCTTTTCTTGCCAAGCCTTTGATGCAAGTGAACGGAGCACATTTTGGGCAAGAGACGACCAGGGGGACCTCAGTGAAGTGTTCGGCTCGAAAAATTGCACTAGGAACTCGGGACGGAGAGCCAGGCTAGCTTCTGCTCTTCGTTACAGAGTGCGTCCGTTTCGCATACTCTGTACTTGTCGAAGTGGTGAAGCCACAGTGTCTCTCACCTACCAAGGAAGTCGATGTGAGGTACTCATATTCTTGAGAATATGAGGGGAGTGTTTGGAGCTTCAAAGGCGGTTCAGCAAGTGTCTCGACCGTTATGTACAGGTCTTATGACATCTCACAGAAGCAGAAATGACTGTAAATTTTCACAGTCACAAGTCCAAACCGCATGGGATAGTAATATTCAGCAGCAAGGGAAGATACTGGCCGAATTGCCCACTGCCAGGCATGCCAGAGGGACTTTTGCCAACAGCCTGCAGGTGCGCGCCAAAATGAAACCCCGTAAGGGCACAAGTGTGTCGTTTGCCAGATGTTGGCTAGCCACGTCGACACGATGTATTGCAATGTCTCATTGCCACGCAAATTGTTGGTGCTTCAGACGAGGGTTTGGAGGTGACACGCGGCCCAGACGAGGTTCAAAAGGCGATATTGAAATGACAACGGGAATGAAGACAAGACGTATTTTAGACAGAGCTTCATTTTCAAATAAGCAAATGGTCAGGCCATCGACCCTGCCCAAATACAAAGATTGGCTAATCACGTCGCGTCTCCGTCAAAATCGTGCCATTGCAAGTAGGGAGCAGAAACCAACAGAGCGCAAGGAAGCATCTCATCTCCCAGAGCATTCTGAGCAGATCAGCCGACAGCAACTGTATCTTTTAATGTGCCTTTGAAATCTCAAGTCATACCCTTATTTCGAAATCAACCCCTGTATGTTACTTCAGCGGCTCCGTTTCTTTTCTTTTCCTAGATTCATCTCCGCCAAGTGTCTTGGCCTTGGGCGGCGTGGCCTGCTCGGTCCTGAAAGTCACCACAAATCACCCTCAAACCTCCCTTGCCCAGGTGTTCTCATTTCGATCAAACTTTTTTTTGTTGCATTGTCCTTTTCTGTATCTTATCATTTCGGCTCCCGTTCGCCATTTTAGCGATGCTAAAAAAAGAGCAGCCATAATTTCCTGGGACATGGCGTAAATGATCCCAACTTTCGTCGCCATTTTATTCCATACACTATACCATCCATCTTCCCAAACATTGGTTTCTGCACAGCAACCTCTATTCAGGGCATACGGTAATAGAGATTCGGCGAAAGCGGCTTCGTGACCATGAGGCTTACTCGCTTGCCGACGAGTCCAGCTTCTGCAACTTGACGTGGTACAAGTTGGTCGCTTTGTGGCCGGCTCTCAGAAGCTCGATATTGTCCTTGATGGCTGTTAGGAGAAAATGTCAGTGTGTGTTTCAATTAGCTAGTGTATCATAGAGGATGCCATAAAGAATGGGACGGCGCGATGGCCTTAAACTCACGTCCTGCCTTCTCCTTGGCCTCCAGGTGTGCCTCCCGGCTCGTCCAGCCAATCACCAACTTGACAGCCGGTCCAACCCACGACACAAGCTCCGGCGCGGCCTGCACAGCTTCCGGTGACAGAGCCACGTCCTCGACCGTCTCAAGTACGACGTTGCCCCAGTATCCTGTCGACGTCGTGTCAGGCTGAGCGTCGATGAGGTCGGCAAACTTGCGCACAGCGGCCGCAAAGATTGACGGTAGCGCGTCGTAGCCAGTGTACACCTCCGTTGTTGGCGCCTCAAGTGCGGACGTCAGCCTGCCACGGTCGGCTTCCTCGATACCGAGCACCTCGACCAGCAAAGGCGCAGCGTCCGTCTGCTGCGAAATGGCGAACGCCTTGTGGCTGTCAGCCGTGCGCCAAACTGGAAAGAGGGTGCGTTAGCATAGTCGGTGCAAACGAACCCGGTGCTTCCGGGACTTGATGAACTCGATAATGTCGAAATATTGATGGATGCGAAGGACTCGGCGACCACTCAAGATTCAGGACCTCGGCCTCGGCCTCTAGTTCAATCGACCTCGTGCGTTGTGGGATTGCAGCTCACCTGTTACATGTACACTCTCGTTTGCGTCCTCAATCTTCTGTCCACCGTACTGTGCGACCAGCCCGACAACCTTGGCTGCGGCCGTGGCGCGGTTCTTGATCGTGGCCCCGTCTGCCGCGCGGAACACGGCGAACTCGACAATGTGTGCGTTTGACATCTTGGATTGAGGTTTCTGCTTTCGAGTTTAATGATGTGATTGTATTTGTGAAGTTTTTTTCTTGGGGGGGGGATGTTATGGTGTCTGGTCTTTGTTCTGATGCAGAGCTCCCATTTTATCTTTTGATATCACACTGTGTCGCCTTTCGTTAGCATCACACCACTCCACTGTCGTCATCGCCTGCGTCTAACAACGGCTGTCCCGCCGTCATAAATGGCGAATCATTCCAAATGTTGTAGTTCGAATTGTTCCCCATAAAATATACGCGATCTACGTCATAATGGCTCTCTATTCAATTTGTGGTTTTTTTTTATTGATATGCATATGCATGATCTGTAAGGTTGGGTCAAATGGAAATCATCATATTTCATCATCACATTCACACGATATCATGAAAATCCAGAAAATAGTAGACCAAAAAAGTAGAATGTTGAAAAGCTGCAGGAAAGCTACAGCAATGTATGTGGACGACTCGGAGACAAGCAAACGGAATTGAAAAATTCGTGACCAGATATAGAAAAGTGATATCTATAGAAAACGAAGGCAGCTCTGGCAGGTAAGAAGGCTATGTTCAAATCGGGGCAAGTATCGTGCATTTACCTATGTATTTTATATAAAAAAGGACTCATAATCGTACAAAATATAAATTCAAGAACCGTACACAAATAACTAAAACCTGCACCGGAAAATAAAAATAAAAATAAAAATACCCTGGCTAAGTAAAAAAATGTAGACAAGCTCACAATTTGTGCACAAATCCTCGAGCCTCAAAGGGAAAGAGTATCAGAGGCGTAATGAGCCCGTAGCCATAGTGACAGCTATGAGCTTACGGATGAGCGACCCCCTCATAATTTTCGAGCCTGCTTGAATCAAGGTATTCAACCTGTAAGTTTTCGCAAAAAAAGTACGCCGTGGATCTGTCACCCTCGGTATAACCAGTGTTTGGCTCACATGACCGCCATGCCACGCCATTTTATCCCCAAACCAGCTTCTCTCTAGTTCGCGTCCTGGCCTAGCCCGTATGGAACCAACTGGCTTCACGGGGATACTGTCGTCTTGTGCCGAGGAAAAAGCCCCAGCACAATGCAAAGGACCGCGTCTCTCTGGCCGTGGTGAAAGCAAGGCTGACTGATCAGACTTCTGGTATCTGTTGTCGACGGCATATTGCGGACCGTCGTTGCAAAGTTTGCTAAAGCAGACCCTCCTCATCGTTCTCTGTGGACGGGAGCAAGTGAGCTCTTATTGGGGGGCTAGCGATGGTTGAAGGTTTCGTTTCAAGTAACTCTCGGTTTAGAACGAGGGTGAGGTGGGTGAGGTGGATGGATGATGCTTAGATCCCCTTGAGGAACTCGGGAAAGGTGCTCGTAACTGCGAGAGGAAGTAGAGAACGCTGGTTCGTCCGTCAGCATACAGTGACTACACACCGGATTATTGGAGAGTTGTCACATACGAAACACCTTCAGTTGTCCGTTGTGTCGTTTGGCGACGAGATTTTCTTTTCTTCCTAGCTCAAGGCAGCCCGTGATGGTTACCAGGTGAAATACCCAGTTCCCATCACGGGCAAAGAGAAAAGAAGGGAAAAGGGGTGGAGCTCAGCAACGAGGGCGGCGGGAGGCGGTTGTTTTATACTGGTAGTTTTGCTCTCCATCTATGCTTTGAGTCACAAAAATAAGCGTGGCATTTTCTGTCATGTGTGGCCTTCGTAGTCTTTTGTTGATGACTGACGACCTTGTAAGAGATACGTACTTCTCCAGTGTAAGCAACATATATTAATCTATTAATCGGCAGCCGATACCAACTACCCACCTGTATGACGAATCTACGACAATAAGGTTCACCGATAGATTCGTTACTTCTTATTGGGCGAAACTTTACTTGTTTTTGTTGTACCACAACGGGAGGTGCGACCGGAAGCTCGACTCATATGGCGCAGTGTTACAGCAAAGGGAAGGAAGCGTCGCGCCTAAGTGTCGATTGTCATCCTTTATTAGCCTCGCGGTTTCCTTTTTTGGCGCTGTGGCTTTTCCGTCATGGAGCGTGTGGCCGTGTCGCGGCGGGCGCTCTTTCCCACTCGTCTCTCCGGCAATGTGGCTCCTGCCGTGTTAGTGATAAAATGCGGTCTAGCCCAAATTTCCTTTTTGAGACTATTGCAACTTCCGTATATGTGTTGTAAATAGGGACTAAATGTGGGAAAGGAAGCAAAAATCGGAAAAGGGGTTTTTGTTGGCAACAGAATATCCCAGAGAGCGCTTTCTCTCCCGCTTTCGCTCTCTCACCTTCAGCCAAAGGCTACTTTTGTCTACCATCTTGCCTCGATTTGAACGTCCCTCAAACGTTGTTGACGTCACCAACCGTCCCTTGTCCTACTCCACGATGGGGCTATTGCAGATCAAAATCCCGCCCTCTTTGACACCGCCACCTACTGGCAGTACCACACAGGGGACAGTTGACAGACTAGCTACCTTTTTTCTCGGAAAATTCCAAGAAACCAAGAAGGAGAGCGATCTGGCGACATTACAATGCACCACACAGTTGAAGTTCGAAGCGCTAGAGAAGATACTGGAGGAGCAGACCCTCACTGTCGCGGAACTCCGCCACGACATGAAGTCCGAGATCCAGTCCGAGATAGAGTCCTTCCGAGACAAGGCCGCTAGCTACTTTCTAGACAAATTCTCTGGGCAGTTGGATGCCTTGGGTGCCAGACGGGGTGAAAAAAGCGAGCTTGCGATCAGCCGCCTTGAGCACCGAGTCGATGATGAAGTCAAAAATCTGAGCGACCAGCTGTCAGATCTGTCGACAAAGGTGGCCATCAGCAATGCCGCTGTCAACGCCACCATCGACGATACCAGAAAGAAAGTCAGCTCTGGGAATGATGTCTCGGCCGAAAATCTGCGGCGTTGTGAAAGCGAGTTTCGGTCCAGATTGTCGAGACTTGAAAATCTTATCGAGTCGAGTAAAACTGAGGCTACAATCGAACGTGACAAAGTCACCAGGGTGTTCCAAGATGCCAACAAGAGGCTTCAGAGCAAAGTCGACAGTCTGGAACTTTGTATCATGAGACAATCTGAGGAGCTGACCAAGCAGTCTGAGAAAATCCACCGTCTCGAGAGCGAATTACGAACTCTATCTCAACTTGGCATGGGACAGGAGAATGCTCATACCACGGTGATGAAGATGCTGTCTATCCAAAGAGAAGAGTTGTCTAGATTAGCCCAAAGCGTTCGTGAACAAACGAACACATCTCCTGTCAAGGAAAGAGCGAGTAAGTACGAAGAGGACAGGTCGGAAAGTTAAGCGCGAAAAAAGTAGGTTCGTCACTAATGCCCAACACAAAGAAAATATTGAGCTGGACCCGACTCCAGATCAATCCAAGATATCATATATCTCTTCCACGCCATTGCCAAATGTCAAGCCCACCTCTTCCACCCGGGTGGTTGGCAAGTCGACTACGACAGGCGGCGACGATGGCGAAGCAGAGCGAGCTCCAAGGCAACGCAAGCGCCCTAGACCTTGTCCCACGACGGATATGTCGAATATGAACTCCGTAGATAGCGACAGCGATACCTCGGGGCCTTCACCAAAGCGAGCTCAACGTGATTCAGGTAGCGCGAAACCCGCCAAGAGAACGGTCGAAGTAGCCGAGCCAATGAATCATACAGCCCAACCGAATGCAATCCGGAATGAACAACCATCAATGAGAGTAATGCCTCAGAAAAGGCCCAGTATCGGAACCAGTTCAAAGACGACAGTGCCGCCACTAGTCATAAATGCGGGCATTCGGGAACGAAGGCCCAAAACCGTGCTTTCGAGGTCAGGGTTGACACGGGGACCTATTCCACGAAAGAAGCCAGACGAAAATAAAAGGGCACAACCAGGTGAACCCTCCGAAATCCCAGACTCACATCGAGGAATTCATCAACTGCCAGAGAGTGCGTCACAAAATACGCCGCCACGCTTGGCAAAACAAAATCAGCAAGAGACATCATCCGAAAAGCCCACCCAGCCATCTCGTGGTCAGAGAACCACACCAACCAAGTCACCTGTGAAAAATCAGAGCCATAATGCTGCACTTTCTCTAGGATGCAAGTCCGATAGCAGTGTCAAAAGTCCACAGAACTTTGCCAGGAGACGAGAAGCAACGATGGCATTCATGTTGCATGTCCAAACATATGCCAGAAACTTCAGCACATCACCGCCTCGGTCAGAGCGTCAGTTCATCTGGAGCTTCCTAGAAGGCATCTCCGACCCGGCATGGGCAGAGTTTATACAAAAGAGACTGCTCGCAGCATATCCGACATCAGTAAGGCCGAGTCTGGGGATACGCGCCAAGCACTCCATCAACTTTGACTCAGGCTTGACGTGGCAACATGTCTTGGAATTGATCCGCAGGCTACATCAGAAACCGGGAACATCGTCTTAAACTCTTTAGATGCGTGCGTAGTATTGTTAGGTAGGGTACAATACGTCATGCCGCTGATAACTTGGGGGAGTGGTTACCCAGCACCTTTCTGCGCTGTCTCTTTCCCGGGCAAATTTTTTTTTCGCGCATTACACATTCGCTCAGCTATATAATGTAAGGGAAGCACAGTTACCTTCATAGGCATCAATTATCTTTAAACGGAGCGTGTGGTTAGAAAGGGGGACGGGGTGCGGAAGTGGTATATTTGGAGATACAACACCAAGCCAATCATTATCATCATTACGTTTTTGTCAATATCTTTTCGTTCAGTCCATTTCTTCCACTTCAGTTATGTATGTCACAGGATTTTTTTTTTGGTATTAACCCTTTCCGCGCTGGCGCTTTTATAGAATATATATTAAAAAAAAGTAAACAGAATAAATAAGATTCACCGAAACTCTCCCAATTCAACAATATCCCAACATACCTGAAAACATAATAAGCAAAGGAATGTGTAATACGCGGCTCCGCGGGTGGCACTAGCTCATGGCAAATATGCCAATACGACCCGACGTACACAAGTGACGATGTTTCCATAGCAGAAAAGAAGGCGGGTAAGAGGGCTATCCTGAAATTAAATAAAAAGCCTACCTTGTAGAATATTTTGCAAGTTTCTAGATTCGAACCTGGGCGGCCTCTTCCGCCAACTGGATCACATCATCCTGGTCCGGCTGGGTGTACTTGTTGATCCAGCCAAGGACCTCGTTGTGCCATACAAGCGAGTTCTCAGGTTTCAACACCCACTGTCAAAATTCAGTAATCTGGGTCGAAACCAGCACGGGGACAAGTGTAAAAACGAAACAAGATTGCTTGACGTACGTGGTTTTCATCAGGGAAGCTAAGGAGGCGACTGGGAATGCCGCGGCTCTGCAACACGTTGAACATGGACAAGCCCTCGGTGACGGGCAGTCGATAATCGAGTTCGTTGTGGATGACCTAGTAATCTGTCAGGTGGTGTACGTGAAGAAGGGAGGCGAAATGACTCGGGTCACGAGTATGTCGCAGTACGTACCAACATTGGCGTGGCCCATTCGCCGGTATTCTTTGCGGGATCCCATTTCTCGTAGCCGGCACGGTTTTCCCAGAGTGTACCGCCAAAATCGTGCAGCGGGAAGTACAGCTCCTCAGACGAATACTGGTTGAGCGTGCTGAAGACACCGTCGTGGCAGACAAGGGCCTTAAAGCGGCGGCCCAGAGGCTTGCCTTGGATCCAGTCTAGAGGCATGTAGCGTCAGTAACAAATGATACAGCAAGCTTAATGTAATAGAAATACTAGTCACGCAGGTTGGGGGAATCTTACTGATCATGTAGCCACCGTAGGACGCGCCGGCCGCAACAGCCCGGGACATATCGACGTACGGAAGATTCTGCTCCACATAGTCGACACACTTGACAATGTCCTCGTACGGACGGCCACCCCAGTTGTTCTGGATGCCGTCCTGCAGGGACATACCGTAACTGGTGCTGCCCGTTGGGTTGGGCGTCACGACAATGTAGCCCTGCTCCGCAAACACGGCCGGGTTCCAACGGGTGCTCCAGCTATCGGCCCACGCGCCCTGGGGCCCACCGTGAATGAGAAGTGCGAGCGGCCACTTCTTGCCCTTGTTCTCCTCAGCGTAGAAATTGGATGGCCGAACTACGAGAGCGTGAATCTTGTAGTCACCAGCACCCTGGAACCAGATTTCGCCGAGTTGGTTGCGAGACAGGCCAAAGGTCGACCCGTGGCGAGACTGCGACGAGACAACGTCCATGGTGTAGCGTTCGGCTTTTGACGGGAAAGGGTAGTTTGGCAGCAGTCCAGGATCGACAATGGTGTAGAGAGAGTTATCAACCTGCGAGCTCATCGTCACGAAGAGTTTCGACCGACTCGTCCCCAGTCGGTGCACATCGACCACGCTGCCGTGGCCGCGGAGTGGTTGGAATGCTTCGGCACGAGGGTCTCCTAGACGAATGCGTGTCTGGAGATCGGTATCATCAGCCGACACGAACTCATGACCACCTATGAAGATGTGTGGGAGGCCAAAAGTGGCTGCGGCCGAAGGAGAAGAAGGCAAGCGGAAAAGCGCGTTGCGAGCTTTGTGTTCGGCCGTGACAAAGAGCTCGGAGCCGTCGCCGTTCCAGAGAATACTTTCAGGGCGAGCATCCCAGCCACCTTTACCGTCATCAGTGGCGTAGAATTCAGTCACGTCGCTGTCATTGCCGGACGTTCCGTATTCTGACGCGAAAGTATCCACGTCGGAGAGGAGGAGAAGCCGACTCTTGTCGCTCTCATATTGCTTGCTCTGCATGCGGGTGAAGGCGATCTTGCTGCCATCTGGTGAGAAAGTAGGCCTACCACTGTAGCCCTGAAGGTTTCCGGTCTTGACAAGAAGCGGCTTTGGTGGCGGCGTTGCAACCGCGGCGTACGTGTTCAGAGGCACATAGTAGAGGTTGGTGATAGTGGTGAGTGCATCGTTGTGGTCTGGGTCGCGCGAAACGAACGCAATACCGTTAGGGCCGAGGGCAAAGTCTCCCGTGCCGCCAAACGTCGGGACGGGCGACTCCAGGCCGGTATCACGGAGGAGGTTGGTCAGTTGGCCGCCAGACAGCGCGTACGAGTCGGAGCCGGGAGCGGCACTTCCATAGTTTTCAATGAGGCCGTACCAGATGGTTGACGTCTCTGCGGTGACATACACGTCCCAATGACGCACAAAGAGCTTGGTGTAAACTCGCGCAGAGCTATGTGACTGCTTTTCCTTGCTTTCGGCGAGCTCTGGTGTATATGGGTCGCCGGAAGGCGTGGCCAGGCCGGTCAGGGCAATGGCGATGGTGCTATCCTTGAGCTTCAGGATCTGGAGATTGGAAAGAGAGTGACCAAAGTTGTGAATCTCGATAGGTTCGGCAGCGGGCCGGGACGCACGGCCAAGGAGAAGCGAGGTTACACCCTTGTCGCCGGTCTTCAGGAAGAAGAAAGCATCCTCGTCAATCCAAACGGGTTCGCTGTAGTTAGCGTCCTCGTACAGAAGAGTGGAACCACCTGACTCGATATCCAGAACACGAATCTGGGACGTCTTGCGGTGGTCCTCGAAGGAGTACGTCGAGACCTTGCCTCTGTTAGGAAATGCAACGGCCTCGGATTTATACTCTTGGCTCCGGAGAAGCCAAGTGCGGAATCTTCTGACGTACAGTGTAGAGGACTTTGGAACCATTCGCATTGGGCGCGCCGGCAGAGCGCCGCGGAGCAGAGAGGAGCACCTCTGGTGTGAATTTGTTCGCTTTACGCGTCATCTCGTCAGTTGATGTGCGTGGCAAAGCTGCCTTTAGTGTGTTGGGTGCAACAGGGCGTCGTGCGTGATGCGTCAGAGATCTGCGGGGCTGCGAAATCGGTTTTACGCAAACAGACACTACAGGAGCGAATTGAGATGATGGTGCAGGATAATGAACTGTGGCGGTTCGCAATGAAGATCTTGCGGCGTTGATACAAATTCGCGGATTGATCATTGGTGTGCCGAAGAGGCTTCTTCCCTTGAAATTAGGACATGGCTTGCTGGCGGGATGTGGCCATCAAAGGGAGAGCACGACATCTGAAGCACTGCCGGCAGAGGCAGCTGCGGTATTGGGCCGGCAGCGGACTCCGCTTGGCCATTTACGTTGGGTTGGCGTATCTGGTACTTGGACCGACTCGAAGCGGTGCGTCACGTGAGCGTTTCCGAGCAAAGCAGCAAACTACGGGGCTTGTAGATGTGACCGAAACTGACATTTTTTGTCCCTGCATACTGCCGTCACGGTCGTTCTTGCTGTACATATTTTGTGGTGGCACCCCTGATTCACCGTCAAAGACCTAAAACGCCAGTGTTCCTCTCGAGGCAATATAAATGCGATAAAAAGCAAGCCTTTCCTGTAGGCAGTGTCTATCCAATCAATCCATATAACGCTGCAATGGTATACCGTAAACACCTGTAATCCCAAAATCCCGAGAAGTCGAAATAAACTGCAAAACACACATACAGGCACGCTTGCTCGTTTGCTATGTCCCCGTCCTCCACTTACGCAACGTTTATGCCACCCTTGCGCTTGCTCACTTGCGAACCGTGCCAAAGCTCGTCCGCACTTTCTTCGTCTCGCGTGTAGAGTCGGTCTCGCTGTCATCAACGCCACTCGCGGCGGCTGCTGCAGATGCTGCGGTCTTCTTCTTCTTCGAGTGGGCGGCCTTGCTGGCCGTGGTGGAGGTGGGCGTCGCCTGGCCGGAGCCCGGGCCGCTGCCAGCATTGCTGCCGTCCTTGAAGGAGGTCTGTAAAGGTGTTGGCGCAATTGACGCGTTTGCGGCCTAGAATATATGTTAGAGGATGGGTCGCTGGAGGGGCATCTGCCAAGGGCGGTGTCGTTGGAGGGGAGGAACACACGTTGTAGGATATACTACTGCGCGAGAACACACGGTTGGCTTCGGTCAAGCCCGTCTTGCGCCGCTGTGCCGCTGCGCCCGTGATGCCCTTGACGTAGTTGTCAAAGCCCGTGATAATGTTGCCGCTGATTGTGTTCTCGAGGTACTCGGACTCCTTTTGCGAAATGGCCTCCTCACGGGTGTGCTTGGCGTGTTAGCGGGTATGCCTCTCTCGCCCCTCTCTTCTTCAGAAACACCTGTCTGTGCATCCAGGGCCAGATGCAACCTACCAGCTGCCTTTCCAACACCTTGCGCTTCTGCAGCAATTCCTTCAAATGTTGCCGTGACTTCTCGTAGTATGGCATGCCTGGTGTGTCCGTATTAGCGCCACCGGCGACCTGCACCTTGTCCGCCATGGTGGACCAGTATATGCAGAATCTGGTTTGTATGTGAGCGGTGTGTGTTGCTTGGCGCGCGACGATAAGGCAGTGTTGTTTTCGTGATGAAGTGGCGAAGCCAGTCGCAGAAAGGAAATTTTGCAGTTGATGAAATGTTTTCGGCGCGTTTGCTTTACCCCAGACAAAGCTTCAAGGCGCTTTTCTAGCAGACTAATTATTAGTCATCGGTTTATAGCCTTGGATAGTGCTATTAGCGCATTGGCTGCGACATGCAGCTAAGGTCTTGTGTGCCAGTTGACATCTGCGGAGATTCTACGACACTGTCCTTGATACAACGTGACATGCGGAGTACGTTGTGTGTTCCAAACCCTGAACCTGGGGGGAAATGGCAGGCATTGTTGTATACTTTGTACATTTGATATCTACACTTAGACTATGGTGCGTTTGTATATTACGATAGAAGCTCCAAAATCTTTGAAAAGTCGGTGTTCTCGAAGAGATCCAGACCTGCAAAACGAAGATGGAGTGCTTGGGTTGGTTCTTGATATGTAACAAGCCACCCTCTGTGACACGATGCCTTCGAAGTTCCATACGCTCCGACGCTCATAGCATCGATCTTAACGACAAAGACCAGCTTCAAAATAACATTGTGACGATGTAAGAGGGAGCCAGCAGGGAATTCGTACGAGGGCCCAGGATGTGGAGAGGCATGCAGAGACATGCTGGATCCAAATAGTCCAGACTCTCGGAAAGAAACGGCTCTTTGGAAAGAAGATAAGGCGTTAGTCTTTTTCACGATCTAGACTTCGAGGATCTCATTTGTTTGATTCGCTCCCTGAGTTCTTTCTCGCGCCTCTCGTTGGCGAGCCGCTCGGCCGTTTTGGTCTATCGCGGAGATGGCTTTAGTTTCCAGTTCCAGAAGAGTTAATAAAGATAAAGAAGGAGGTATAGACAAAATAGGACGAAACAAACCTGCGAATCTTTGGCCGGCGGGTTTACGCTTGAAGTGCTTGTTACATTTGTTTTGGAAGTGGTGGCATCCACAGTTGCGGCAGGAGGCAAGGCTGCTTTGGTTGCGGGTCTGTCTTCTTTGTTGGGAACATCAGCAGACTTGTTTCGCGATCTCGAGGGTGTACGGGAGCGCGAACGTGAGCGCGAGGACCCAGAAGAAGAATCACGCCGTCTTCGCTGGCCCAATGGCCCACCACGTTTCACACCACCTCTATTGCGGCCATTGCCGCGTCCCACTGTGCGACCTGTATTGTCCTCGTCAGAGAGAGGGGTCTTGCTTCTGATTCTGCTGCGACTCCGGCTCGAGCTGTAGCTGAGGTCACCTCGCCGACGACGGGTCGGGGGGGTCCTGCTGTTGTCACTGCGCGAGTACCTGGATGAGCCGCTCGAAGATACAGACCGTGCCGACCGGCGGCCTCGTTCACGCGATCGGCTACGAGATGGCGAGTACCGACGGCGTTTTGCGATAGGTGAGCGACTGGCCGACGGTGATCGTCTGCGAGACAACCCGCCATTTTTACGACCATCACGTTGCGTCCGAGGTGGCGACCGGAACCGCTTGTCTCCACTGGCACTGGCTTCGGTATCCTGAGCACGGTGACGAGGAGGCGACCGAGAGCGGGATCGAGATTCGGACCGAGAGCGAGAGCGAGAGTATGATGAGCCAAAACGTTCTGAGGTTGAGCGAGAGGTTGAGCGAGAGCGAGAGTAAGAGGATGACCGGGATGGTGACTGCCGGCGGTGGTAGTCGCCCCGGCGGTCGTTGCCCCGCACACGGCGGTCGTTGGGAACATAGAGATCGTGTTGAGCGGATCGGAATCCATCACCACGATCGCTCCGGAACTTGCCACGCCCGCGCCCTGGCGGTGTTTGATCGCGGTCTCCGCCACGACCGCCCTGGCCACCGCCGCCCCCTGAGCCATCGTTTCCGCGGAACGACCTCCGGCCACGACGGCTGTCGTTACCACGGCGTCCTCCGCCAGCACCACCCCTCCACGAGTCTCCTCGGTCCCCACCCTGGGGTGGCCGGTCGCGGTCAAAACGGCCGACTTCGCTGCGTTTCCGGCGTGCTTCATCGGCGGCTTTCTCAGCCTCAATCTGAATGAAGAAAGAAACTCGATTAGTCTCGTCGGGTACTCGTAAATACCAATAAGCGGCAGCATAAATAGGGCAGGGCATGGTGTACCTTTTCCTGGATCAGCTCCATCTTCTTTGCCTCCAAGAGTTCTCTTGGAATGCCCTGTGGGCTGGACTGGGCACTGAGAAGCAGAGTCCATAGCTCTTTGCAAAACTCGGGGGTCTGGGATTCGAGGAAGCCGGTAAGCTGGATCTGAAGGGACTTGATGTCGGGCTGCAAGCAAGGAGATTGGGTTAGTACGATTCTTGACACTTTTTAGGACCATGGGTGAGGGAATATACGCACGTGTCGAGCGCTCTCTATCAGGTTGCAGCAGAGTTCAATGACGACATCGTCATCGTTGCCCAGGATGTCGGCTATCCGTCCAGCAATCCACCTAAGCACGGAACGATGCAGTTAGCATGCGGTAGAGACACGTAGTATTAAATAGACAGAGTGCAGGGGAGCCGTGCTTTTTCATCACCTGTAGGTTGACCTTCTGTGTGTCCACCTTCTGGTTGAAGATGGGTGGAAACTTTGTGCTCTTGAGGAGCTTCGCGTCCACGCCGGTTGCCATGGTGAACAATAAAGAGATGAGCGTAATGCACAGGGCAAGAATGATGCCCGTTATTAAGACGCGAAGACGCGTTTGTGCTGGTGCGCGAGGAATAAGTGGTGACGAACGGTCAAGGCGTAGATGATAAAAAGAGAAAATAAAGTCAATTTTTGGCGTTGCCTTTCCTCCAGCCCAAGAAGGGGCTAGTCAATGCCGAAGATCTTAGCACCACGGAAGAGCTTTAGCTGATGTGGGGCCTCTGGAGGCACGCACGGTCGCGAATGTCACGTGCTTGATTCTTGAAGTGTCGGCCTTCTAGATATTGTTTGACACAACCATTTTATTGTCAAGAGCGACATGTATTAAGGGAACGGCGGATTCATATAGTTTCTCACAATTATGTGGCACCGTGAACATTGTATTGACAGTGTCGCAAGAAAAGACAAAAACCTTTAAACAAGTAGAAGTAGAGATACAAAAGGAAGTGCACCTGAATAACGCCTTTAATACTCATCGTGGATACGCCGTTGTTGAATCGAGTGTCGTGAAATAGGAAAAAGAAAGTCGTAAGCACAAAATCCATCCAGAAAACACCCATCAGCCCGTCCGTCGCTACTCGCTGTGCTCTGCACAAAAAAAAAGACGATTCCGTAGTACGCCGCATATTCCATACAAAAAGTCACTTTTGAGAGAACTAAAAGCAACACAAAAGAACGAATGAAGAGAAAGAATCCGAGAACGCAATGGGGACAACAAAACGGCACATGGTTCGCAGTTGCTTATCGTTTGGGGAGATGTTTTACGACCGCGGGAACGTGTACTGGGAGTGGCGGCGGGCAATCGGCGGCGGGTTTGGCGGTGAGGTAGACGAAGCTCCTGCCAGGTTGTCGCCAGACGAATGCGGCGACTGTTGGTGGAGCTGGCGTCCAGACAGGGCAGCCACTTTCTCGCGGGCTTGCCGCAGACTGTTGCTATCGTTATACTGCTTGAGCTTCGCACGGAGATCGTATAAGGCGATCAGTGAAGAAGCGCGGTCGACATCAGAGTCGGTCTGGACAGGAAACAGGTTGTCAATAGGTGCGTTTAGGAGTCACAAATACATATGTAAATATATGGAAGGTAACGAACATCATTGCCGTGTGGCGTGCCTGGCAAGGAGCCATGGGACGAGCTGGAGCGGGTGATGGGCGGCGTGAGCAGCCGACGACCCAGGTACGAATCAAAAGGTGTTGAGGTCCCGCCGTTTCGTGGGACGGAGCTGCCGGGCGATAGTGCCGACGATGAGGAAACCCGACGATGCTGGGGTGGGTTGGTTGGGATCTGGGCGGAAGAGGAGGATGTGGTGGCGACTTCGGTTTGTTGTATGGTCGTGGACGAGGTTGTGGAGGTAGCAGTAGTGACCGCCGCGTTGGCGGTGACGAGGGCGTGGGCAGCACGGGGTTCCTGGGATTCAATTAGATATGATGCAAACGCCAACAACTATCATTAGAAACATCGCTCGTCAACGTACGGCAGCATCTAGATCGCTGAGATCTGCCAGCATCTGGGCCAGCTGCAAAGTCTCCATCTCGAAGAATCGAAAAAGAAGGAGGCTGACGCAAAGCTGCGTCGGTGAGGGTTGGCGGCCGACTTGTAGGGCCTATCGACTAGTTGAAAGCAAGTCTCTCCCGTCTGGCGACGTTTGGGAGCTTGAAGTATTCGCATAGACGGCTACAGCCCAGTTCGCGATGTGAGTAGTCGTGGATAGACGGCGTGGTGCAACGGTGGAGGTCTGGTTGATGAGGAAGGGACGAGGAAACGTTGAAATGGCGAAACGAAGGAAATCGAAAATCGTAGCCAGACGGGGACGAACGGAATCGCTGACACAGAAAAGGTGCTGTTAGTTGCTCACGCGCACGCAGTTTTGCCTTCGCTCTCTTTGTTGGACAGATCAGCGTGGTTGGTGTGTTGGAGAGACATGGCCATTCTGTCGTGCGGGGAAGAGCCTTGCTAGTAAGAGAGGACCAGAAGTGAGCCGCGCACAACACGCCAGTTGACTAGTCTGTCGCGCTCTGCGCACTGTAGAAGCCGTGGCTGTGGGGCCCGACGAGCCGCTGGTGCTGCAGGCGAACGCCCACTCAACTCACTAGGCTCTTGTGGTAGGTGAGCAGGTGGTTCCAGTGAGTTGCGCTTTGAGGGATCTCGTGGAGGCCTGTAACTACGACGTGGTAGTGAATGCAAATCGTAATTGCCGTTGGGGGGACGCATCTCAGTGTTTCTCGACCCCGCAGTGCTGACTTTCTCCGTTGACTTTCTCCGTTGGCTTTCTCCGGTGCCCACGACTGTGCCCCTGGATATGTGCACTGTCGAAAATGCCAACTTGCCGAACCGCCTGCTGTGCTAACTGCACTTTTGCCGGACGCCGACGTGGAGAAGCGAACACGGCTCAGAAAGGTTGCCCAAAGGTGAACAAACCGCCGAGCTGTACTATCTTATCTCACCAGTGTGAAGGTATCCTCGTTTAGTTCTTGGAAGCGTTTCCACACACAGCGTCCCACATCCCGCGCTACAACATATGCGATGCCACAGCGGCCTGCCCCTCTTTGGCTCCTCCCCCTGTAAAAGTAAATTCTCCTGTAGGTAATTACGTCGTAATTAGGTAGCCGTAGCCGTCACTGGCCGCTCTCTTTGTGCTTCCTCCAGACTAGACTCCAGTCTTGCACCCACCACATAGCCACCAAACAATCGTAAATGCAACCCACCAGCCCAGCCGTCCCTGTCCCCATTCGAACGCGTTTCGTGCTCTATTTGCCAGCAGAGTGGTTGGATGCTTCCTGGAATCGGCTCCATTGATTATCCCCCACTACTGTCATTGGCCATCCGTAGAACGCTTGGTTGCTCTTTCCCAAACTTGGACGACTTTGTGCCGTCGCTTCCTTTACATGCAACGCCTACAACACGGACTGCCGAAGATAGAAACGAAAGGGGACGAGCCAGGGAAATTAATAAAAAGGAAGGATACAAGACGGCATCACCGCGCAGAGCGCTGGAGAAAGAAGACTTTTTTGCCCATTATGTTTACCTTTCGGCGCGGCCTGTCCACAATGGCCTCTTCCTTGACCCAGCTCAAGAAGTCCAACAAGATTGTGTGCATTGGCCGGAACTATGCGTGAGTTCCTATTTCTGTGGAATCAAGTGCTTCCGTGACCCGAGCGTCGAGTCGTACTGTACGTGAGAGAGTGCTTGCTAACTGACGTCGTAGCGACCATGTGACGGAACTCAACAATGTCCGGCCAAAGCAGCCGTTCTTCTTCTTGAAGCCCCCATCGTCCCTTGTGCTGCCCGGTGCCGGCCCTTGCGTGCGACCCAAGGGCGTCGACTTGCACTATGAGATCGAGCTAGCTCTGATCATCGGTAAGACAATACGCGACTTGAAGCCGGATGATGAGCGGGGTGCTCTGGATGCCATTGACAGTGAGTTATTCTACTGCCTTCCACCTCTTCATACTTCAGTGACCTCTGACAATTTAATAGGCTACGCCCTAGCCCTCGACATGACGGCTCGCAACGTGCAGAACGAGGCCAAAAAGAAGGGCCTCCCGTGGGACATTGCCAAGGGCTTTGACACGTTCCTGCCAATCAGCCAGATCATCCCCAAGTCGGCCATTCCTGACCCGCACAATGTCGAGGTCTATCTGACCGTTAACGGCGAGGTCCGCCAGCAGGACTCGACGGAGTTACTGCTGTTCCGTATCCCGCGCATTCTGAGCGACATCTCCAAAGTTATGCCGCTGGAGCCGGGTGACCTGGTGCTGACCGGCACGCCGAAGGGTGTAGGCCTCGTCGTTGCTGGCGACGTCATGAAAGGCGGCATCCGCGTTAATGGCAAGGAGATTGAAGAGGCCCACCTGGAGGTGCCGGTTGTCGATTCGGAGGGGGACTACGCATTTGCCGAGACATAGGAGAGTGATAGGAATATGATGGAGATGGGATGTAAATATTTGTACAGAAAGAACAGATAAACACATGAACATATAAACACATGAGCATACAAACACGTAAACATCCGCCACCCGACAACGTAACATCTTACAGACAACTCACACCACCGGCCATACAATTCATAATTCTTTATTACTTAGCATACCATTTGATTGTCGCTTCCACTCCCCTACGCCTTGTTCGGATCCACGATCGAGCCCGGTGGTGGTGCCCAGTCGGCGAGGGTGCCGCACTTGCTGCATGTGCGGTCGGACTCGCTTTCGCGGAACGCCTCGACGGCGACCTTGATCTGCGTACCGAGATCTGTGCAGTGGAAAGCTGCCTCGTGCACAATGGCACGGCAGTCGGGTTGTGCGCAATACCAGCGCATACGGTCGATGGACGACGGCGGCCGACGCTGCTCAAGAACGACGCCCACTGTGTCGGCGAAGCGCACGGGGTTGTGAGGTGTGTTGGCGGGCAGCAGGAACATGGAGCCCTCGCCGATGATGATGTCGCGGAAATCACCGTCGTCGACGACCTTGAGTATCATGGCGCCCTTGTGCTGGTAGAACCACTCAGGCGTCTCGTTGATATGGTAATCCGTGCGGGCGTTGGGGCCACCGACGATCTGCAGTCAGAGTCAGGATCTGCGTAGCCAAGGCGACAAAACAAGTCTCATAAAAATGCTCAAAAGAATATGAAAAAAAAAAGTTCATACCATCACTGTAAAATCTTCATTGTAGACGCAGTAGTTATTGATTGGCGGCTTCAGTAGATGCGAGTTCGCTTCCAGCCTAGCTTGTGTCAGTCGAGAGGTTCTGATCGTCCATTCTGTGTGATCTCAAACATATTCTCATGTCATCTCATGATCTCAGAATTCTTAAACTCACCACTTGGGCAAATTCACCGGTGTTCCGAGCATAGCAGCGCGTGTGCAGAGAGTATTTCGTAGAAGTTAAATGTTCCACTGTGAATCTTCGTCTGGACAAGGAATAAAAATGTTGTCGTATGTTAAGTCGTGAAAAAGTTGAGGATTTCCTGTTTATAAATGGGTGACTCAAGCGAGTTTCTTCAACAATCTCCTTCGCCTCTCTCCCGCAGACTCCGGTCTCGGTTTCTAATCATTTCTGAGCACAGGTCACTCTCCAACGCCCTATTGTTAACGCCTAGCGCAGTCGCCTTTGGGGCCTTTGTTAAGGTGGACAGAACGAGATTTTTCTAAAAATGACTTAGTCAAAGTGACCCTGCGAGGATCGGCTGGCCCCGTTCAGAGGGTCGTAGCCACGAGGCCTGCCAGCGCTCTGCTCTGTTTCGACACCAATCTACATGCATTTTACTCCATAATCCCTCGATAATCCCTCTTAATCCCTTTGAAACGTACAGCGCCACCAAACCTGACACATCTTCCCAGCCCCTTGAGGCTTAACAAAGTGTGAGCTTCCATCCCCTTTTTACCCGTATCAGGTCTGTATATAAGTTGATTTGGACTGCTACCGACTTTTTTTTGTTCCAGTTTTGACAGACTCTCGCCGCAAAACATCATTGCCGCGAAGAGTTCAGAGTATAATACTCTGTCTCACAGGCTCTCAGCCCTGCCAGAAGCTCCTTCTCCCGGCCACCAATCAAAACTGCCTCAGCAACTCCACCTGCGCCGCGACTCACAACACAGTACGGAGTACAACATACTAGACAACAACTTTCTACTTAAGACGCACAACCACTTTGTCCTTAGGCATTTGCTGCGTTCATCGGCTGTTAAGTGCGCCTGGAGAGTTTTCAAGCTTGCAAGGCGATCTCTCATCTAGCAGCCCCTTACCAGACACCAGGTGTCTGTTCTTCTGGCCCTCACAAATCGTCCGATCTCAGCCCCAACCTACCGCCATGGACCACAGTCACCACCACATGGCCGAGGGCGCCGACATGCCCATGGACCGTTGCACTATGAACGTATGCGTCCTTTCTATCTGAATCATGGGACGACTGGCTTGAAAAGAGTCGTTCGATTATTGGTTTTGTTCCTGATAATGCTGACCGCCCTCGAGATGCTCTTCACATGGGACACCAACAACCTGTGTATCGTCTTCCGCTGGTGGCACATCCGCACGACGCCGGGCCTGATCTTGTCACTACTTGCCGTCGTCGCCCTCGGTGCCGGATACGAGGCCTTGCGCGAGGGCATTCGCCGCTACGAGATGGTGCTCGCGAAACGCGCTGAAGCTGTGCCACGTAAGCCCCCTTTCCCCTTCTGTGTTTCTTTTCATTTTTCTAGTTTGCCCACCTGTCCTTCGTTTCTTCCTGTTTGTCTCCTGTCAAACTCCAATTTGCTGCGAGAGCAAACAGCTAAGCCGTTTCTGCCGAACAACCGAATAAAGAAGACCGTGAATCCCATGGAGACCGAGATGACAATGATACTGAGACCACGCCTTTCCTCCGTACAGGCCAAGCCCAAGTCGACGTCAACAAACGCGCACACGTCACCAAGGCCGTGCTTTACGGCATCCAGAACTTTTATGCTTTTATGATTATGTTCGTCACCCGAACCCCCCCTCCCCGTAGACCTCTCTTCCCTCCTCGACAATTAACTTCAGTTTAGGCTTGTTTTCATGACGTACAACGGCTGGGTGATGCTCTCAGTGTCCATCGGTGCCTTTGTCGGCTACCTCCTCTTTGGCGGTGCGACACCGGTCGTCAAGGAGACGGCGTGCCACTGATATCGTGTCACCTCACATCGCAGCATGGGCAGCCGTCGGCCGACGAAGGTATGCTCACCGTACACCAATAGTTGTGCTGAGAGCCCGACTGAGCGGTCCACTCCGTTGTTTTTTTGAACTTATTAGGAACGATATGTCAAAGAAATGCGTACAGAGTACACCGGAGTTTGGTAGTTGAATTTATGCAGCAATGTTTTCCGAGATAGCACCGATGTTTGCCTTTATTCGCTTTATTTTGTTCTCATTAAATATAGCATGGTCCTCTACGACATGCATTTTGCTCTATACACCATCATGTCCGTCAAAATGGCTAGGTTACATCTTGCTCGCCTCCTTCAGGTCCTCATGGGTCAGCTCGCTGCCTGCCTTCTTCTTCTCACCCAGCCGGCCCATCTTCTCCAGACCTTCGATGATGCGCTCGTCGCCAAAGTGCGAGTTGTGCTCAAAAGCAGGTGTCTCTCCGTACGCCAGCTTGGCTGCGTCGACGATGATACGTGCCGTCATGCCCCACACTTTATAACGACCAGGGGAATCTCCAATTTCGTCGGTAACGGATTCATCCTGGTCCTTTTGCTCGTCTTCCTTGTCAGTGACCACGGCGGGGGGTGTCCCTACGGCTTGGTCTGCGACTACGACTGCTGCCGTTGGCTTCTTTTTGCTGTCGACGTCGTCTCCGACGTCACGTACCCGCTTCCGCGGCTTAGCTACACGCTGGCCCACTACGGGCACGTAGAAGAAGTGCATCCGCCACGGTTCCTCGTGCCAATGGATCCATGAGCCTTCGTACCAGGGACCTGGCGGCAGCTTTGGCCGGCGTAGTGGAACCCCGTTCTTGCCATTTTGAAGCTTGATCTGTGAAAGCGCCAGTGGCATGCCGTCGTCCTTGGATACCTCGTCTGTTGGTAGCAAAAAGTTGTGGAAGGGAGCGCTGAACACGGCGGCGACCTCCTTGGCGTCCAACTTTGGAATAAGTGCTTCATCGGGCGTGATCTCGTCATCACCGCCACTGTTGGATGCGGCGCCATGTGTTCTCTCCGGTGCCCCAACATCGCCCTCGCTTGCGTGTAGTAGCGCAACGCATGGCCGCACCACAAGTTCTGTCTTGGCCAGATTGTACGGCAGGTCGCACAGATGCTCGATCCGGAACGGCCGCGGCAGCTTCGAGTCATCCAGTGGCAGGCCAATTTCCTCCCACGCCTCCCGCCGTGCAATCTGCTCGGCTGATTCTTCGATTGAGTCGGCCTTGCCGCCCGGGAACGCTGCGTGACCCGAGTAGTTGCGCAGGCTGGCAGCACGCATGGTCAACACAACGCGCAGGTCGCCTCGCCGGTCGGCATACAGCAGCACCAGCACTGCAGCGCGCCGGCTGACCGGTAAGCGGTCCCAGAGGGGAAAAGGTGGTGGCCGGAAGGCGCGCAGGCGGGCAATGGCGGCCGCAGAACGAGCGTTGAGCGGAGCCATCGTGGAGGGATCCCAGTAGTAGGAATCGTCTCCAACGCTAGCGCGAGGAGCGTCGTCGTCTTCGCTAAGGTCGGCTTCAGGCTTGGGGCCGCCAACAGGCTCGGAGTTGGCTTCGTGGATGGTTGCCGCGAGGTTGTTGATTTCAGCCGGCGTAAGCGTTGGTTCGGCGCCGTTGGTCTCGGGAGAGATTGTGTTGTCGCCGGTATCGTCAATTGTCGTCAGAGCAATAGTACAATCCGTGGCTTGGTCTTCAGCAACAGCTAGACGACCAGCGCTGCCAGTGGGCATCATGGAGATGGGAAGAACAGAAAAACAGAGCAGAAGGGTAGGAAACACATAAAAAGGGTAGGTGAGGAGACAAGTCACAACAAGCAGCCCTAGCCTGGGCAGATCAACAAGAGCCGATTTACGGTGGGAATATTAGACAAGCAAATGGGATGGCTAGGATTTACCAGCGCCCTTACAGTCGCCAATCGGCAAGTTCGTAGCTCAGTACAGCCCCGGCTTGCGCCGGACAGCAATGAGGGGCGGTTATGGGCGGATGCCGAAAATTGGAGACTAAGTTCTGCAAGCGCCCGCATCGTAGAAGTTGCGGGGGGAGTGAGTAGAAAGAAGACTTGCGACAATGAAAACTGGAGGGAAAAAAAAAATAAGATTTGAGATAAACAAAAGCCTCAGCACCAAGCCCGAGAGCACTGTGAGTTTTTGGCGACGGTTCGCATAATAGTTAAGCGCACCTGTTTAAGTCAGTTTGACCATGCAAGAGTGCATTCAACACGAGGCAAGGCCACACGCATAGTGGTTAGATACTACAATACATGACATTAACCTAACAAATAATACATCGTATTTGCCAATACCCAAACCAAACGCGGTCAAAACACAAAACGCCGTGTGTGAGTCCCTTCTGTGAACCTCTTTGGAGCGCCCAAGAAACACCACAATGCATTCAATATACACAGGCCACCCCGCCATCACGATGGCGGCCAGGGTGCTACATTCATCTTCTCGTCCTCATCTCTGCCGTAAAATCGTCTTTCTCTCTTGTCATTCTGTAACCCCTCAATATTTTTTGTGCCACATCGCTCTTCCCTTGAGCCGTTATACCCGTCGGCGGCTGGCGACAACTGTGTTCAATCCAAGGCCGAATCGAGGATGCTTCGCGATGATCTACTCCTCTAGGAGATCACGGCCTCCTCAGTGGTCGTATCCTTATCGACACCAGGTAGAATCGTCTCCTCGGCCGCCGACTCATCCACAAACTTGCGCTCACTGATGTGATCCTTCTCGCCGCCGTTGGTGCTTCCGCCGTTGCTGCCGTCGGCCGTCCATACCTTGTCGGGGAACGTTCCACGCTGGCCCTCTTCATGCTTGAAAGTGCAATAGCGGTTGGTACACGGCCGGAACTTGCACATTGTTTGTATGTGTGTGAACTTGCAGCCGCGGACGGAGCAGTCGGCGCCATTGCGGCACAGCGGCATGGCTGGGTGGCGGAACTGGCAATGTGGGTTTGTACAGTTGGGGAAGAACTTGCAATCCTGCTCGCTCTGGTGGGCCGCACGGGCGGCTGGGGATGGGTGGCGTGCTGTGCACTTCTTGTTCTTGCAGGCGGCACCAAAGCTACACGCCTCCTGAACGTTGACAGTGATGCCGGGTGGCGCTGCAGGCGACTGGTGTGCGAACTTGCAATTTTCGTTCGCACAGTTGAGGTTGAACTTGCACATAGTCTCGGCTATGCTAGAAGTCTCTGGCCGGGTCGTGTCGCTGGTCATGTCAAAATCGTCGAGGGTAAGGGACTCGCCATCGGTGGCGTTGTTGTCCTTCTTTTCTGCGTCGTTGCCAGCGTCATTTGAAATGTCCTGCTGCCCGTTCCGGAAGTTCTTATTGTTCTGGTGGGGGCGCTGGATACGGTCAGCCAGTGGGCGGCCACGGTTGTTCATTCCGCCGCGGCGGTTGTTGTTGTTCTGCATCATGTTCTGCTGCATCTGCATCTGCTGCTGCATTTGCATCATCATGCGCGACTGCTGTTCAAGCATGGCGTACACGTCCATGGGCCCTGGCTGCATGGACTGCTGGCCAGTAAGCCCCTGTTGGCCGGGTTGGCCAGGCTGTCCAGGCTGACCAACCCAGGGCATGCCTGGCTGGCCACCACCCATCCCAGCGTTGGCAAGAGCATGGTTGAAGCTGGCGGTTGCACGGCCGTTCATATGCCGTGCTTGGCGGCCGTTTCCGAAACCGCCCATACCTCCTCGGCCATGTGGCCCACCGCGGGCGTGCGTGTTAATACCGCTGCCCTGACCACGGACGCGGTGCAGTACTGAATCGTTTGAGCGGTCCATTTGGCGGTTGATCTGTCCCACCACACGCTTGTCCCGTCCACCACGGAAGCCACCTGCACCGCTTCCGCTGCGCATGGCCTTAGGTCCTGTTGGTCTGCACACGGATGTTAGTAAATCTAGGTATAAAAAGGGGCAGAAGAGTCGGGGGAATAGTACTTACGCGCCAATATCACCAACGCTGTCGGCGCCCGTGAGGTCCATCTCCACATCTTGGTCTGCGTTGTCATGAGCAGGAGCGACTTGAGCCGCAGGTGGGCCGTTGATTGTCGCATTCTGTGCCTCGACGGTTTCAAAGAGCCATTTTGAAAATTCACGGGCACTGTTATCTTCGGGGTCAAGGTTGAGGAGGTCTCTGGCAAGCTCCCCCGAGATCTCGTCTTCTTGTCTTCCGTTGACGAGCATGAGGATGATGTATTCGGCCATCGTGTTGTCGCTATCGTCACTGGGTGCCCACCCGTTTTCAGCAAGCTTCTTCTGGACCTCGCGCTGCAGAGCCTCCGCCAGAGGCGATTGCATCGTAATTTCGACAGGCATTGCGAGATGTGCGTGCTGGCACGTGGCCTGCTGGGTAATAAGTAAGAAGGGTGGAAAAAGGTTCGTAGGTCGGTCGCCGTGGAGGCAAATCGCGACAAGATGCAAGGCTCGATATGAGCAGCTGCAACTGGATGCGCCCAAGTGCGTATGCTGTTTCGAAAGGACAAAATCCGGTACCACCTCGATCGCAAAACGGGAGGAAATGAGTTGTCTTGTGCTTGCGGTTGGTGATGTCGATGGGGATAGAAGTCGTAAGGAGCACAACATGTGGCAATCAGTTTCAAGAGCTCTGCAGAAAAATGAAATGCTTTCGATGCGCCTCCCATAAAGGAAATTTGTCGCTGGTGTGCTGCGACATCCTTGGAGCAGCATGCTAGCGCGACAAATGACGCGCTTTCATTGGCCCACTGCCAAATGCTGTCACGTGCTGCACAGTGAATTGATGGTTTCAGAAACAGATGGCAGGCGCTGGAACCTGAATGGCGTCCTGAGGCACCGAAATGGATTAGTCATTTGTAGTTTCTAGTGGCAAAACTCAATTGCCTAAATAGGAACAGTGGGCAACAGCATTACTCAATGCTCAGGCACAGCCGTGGCACTCCCAAGCCGCGCTCCCGCACCCATAGCTTCAATATCCAGGTGTTATGCCGCGCTTTGTACCTTGCCCAGGCCGTACAGCAATATGCAGCAGCTTCCGTAGAATACGGAGGACTTAACCTTTATAGCCCGCGTGCTCGACTCTGCAAGTATTCGGAGAGAACCATCCTTCTTCGCGGTCGAAATTATGCAGTGTTGTAGAAATAAAAGTTTCAATACCGAATATGCCGTTAAAATGCCCTGGTCTATTAAGCCCCGAGGCGGATGTGTCGTTGGAGCGGGCTGCAAATTGATGGTTGCACGAATTACGATGTTCGTGTGCGTTAAGCCATAGCGGCCGTTACCGTCTTTTACTTTGTTTCCTTTCACTTCACATCCACGCGCCAGTCTCTACTAGGCTATAAACGTCGTACTATGTTTGGGATCTTTTTCTACCGTGGCTTGTCCGACGGGTCTGTCTAACCAGCCTGTCTTACTACGGTCTTGGTTTGCTCTTCTATTTGCACGCTCGGGCGGTCAAACATCTTCGCTGTGTCGCCTGCCGAAGAACGACGCGCCGCCGTACAACATCTCGTGGAGCACACTTCCTGGGTAACTGTCCTGGAGGCTGCAATCCGTCACGTCGTACGTCATGCGCCACGTTTTGGTTGGCCGGGCCCAGACTGACCGTATGCTGCCCTCCATTTGCCGGCGAGTTTTGTTCTGTAGCACAACCGTCCTCCAGTTGCATTCCGTCGTTGTGAAAGGTGCTCCAAGCCGAGGCACAGGGCCTTTGTCGAGCAAAAACACGAGGCCAGGCAACGAAATGAAAGACCAACGAAGACATAAGAGTCGGCGGCTGTACACACATTCCATACTACATTGAGCATGGGCGACTGAGTGAGCAGCTGACGCGCCCAGGAACTGTGGGCGATCCCAATCTCAGTCACATATACTGTTACATGAACCGCTAGCAATTCAACATCAAGAGAGAAACAAAGACATAAAGTTTCTCGCCCTTTACGTTGTCAGCTGGTTTTGGCAGTAACTTCGGCCAGTCGCACCTTCCCGACCTTTTTCCCCGGCCTTTTCCCCCGGCCTTTTCCCTTCCGCGCCCTGATCCTTAATAACACTTTCTTTTTTCCTGTTCGTTTACCTTGCCTATTCTCACACGTTCGCGTCTCCTGACCATATCCCCCCCTCTTCCCCTCGGCGATTCCCAATCGCCCGCGCTTTTTGGCCGGGCCTTTTCTGATCGCGGCGATCTACCTCTGACGTAACGTTGCGCCAACTGGGCTACCAGCCTCGAGCCAGCCTCCAAGCGCACCATGCCCAGCACGACTCGCACCAACTGCCATTAACTTTGTCCAGACTGTAAGGCCGGCACGCTTTTCAACCTCATCGTTTTGCTCTCTGGCCTTGCTCCGGTTAAACCAGTGCAGGGGGCCTGCCGGTTCAAATACAACGCTAGCTCGGGTCAGGAACAGTAGATCGTCGGCCCTTGGGAGATTGCCAGGTTGTGCATCTGAGGCAAGGCTGTCGAGAACGACTCGAATCCGTCCACTCTTACTCCGTTCACGACCCACGGCTGGACAAGCCAGGCCTCGTGGTTCGTCGTGCGGTCCAGTGTTGGAGCTGTTCGTTTGAAACCAGCCCTGTTAGTTTAGACTGAACTTGCTGCGCGACAACGTCACACACGCGAGCACCCAGTGTTCGTCGTGCATCGTCGGGTTTGGGTCGCTTCTAGTTACAACACTACACAAACGCCACTTTCATCCCACTTCACTTGTGTTGTCTCCTCTCCCGTCCCTTGTTTCTTGTTCCCCAACCCGCCTCCAGGCAGATCCGTCCAGTCCTACGTTGTCTGCCACCGTCCCAGAGCAGCGGGCAGATTGCAGAGTCGGAACCTCTGCTTACCCTGCCTTTTCCTGACAATATATATTAATTATTGACTGCGGAACCTGGACTGAGATCGACATAAGCCAGAGGAGGGATTAAGACACGCGAGGCAGAAGAACCCCCGGCGAGCACTTTTACACGGGAATAGAAACCTGCCAGAGATTCAAAGTCATTGCTCTCTTCCTTTTTTCGTGTCGATTTTTCTTCCACTCTTCCTATTCCTCTTCATCCCTCCTTTGAACTCAAAGGATTCCTCGGCCAACCTCGCGTCTCCCACGCGCGCAACTTTTCTTCTTCGTTTTTTACTCGCCTACACCTTTTCTCCCTTCGTTCTTCCTCGTCACTTCATCATGCTGCCGTCACGGGAGATCGTCGCGACAATTCTTCTGGCAGTGGCCAGCCCAGTTGCGGCCGTGTGGCCTATTCCAACTTCCATGACAACAGGCAATACATCCCTGCTGATCAACCAGAACATTGCCGTCACATACAACGGTGCACCAGTACGGACCTTCTCTTCTTCCGTCTACCCCATTTTTTCCTCTTGCCCAATTCCAAAGAACGGCTATCACCTCCAACAGTGTTTAAATCCTGACCGTCTGCTCGTGCAAAAACAGGTTGTCTACACGTATGGCTATGAGCCTCGCGATGTCCATAACAGTGCTCAAGTGGTCGCCGGCGGCGTGTCGCGTGCGCTTTCAGCCATCTTCCAAGCAGGGCTGGTGCCGTGGAAGCTGCACCGGAAGAACTCACTCGACAGCTTCCAACCTAACCTCTACTCAGGCACGAAGTGGGTGAGTTCGCTTACAATCAAGCAAACCAGCAAGGATTCAAACACGACCTTCCGTCCCAAGGCCGGCGAGGTGGATGAGTCGTACAACCTGACGCTCAGCACAGCCGGCGCCGCCACGCTGACAGCCGTATCGTCTACGGGCGTTCTGCATGGTCTGGAGACGTTCGCGCAGCTCTTCTATGAGCACACCGACGGCAACGCCTGGTACACGCCCTTTGCACCGGTCTCGGTTCAGGACTCCCCCAAGTACCCGCACCGCGGTGTGATGATGGACGTGGCGCGCAACTGGTACGACGTTAAGCACATCTACCGCACCATTGACGCGATCTCGTGGAACAAGATGAACAGGCTACACCTACATGCTACGGATTCACAGTCGTGGCCGCTGGAGATCCCGAGCATGCCGGAAGTCGCCACCAAGGGCGCGTATCGCTCGGACCTGACCTACGGCGCCGATGACCTGGAGGCTCTGCAAAAGTACGCCAACGCACGGGGCGTGGAACTGGTGGTTGAGATCGACATGCCGGGCCACATCGGCTCTCTGTCGTGGTCGCACCCGGAGCTAATTGTGGCGTACGACGCGTTCCCGTATTTTTGGTGGTGTGCCGAGCCGCCATGTGGTGCATTCAAGCTGAACAGCACGGAAGTTGATGATTTCTTGGATAAGCTGTTTAACGACCTGATGCCGCGCGTGGCGCCCTACTCGGCCTACTTCCACATGGGTGGTGACGAGCTCAACGCCAACGACTCTCGCCTCGACCCCGGCGTAGGAACCAATGCGACGGAGGTGCTGCAGCCGCTCCTGCAGCGATTCGTTGCCAACAACCACAAACGCGTGAAGGCGCACGGTCTCTCGCCGATGGTATGGGAGGAGATCCCATTGACCTGGAACGTGACGCTGGGCAACGACACAGTGGTGCAGTCTTGGCTGGGCGACAGCTCGGTCAAGTCGCTGACGCAGCAGGGCCTCCAGGTCATCGACAGCAACTACAACTACTGGTACCTCGACTGCGGCCGCGGAGAATGGCTCAACTTTGCCAACGGCGAGGCATACTCGACATACTACCCGTTCAATGACTGGTGCGATCCCGCCAAGAGCTGGCGTCTGGTGTACTCGCACGACCCGGCGTCCGGCCTGTCGGACGAGGAGGCCAAGCTGGTCCTGGGCGGCGAGGTGGCACTGTGGAGTGAGACGGTAGACGGCACGAACCTGGACACGCTGCTGTGGCCTCGCGGCAGTGCCGCAGGCGAGGTACTGTGGTCGGGCAACAAGGACCCGGTGACGGGCCAGAACCGCAGCCAAATGGAAGTGGCGCCGCGGCTCAACGAGTGGCGGGAGCGCATGGTGCGCCGTGGCGTGATGGCGGCGCCGATCCAGATGGTGTGGTGCACACAGGCAGACAACTCGACCGAGTGCTCGGCGCCGGCGGGGCCAGGTTACTAAGAGGCCGAAGCGGGCGGGGCCAGGTTACTAAGAGGCCGAAGCGTGCGGGGCCAAGACGCATGGGGGTGAGACCGGTTGCAATGTAGGAGAAGGAAGCGAGCGCACGACGTAATTACAAACCCATATTCATATAAAAGGAATCCACTGGCACAGTTGGCCCGGCTAGACGTTTGGGTAGTGTAGGACCCGTTTCATGGCGTGGAGCTAGCTATTTTATTACTCCTGGATGGATGGCGTATCTCGAATCTGCCAGATCAAAGGTCAGAGACTGGTAGAAAACGAGTACACGACTTCACATGGGAGTCTACAGAGCAAAACGTATCATACAGTATTGGTAATGAGCATGATGACGCTCACATTTTCGTACTTGCAAAAGCATTCGTCATTCCCGCCAAACCCCCCGAGGGAAACGCAGTGGGGACGGGTTCATTCCGACAGTGATCCACGTCAAGAGCCACAACTGCCACGAAATCTCATAAATGCACTGAACCGGCGGAGTCTAAAGATCACAGGACGAAAGTCTGGGGAAGCAGGCAGGCGATTATCAAACACGTCCTCGAGCACTCGGGATGGATCCAGCGGTGAAGGACTTTGTAGACGGACGGGCTGGATGGGGTAATGGAACAAGCGCAGCCGAATTCTGGTTTTGCACGGAGTAGCCTGTCGTCGAGTTATGTTGGTTTAACAAGCACGGGCAATGCTGATCGTGAAGATGATCAGAAGCGGGGTAAACGTGGCAGACACATGAAACCCAAGAGGCAGACGCCAGTGTGCACTCACTATCTAGCCGCCGCTGCTGTGTTTGTTACCGCGCCGAGCGAGTCGCATTCATACCTGAAGCTCTTTGTATTTTTAGTTTTAGTCTTGATCTCCCATGTCTTGCACGGATTGCGATATACATGTCTGCCCTTTTGCCGTCCTTTTTTGTTCCTGATATTGGACCGCTTTGGCACACTGCCAGCGTGTTTGCGAGAAGCCAATCTTTCTTCGTTCGTCCCGTCGCCCATTCTTCGTCTCCTTGTTTTCTGCCTGATGTCGTCTTCTCCCCGTTGGCATTTGCCCCTCGACGATCGCATGCGTCTCTTGCGGGGTTTGTTTCCGTCTGGAAGGTCCTATTTTTGTTCCATACGTCTGTTCCGCCGTTACGTTTCCGATGCACTCCATCGTGTTCTTTTCCAGTGCAAGTAGCGCCAATGCCACTAAAACAACGAAAACCCTCCCGTTTCAACTTCAATCAAACATGGTTAGACTTTCTTTCCCCGCAACCCAATGAAGCAAACTGCCTCGGCATGCGCTCTTTTTTTTGGTTGTGCTTTCTTTCTGACAGCTGAATATGCGCGCCTCCCTTGACAGCCCCCGCCCTCCTCCTGTCAGCTACGACCACCAGCCAATGGATATACACCAAAGCAGTACGCGGTCTTCTCAGCGTAGCCTTTTCAAGTGCTCGCCAACATGGGGAGCTGTCGCAAGCACGGCGATTGGACCATGGCGGCTAGGCAGATTGACTGCTTACTTTACCCAGACGCCGTAATTGGAGGCACCGCAGGAATGGCCTTGCAACGACATCCTTACAACGTCCCATATGTATCTTCGCAGGTTTGCGGCATCGCTCAGTCTGGTCTGTCCGGTCGGCCTGCTCAACTTGCCTCTGGCGGTTGACCGGCATTGTATAGTCTCCACAGCAGTGCCTCCCGTCGCCTTGTAATTTGCAAACCCCGTGCTGCCGCCGCTGTCAGTGGAGAATGTACGATATGCCTACGTACACCGATCGAGTGAGCTGAGGAAGACAACCGAAGCGTAGAGCGACACTGCATCGAGTCAGGTGTGAGCACAGCACGTTACGGTGCCGGAGAGTGGCCCGGGCGGAGAGTCCACATGCAAAACGATGTGCCGTTTGTAGATGCTCTGCAGATGCGCTGCAACGACATGGACAAGTTGAACAAGTCCCAAACTCGAAGCAGGCCGACCAGGCTTGCCAGGCAGCAACAATGCACACATTCAAATGACGAGAATCAAATGGACATAGTCTGATGTTCGAATGAGGACTGGCGAGTATCTAAACGCCGCTGTCCAGCAAGCTCCACGCTGCTGCTGTGTAGCTGTACAAAGATTGGGACTTGTAATGCGTCTGGGAAGGTGCCTGCGCCAACATGCCCAGGCGCCTCTTGACCAACAGTTTCCCCGGATTCAATCCGACTTTTTAAACCCCAGGTGCTAAGATGCCTTGGCCTGCCGAACCTAGATGGCCAAGTTAGTTCCGAGATCCATCGTTTCCGTTGCTCCTAATGCCCCATACTTTGCGTCCTCGTATGATAGCCCATCCCTTGTCCTCTTTGTCGTTCCCCCCGCTCTCTTCTTTGTAAATCGTCCCCGAGCTGCTCGTTGCTCGTCTGTATTACGACACCCTTTTCCGCCTTCTTGGTCCGTCTGCTTCCTCGTTGGATCATGATATTGTATTTTGGCACGGAGCATGTGTTACAAGAAACGACCAACTTCTATAGAAGGAACGCATCCCCCTCCTTCGCTCCTTCTCATTTTTTCCTGTTTCCCCACGACCATTCCCTCTAAGCCAAAAACGACGTCATTTGTTATTGTATTTTTCCGGCACCGTTCCCAAGGCCTCTTCTTGTTTTCTTTCCCCTGCCACGCCATCTCCACAACCAGGGTACATTTGCTTGGTGCATTCTGTCTGCCCCTCGTCGCCATCACGCCAACCCTCTGTACTGCCGCCGCTGCACTCGCCGGTTTTCCTCTCAAAATCCGGCAATCGACAACTCGCCATTATGGGCTTGATTGAGGACATCGCCAGCCACTTTTCGTGGAAGTCGGCCTTAGCCGTCACCGTCCTGGTCTATGTCGTGTACTCGGCCTATGTCCACATTGACGAGCGCAACCGCCTCCGCCGCACGGGCGGCGTCCGGGCCCCGTACTTTCCCGGCCGTCTTCCGGGCAGCATCGACCTCGTTATCCGCACACTTAAGGCCGCCTCCAAACACAAGAACCGCGAGCACTGGGAGTTCATTTTCCGCTCTGTCGATAACCACAGCGCCGAGTTCCGTGTCCTGGGCCGCCGCATCATCTTCACCGATGATCCGGAGAACATCAAGGCCATCTTGGCCACCCAGTTCCAGGACTACGGCAAAGGCGAGCCCTTCCACCGAGAGTTTGAGCCCTTCCTGGGAGATAGCATCTTCACTACCGACGGCAGCCGCTGGCACGCCAGCCGCCAGCTCCTCCGCCCGCAGTTCATCAAGGACCGCGTGTCCGACCTGCACACCTTTGAGAACCACCTGCAGGTCTTGTTCGCTGCCATGGCGGTTGGCGGCGATGCCGCCGCCACTGCCGCTTATATTTCGTCCCGCAACGATGGCACCACCGTTGCCAACATGTCAGCCAACGGCCGCACCCTTGACATGGCCGACCTCTTCTTCCGCTACACGCTAGACGTGGCTACTGACTTCCTTCTTGGAAAGGACACGCAGTCTTTGACGTATGTCTCTCTCTTTCACCGTTAAACGACCCTCTTCCCCCCTTGTTTCGTTCTTGCTTTCTCACCCATTTTGTTCACTTTTCGTCTCGCCAATAACTGCTGACAATCACACAGCATCCCTCGCCAGGAGTTCGCCGAAGCCTTCAACGAGGTTCAACGCGTCCAAAGTTTGATCAGCCGCACCGGCCCGGCCAACACATTCATCCCGCGCGGCTCGTACAACCGTGGTCTTCGTGTCATTGACGAATTTATCAACCCGTTTATCGACAGGGCCCTCTTGTTGTCGCCTGACGAGCTCGAGAAGACCATACACGACAGCGACGACACCCAGGGCCGTTACACATTCCTGCATGCCCTCGCCCAGTTCACGCGCGACCGCAAGGTTCTGCGTGATCAGCTCATGGCCGTACTTCTGGCCGGCCGCGACACAACTGCCGCCACGCTCTCGTGGGCCATATACGAGCTGGCCAAGAAACCCGAGTGCGTCAAGCGCCTGCGCGCTGAGATCGCCCAGAACGTTGGCATCGAGGGCCAGGCCGAGTGCCGCCACCCCACGTACGCCGACCTCAAGTCCATGAAGTACCTGCAGCATATCTTGAACGAGACACTGCGCATGTACCCGGCTGTGCCCTTTAACGTGCGCCTGGCCCTGCACGACACCACATTGCCACGCGGCGGTGGGCCGGACGGCTCTGAGCCGGTGGCTGTTCTCAAGGACACCCCGATCGGCTATTCGACCCTGCTCATGCACCGCCGTGCCGACCTGTACCCCGCCAACCTGCCCGACCCCAACGAGTTTTACCCCGAGCGCTGGGACCACTGGCAGCCGCGTCCCTGGCAGTACATCCCCTTTAACGGCGGGCCGCGCATCTGCATTGGCCAGCAGTTTGCCCTCACCGAGATGGGCTACGTGCTGGTGCGCTTCTTCCAGAAGTTTGAGAGGATCGTGAACCACATGGATCCCATCGACGGTGGTAGCCCCAAGCTCAAGGCTGACATCGTCTTGCAGCCTGGCGATGGCGTCAAGGTTGCATTTTTCGAGTCCGGCAAGGCACAATAAGCGACGGTGGTAAAGAAGAATGGCAGGACAGCAGGCGATGCATATAAAGTATATGTGGTGAGGTTTATCATGTAACGGGCTGCAATCTGAGGTGGGAGAAACCACGCTTGTATCATATTTCATGTTTTACGTATCCACGTTTTTGATGTTTTCCTTCTCCTACGGTTACGAATCTAAATGCACACCTCACATATCACACACACCCAGCTTTATATGTTGTTGGCTTACAATCATTCTTTCAGTGTCGTACGACAGCTGTAACTAGCGCCTGGCTGACATCAGCGTCAACATCAACTGCATGATGCTGCAATATCTGTTGTCGTTTATTGCTAAGATCACTCCTGTAAACATCAACCGCCGTAAGGCACCTGCAATCATAACCGCGGTTTGTCCCATCAAAGCACCGTGGATCCGAATTAGTACCATCGTCTTCCCCGTATGCAACGTAGCTCGTGTCGTCTTGTCTTTGAAGAACTATTTATCTCGCGACTTATTTTGCACTACAAGCGGTAGCTCTCCCGAACGGCCTCTCCAAACCGACGGATGGCCTCGGTCATAGCCGGCGCTGAGGCTGCAGCAAAGGTTGCACGGAAGTAGAGGCCTTCTAGGGGTTGGTCAGGCTCTGCAGCAAACCAGGATCCACGGCCGACGAGCACACCCTTTTCGATACAAAGGTCAAAGATCTCTTCCTCCAATTCTAGGATACCACGCTTGCCATGGTCCGGGTGCCGGGTGTGGTCAACTTTAAGCCAATGCTAAGATTAAAAGTTAGCCGGCGCTTTATCAAAAAGAAAGAGAAGAAAGCAACAACTATTCCAGATGGCTTACAAACATGCCGGCGGTAGGAGCGTTCCAAGAGACAATACCAGCCGGCAGATGGTCCACGCAGGCGTCCAAGAGAATATTACGGCGCTGGGTGTAGGATTCGCGGAGGTGTTCCAGCCACTTGAGATAGCCCTCATGCCCCCACGTTTTATCGACGAGTTGGTAGATCGCTGCTTGCGAGATACCGGAAGGCCCTTGGTTGCAAGCCTCGCCGTGGCGTACGAACCGTTCAATGATCTGCTCCGACGCTGTCAACCAACCCATGCGCGAGCCGGGCACCAGGACCTTGGAAAAGGAGTCCATGCGCATCACGCGGCCGTCTACATCGAGGCTCACAAAGGTCGGGATCAGCGACTGCAAGAATTCGTCGGAGTTTCGAGCTGGGGTCGACGTTGGTGCACCAGCTGGGCGGTCCCGCTCGTACGGGGGCATCTGCAGGAAGTAGTATGGCTCATCCTCGAGGATATACACGTCGTGGAGGCTGCAGACGTCGTAGATGGCCTTGCGGCGCGCGGCGCCTTGGGTTGCTCCGGTCGGGTTCTGACCACTAGGAACAGTGTACAAGAGATGGGGTTTAGGAGAACCGCCACGCGCCTGCACGTCCCAGCCGGACAAGAGGTCATCCAAGCTCTCCGGGAGCATACCCTGCTCGTCCATCTCCACGCCCAACACACGGATACCCAGAGGTGCAGCCGTCTCCAGCGCCGTAGAAAAACTGTAGGTCTCCGTCAACATTATATCACCACGCTCGCGGTCGCAGAACATGCGTAGGGCCTGCTCAAGAGCTCCGGTGCTGCCTACTGTAAGGCATGTTTTCCAGTCAGAGTATGGCGGGCGGCATACGAGTTCAGTGTGCTCCGTAACCCAGCGTAGCATTTGAGCTGAACCTGTCGACTGGCCATAATTGAGCGCAATGGACAGGTCGTACTCCTCTGCAGGGCTGCTGCCGCCACTCGTAGCAGCCAGGGTCTGTGACGCATCGTATTTGCCCATGCTGACAGTTACACCTCCATCCTCAGATGCCGCTGCAGCCTCCGTAAATCCGGCATGTCCATTAGGGACGCGTAGGCTCATAGAAAGAATGGGGAAATGCTCCGGTGACGGTAGGCCGCCACCAAGAGAGAGCAAGCCTGGCTTCTTCAGGTGGCGCGCCGCTTGCTTCAGTACACAGGGCTCCCGTGCCGCACTCTCTTTACTCAGGATATGATCCCATCGCCGTGCCTTGGGTAGCTGACGCCAAGCCGGGAAGGTCTTGAACAAATCGACGTCAGCCGAAGCGGCCGTGCCGGCTACCAGTCTGCCGTCTCGCTTCCGCCGTGCTTCGATATCGGCGACGGTGATGCTGTACTGTCTATCAGCCGGGTCCGACCCGTACTGAACCTCGGCGGCAGCCGCCAATGACGCACTTGACTGTGCGGTTGAAGCCACAGAGAAGCATTGTGAATTTCCTAGCCGTTCCACCTGTTGGTAACCCGTCAGCTTTTGTTGCGGTGCTATGAAGCCACGCCGAGAAAGCTGCCGTGCCACTTGAATTGATACTCCGGCCATCAGGACGGTAGTTGGGGCGGATAAAGACCGCCGGGCAAGCAGCGCCGCAAAATGGCCCATACTTTCGATGTCCTGGCGGGTTAGGTGGTGAAATAGCACGTATGTCTTTTTGTTTTTTGTTTTTTTTGTGGTTGTGATGTTTCAGTACAAGACGTGGTGAAATTCGATGAAGTCAAGTAAACTGACAGCAATAGTAGTGAGTTTCGGCCAAATAAGAAAAGAAATATAATCAGGTACTTCTCATTCAGCTGATCAGCTACAGGAGTGGGATGGACGGCTGCTGGTGACTTCCTCGTTGGTAGTGTAAAAGAAGGCGATGGGGAGGAGACGCCGGGTGATAAGTCGGTCTCTATGGCTGGAAGCGGTTATCGCGACCTTCGACCAGGGGCTCGGTTTTACGTTGTCGTTGGGCGCAGTTGGCGTCTCGCGCGGACCTGGCGTGTGCGGGGCAGTATTAAAACTCCGTATTACGGTCCGTATCTAGCCGCATATACCCACCCTTTAGGACGGTGAAAAAATGCTTCTTCGCCGACACTGGATCGATAAGATCATTGTACGTATATCGCGATAGGACTTGGGTCAAATGACACATTTTACTAACTCGAGCAAGAATGTCGTGGTTTAATGCGGAGCAAATGGCTACTGATAGTGAATTTAACGCAAAGATCCAATACTGGACAACAAATGCAACGGTCCAGCCCATTCGACCGGCACCATTTCCGTTTGTCGGCTTGCCAGCCCAATCCCAGATGATCGGCGAACTTCGACGCACAGAATAGATAGGACCGGGCCGTGCATTGCGAAACGGCTCCGTCGTATCCGAATAAGCTGCCGATAAGCGTGGGTTGTTCAAGTGTTGTTATTTGGCTACGCTTTATCTGCATCGTTGACGTCGAAGTAAGCAGCTGAGGTCACGGCGATGTATCCACGTTTTCAGTTGAATAAAGCCCCAACCAAGAGACATTAGTGCATGTCAACGCAGGGAGGCATATGTGTGTCCGCTTTAGTCATATCTCATGATGTCAAATGCGCCAGGTCGCAGTTATATATAAATCGTAGTTTGCCGCCGTCGCTGTCCAAATAAGACTCATGATGGCAGAGAATAAAACGTAATGTCCAGCGCACCGGGTGGGTAGTCCTTTAGAGTGGCTGAGCAGCCCGGACGGAAAGTAAAACCGACATAAAATATCACCTATGAGAAACACTTGTGCATCGGCGACAGAACAATAGTCCACATAGTCGAAACATACGCAAATCAGAAATCGTGAAATAGTTCATGCTCGAAGAGTTCAACGATCCTAACTGAAAACAAAACATACTCAACAAAAGAGCAAAGAAGAAATAAACGAAAAAGCAGAAACCGAAAGGACCAAAAACCTCCGTACAGCCGGTGCTATTCTGTAGTCTTGCATGAGTTGCTGTTGAATTGCCTGTAGTAATCAGGGCAGACATGATGAAGGTTGTGTGCAAAGATAATCATGCACGGGGCATGGGTTGCCGACCACAAGTTTGGTGCGATGGTAGGATGTGATTCGAAACACTGTGCAGAGGTCACCAGCTCAAAAGTCATGGTTGTGCTTATGTACCGTCGTTATCGGCTCGCGTATCCTGAACAAAAGTAATGGTCAGATATATCGCCCGTCGCAGCCGGATCGTAACAACGAAGGGAAGTAATTAGAATTTATGCCGAAAAAAGGAGAGAGAAAATACAGCCGGCGACGCCACTTTGGCCCTCGAAACAAGGTTTCGCCAGGTCCGCAGTTTTTGAGGGGATTTCGAGGAAAGTTAAAAAGGTGGGAAACGTAGATGATGGTGAAGCGTCCCGGCGCATAATAAAGAGCTCACACGGTCGTTCGCCCGAAGGCCATTGGAAGACGCTGGTCTCTCCTATATCAGCTTGCAGTATTACACCATATTTATGGCAGGTGGCATAGACTCTGCAAGCAAATCCGGAACCAAGGCACAAAGATGGATCACTGTGGCAATGATGTGGGGGCCAAGGAGGATATTTCGATGTCTTCGAGTAGTGGGTCATCCAGCAAGTTCCACAACATGCTTCTTCAAGATTCTGAAGGAAATAAGATGATACAGTCCAGGGGTGTCAGTGTGTCCATTTAAGCTACTGTCGAGTGGTCCAATCCGATCCGGATATCCTGTCAGGCACTGGGGAAACGGTTGGGTCCATGGTATGTCCAGGTGCTAGCAATTGTTTCTTTGAATAGCCTGTAGGGGGCATCGTTGGTCAAACCAAGACCAGGGCGGTGGATAACCAAAAAAGTGAAGGAAGCGTTGTGTGTGAAAAAGGACGGAGGAACCAATGGCAGAGTTGGAGAGCATAAATGGGCACGGGAGTATTGTTTACATGATCCCGGGCTTTCGATACATGTCCGTATCCATGTCCAAGTCCGTTTGCCGTGCCATGTACGGCTCAAAAGCCGAAATATAAGGAAAAGTGAACAGCAGGCTTCCTTTGGCCGCTCGAGCTACGCCACTGGCAGGTGAAAACAGGTCAATGCTGCATTGCAGCTCAGATCCTCTCCGCCGGACACATGCTGGCCGTCGAAATAGTCACAGTCCACAGTGGGAAAAGGACCAATCTTCACGCCTTGGAAATATCGAGCCTATCACAATGTCAGTGAGTGTATCCAGAAATCTATTATACATGGGCAACACACACCATTTTCAATCACGCCCCCTTGGCGATCAAATCTCGTCATGTTCTCGTCCGTGAGGGTCGTTGCTGGTCCACCGATTTCTGAGAAACTGTTCGAGGCAGGTCCAGTTTTCATCAAGTCTACGTCGATACCAGCGCCCTGTCTACTGGCATCATCTGAAGCTTGAGTAAACTGGCCTGGCATGTGAGACACGATGCAAATGTCCGGAATGACGTGGTAAGAATGCTCAATGTGAGCATGGCGGTAGCATGCGGCCAGCACCCGAACAGGTTTCCGGGGTTTGCTTCCACAATCGCAGCCGGTAGTAGGATCATCGGAACAGCCCAAAACCTAAGACTAAGACGTGTGCTAGGAGATGGCAAAAGAAAAGGGGAAAAACGAATACAGCAACGTGTGTACCGCTTGACCAAAGGAGGAAACAACAGTATCAAAGGACCAAAAAAAAAGAAAGAAAAAGAAAAAGAAAAAGAAAAAGAAAAAGAAAAAAGAAACTAAAGGGTGGACAACTCACATAAGGTAAGAGTCCAGCTGGACCACAACGTAAAGAGCATAGGCGATAATATACACGGCCTGGAGACTGCAGCATAGATAGAAATAAGCGGGAGTAAATAGAAGAGCTGCACAATGGCCACCATAGATGGCCATAAGAACAAAACAATTGGAGATCAAAATGTGTATCAAATAAACGAAATGGCACTTGCAAGTTCAAGAAGCCCTCTGCCAGACACTTTTTTTCTGCCATGAGATATCCGGGGATGACGAAGATCATTGCCTCGGCGATGATCTTGACACAGCCTATCGAGACTCGGTTCTTGCGTGTGAACGCGCACAATACTTCCGGGGACTGCGTCATAGGCTTCAAGAGAGGCCCTTATTGAGTCAAACTGAGATGTCATATTGAATGACAGAAGCAAAAGATGCGTAATTTTGAGAACCACACACGGGATGTAACAAGGAAACTGCCAAAAAAAAAACGCCAAGTATCGACTGAAGGTGAAGATAAATGATGCTATAAGTAGGAAATACAAACCACAACGAAAAGAAGTCTAAAAACGCGAATGAAAATGTTGTTAGCATCTCAAGACCGTTGACAAGAAGGAGAGAGATGAAAGAGAAATTGAAGAGTCAGGAACAACAAACAATGATAAAAAAGGAAACCCACATCTCGAAATGACCCGAAATAGAGGTAGAGGGCAAAACTGCAATTTAAAATCATATGTAAGTGAGCCACAGTCGCCCAACAGGATCAATCACAGTGGGCTCTTTAGCAGGTCTTCAGACGTAGTAGGTTGCCTCAGGCTGACCATGGTTTGGTTGTGATGCTCAAAAAAGGCGACTCCAGGCAGGCACAATATTCATCGGCAATTGGTCCCAGCAGCACAAGGCTGGCAACAACCAAGTCAAGATGTCGGGCAATCATGCAAAATGGGCTTATAATTAGTTTTTGTGAAAGGGTGATTGAGGGTCTAGATAGACTGCCAATATCCTTGGAGGGCGGTCGTAAATAGTCCAGGATTTCTGACGCGCGAGGCAATGGTCGCATGTGGCAACGTGATTGGAGCTTCGGAATTTTCATGGCACCATCAGCATCAAACATTCAGAGTGGTGCTGCCCAACAATTGCCCGGCGCTTTACACGCTCCATGTTAAAGAAACTGTATGGTTTGGCAAAAACCATAAGAGTATGCTCCTGTACGGAAATTGGACCTACTTCGTTGAGCCTCATCCACCAGCGCGTCTTCTTTCATATCCGCTCTAGCCTTTCCCTGGCCTTTTATGGTTCTGCCTCCAAGTCGGCTCACGCCACATGGGTGCAGACTAGCAAGAACGCCGATGACCGTTCCTCTTCCGCGATCCTCGACCGCCTCGATCTGTCCGACTCGCCGGAAGTTAGAGACTGACTGGCGTTTTGGTTGGAAACAAAAAGGCTGCCATCGCACCATTTGTCATACAATGGTTGCGCATGGCGTTCAGGATCCACCATACGGATGGTCATTGAAGGTACCTATGCATTCGCAAAGTTGGGCCCCCAAACCACAAAACCAACGATGGCCAAGAATGAAACAGTCTGTGGCCAAACATGTTGCCGAAATTATCGTGGCTGCTGGTACAGCATCAATAGCCTCCCGGCGTGCAATCCTTCTAGAAAGTGGCTTGCGGTACAATGAGGTATGATGACGAACATCCAGCATAGATTCTGTAATTGCCCGATTTTTTGACCGACATACGTCCTGAGGACAGGAGCGATTTACCTGGGTGCTCTATGGGCATAAGAGTGCTCTACTTTTCAAAGCGCTCGAGCAGCCGTCGACCGAGGTGGCGCTGGTATCCTGTGTGGTCCTTTGGTACACGGTATCGTCTTTTGCAATACGGCGCCGCGGCTTGGACCAGTACCAGTTGTTGTTCTTCCTCATTGCTGGGGGGGCCGTTGCCGGGGTGGCCGTCGTTGTAGAGGCAAGCAAACATGTCGTCCTGCTCGCTTATGTACCGTGGGCGGCCTGCCTTGCGATGGCGGTCAGTTCGGCGGCCCATACACTCTGGCGGCAGATGCTCCAACCGGAGGCGAACCAGGACATGCTGACAGACGGCAAGTTTTTTGCACCCTGATATATGCCCTATCATCGTGCGTGGCTTGCTGACATTGTGTTGTTTTGACCTCCACGGTCGATTATTCTAGCGTACCCAGCCTCCAGCATAATTTCATGTGTACGAATGATAATATATTGAGTATTACGAGAGTTAGGCAAGTGGCCCCTGAAGTCGACTTGGCCAATGGCGCTACAGTACTGAGATCCAGGTGAGCCTGACCTTGGCTGAGGAAGACAGGGCAGCACACCACTTTCCCTATCGTCACAGCCAGCATCCAGCCTCCCGATTTACGCTGTTATGCCCCAGTGGGCCCAGTGGTTTACCAATGATGCCAAACGAAGCGTGGACTGACTACTGACCAGCCACAGAATATTTTGCGCTAAGCATATAGGAGTCCTAACCGCAGCACTCACATGTGGCGCTTGGTCTGGGCCATTTCTAGCAAGTAAACAGAAGACCGGGGCTCTACGGAGGTATTCCAGCGCACTCAGGTAAGATAACAACATTGTCAACATCCCTGTCGCTAAACGGTCGCCACTATTCCCAGCCTCGCGATAAAAACAACACACGCTCTCCACAACAAACCTACTGTATTGGACAAGAGGCTGGCTGCGCGTGCGTGGCGCGCAATGCGTATAAGCATCGATTGGTTTATGAGACATAATCCTCCACCGAGTGAATTACGACATGCGGAGTTCCCGTATTGCATTGCATTCCTGTTGGGCGCGGATGATCCTTCAAATTGTACTTGAGACGGCACATCCGCAATTTTGTATTTCTGAATTTTCTGGTTCTCTTTTTGTTCCCAATTCGACCTTGCTCCTCTATTTTTGAACACCCTGCTTGACTTCTACGGTTGTCACCCCAGAGCAAGACACGCAGTAGCATTGTGTCTCACCCCGGATTAGGCACGGCCGTCGCCGCATTCCATTGCATCTCGACATCACCCCTTTTCCTCGGCTTCCCGAATTGGTCTCTGACCTGCCCGTTCACTATGCGCTTCTTCCGGGCTCGCGACTCTACCTCCACAGCCGTCGCCGTTGTCGTGACAGCACTCGCCGCCTCAGTGTCCGCACAGACATCTACGTCATGCAACCCATTGACAAATTGTGAGTACAACCTTTGGACCTCCATAGGAAACACACTCTTTTGCCTCCTCTCCCGTTCCATCTCTACCTTTCGACCTGCTTCCCGTTACCAGTCACCTCATGTTAACTTTCTACAGCCAATTGTCCACCGGACACGGCTCTCGGTATGGCCATCGATGTCGACTTCACAAAGGGCAGCGTCAACTCGTTCACAGCCACCGGCGGCGGATCCGTATCGTACGGCTCGGATGGCGTAACCTTTACCGTTGCCAAGTCAGGCGACGCGCCTCAACTGTCGAGTATCTTCTACATCATGTTCGGCCGCATACAGTTTACCATGAAGAGCGCGCCTGGCGCCGGCATTGTCAGCACGCTTGTCATGCAGTCCGACGACCTCGACGAGATCGACATGGAGTGGCTCGGCGCCGATAACACCGAGGTGCAGACCAACTACTTTGGCAAGGGCCAGACAACGACGTATAACCGCGGCCAGTTCAACCCGGCCGCCAACAACCAAGCCGAATTCATCACGTATACAATCGACTGGACCGCCGACCGCATCGTGTGGTCCGTGGCCGGCACTGTCGTCCGCACGCTCAACTACGCCGACGCCGCCTCTGGTCAGTACCCGCAAACGCCTATGCAGATCAAATTTGGCGCCTGGTCGGGCGGCGACACGGCCACGAACGCCGCGGGTACTGTTGAGTGGGCACGCGGTCCGACGGACTACTCGAAGGGGCCCTTTTCCATGGTCGTCAAGGCCATCCAGGTGACGGACTACTCGACGGGGAAAGAGTACATCTACTCCAACACGTCGGGCGACTGGCAGTCCATTGAGGCTGTCGACGGTCAGGTCGGCGTTAATGTAGGCGTCAACGTTGCGACCCAAACTGCCACCGCAACGGCCGCTGCAGCCACATCCCTGTCGCCTACTGTCCCGGCCGGTGGAATCGGCGGTGGCGCCGCCTCTACCGAGTCTGGTCGGCCATGGGTTCCGTCCTCTACGTCGACCGCCATCAACACAATTCCTAGCGGATGGGTCATGACACCGAGCGGCAAAATTGTCCCTGCCAGCTCCAATATGAATAGTGAGTTTTGCTCTCTGTTGTCCTTTTAGGACAAATGGACGCAAATTTGGCAATCGCTAACGCAATCTTACAGGACCACCATGCCTGTCGCTCATCGCGCTGCAACTGTGTGGCTCTGTTGTCATTGGAATTCTCTCATTTGGCGTGTCGCCATTTTGATTCGTTTTTCTTTTTTGTTCCCATGCATTTTCTCCGTTTTCTTTCGTTTTCTGATACCACATACACATCATATCGGCGCATATACACAGTAGGGAATTACGACGCAAAGGTCTGTAAGAAATGAGGCGATGATCGCCTCTTGGATACGCACAACAGAAAGCAACTTTTCTTTTGGTGGCATTTGGTTGATAGCATTATGTTTCTGCATTTTCAGGCGGTCAACTGGAGCATACCATATATAGGTAACAAGCAAGTGCAAGATGCACGCTGGATATATACAGTGCATTGTGTGGCTTAATCTTTGTGTAAGCCGCACAACATAATACTATATATTTAATTCTAATACATTCACTGATCAAAATTGCTATTATAACTTTGCCCGAAGAGGAGGAAGAGGAGGCAGGGGAGGCAGAGGAGGGGAAACAATGACAGAAAGAAAATAGTAATCGGTGATTGCACCCTACCTCTCACATATGGACATGTTGCTACTACGATTCGTTGTTCTGAATGTTTTTGTTTTTGTTTGATAATCTTTTTGTGCATTTCTAATTAAGATTCTATTCCCAGCTAATCTGTACTATTTCATGTCTATTCAAACACCATTGCTCCCTTCCGACCTCGCTCCATGTAGCATTTGCAAGCCAAACGCTGGTCAAGACACCACCCTATGCACTTTTGACCTCCCAACGCCTCATACGTCCGTCGACATTTTGTCCATGCCGTCTGCTTTGTGGGAAGCCGGCCCGCTATCGAGCCTGTAGACATATTTAAAAGCAAAACACCAAAATGCAACGAGTAAAACCAGAAACAATCAAATAGGACGTCCGACGATGAAAGACACAACAAGATGACTGCAAGCAAGTATAGCAAAACTCAACGCGAAAACAAGAACGGTACCACCTAAGATGAAAATACAATGCAAAATGAAAACGGGAGCATCATCGAAATAAAACAGTGCAGTATGGAATAAGACCAACATGCTCTAGAACTCCCACGTAGAGTCGTTTCCAACAGACTGAATAGCCCAGTTGAATTTCTCACGAAGGGTCTTCGAAAAGAATTTCTCAATCGGGACACCGAATTTCTCAGAGAAGACCACAGTGAGGCGGGGATCAATGTAATTCTGTGGAGGGGTAGTCAGTACAAAGTCACTGTCGCCCATAAAAAAAAGAGGGACATCGTATGTAACTCACGATCTTCGAGGTGCTCAGAGCAACCTCTTTGTTTCCATCCTTGTCTGCTGCCTGAAGCTCCATGTTGTGGATGCGCTCGTCAATCTTTTGAGCAGCCGCCTCGAGCCTCTCAATGGACGGAGCCTTTCCCTCAGCCTCAACCTTCTTCGTCCGGTTCTCCTTCTTGAATTTAGCCTCAAGTTCTGCAACTGTCTTCAGACGCTCCTTGAGCTCCTTCTCTGGCAGCGGTTTATCGCCATCAATAGCGCGCTTTTCATTGTCCTTTTCGAACTTCTTGGTGACTTTGGTACGCTGTTCTTCGGCAAGGAACTTTTGGTGTTCAAGAATCCAATCGTCCGTTAGCTCCGGATCTCGTTCGAAGTACTCTGCGCCCTTTTTCTTCTTAAGCTTAGGGTCAAGATCGAGCATCATCATCCGAGTTCGCCACTTCTGGTATTTCAAGCCCTTGATACGATCGCCCATTTTCTCCATTTGCGCCTCGTGGCTGGCTCCGACCGTCCGTTTATGGTTGCAGAGAATGGCAACCTTGCGGTTGCAATCGTTGTACAGCTTCACCTTCTCGGCAATAGATACGTTGGTGACTGGAAGCTCCTGAAGCAGCTTCGACATCGTGTATGACGCATTATAGGTACGGAAAACCTTGGCCGTCAAGCCCTGCATGTAACTGGACAGGTGCTTGTTGAGTTGGGACGTCTAAACGTGAACGTAGTCAGCACCTTGCATGTAATTAAAAGAAGCGGAGAACACAGAGCACAATAGACTTGATCTTACGTTCAGGCGGTCGAAAATATCGTCACCGTCCTCCTTCGGTGGTTTCTTGAACATCTTCAGGTTCTTAAACACCTGGCGGTCTACCGTCACCTCGTCGTAGTACGGAATGCTGTCCTTGCCCAGGAAGTCGAAAATTACCGTGTTGGGCTCCCGAAGCGTGATATGCTCATACTTGAGAGAGCAGCAGCCAACTGTGTCTGCCTCGTTATCGGTATCTTTCTCATTGCCGGCGCGCAGTGCAAATCGATCGATCAGGTACATGGCAGTGGCACGCTGGCGGTCGGCCATGACCTCGCTCTTGAGCTCTCGGGTGTAATCCGCACGAACACGCCCAATGTACTTCTTGAGGGCACGAGCCTTTTCAAATTTCTTGAAATCGGCCTGGCCCTTCACGGCGCTGTTTGCGGCAAGCATAACGTACTTGTAGGCTCCGTTGATGTTTTCTTGCCACATAGCCAACCACGTCGCTTTGTTGTCGTGCTGCACTCCCTTCCACTTGTGTCCGGCTGGTGGCTGGGGCACAACAGCATCCTTGCCAATGTTGATCGTGACTTGCTCGGGCATGACGCGTTTCTTGACTCGGCCTGTTTTGGGATGCTCGCCGCGGCCACGGAATAAGCCAGGCGGCTCCACACGAAAGTTGCCAACCTTTTCTTTCCGGCCATCCCATTTGCAGTAGAGATATGGGGCCTCCAGTCTCGCCTTTTCTTCCTTCTCTGCCTTCTTCTCTTCTTTTGTCCGGTTCTTCCTCGCTTCGGACTGGGCCTTGTAGTATTCAAACATGGGCTTGAAATCGAGTTTGGCAAAGTCTTTTATAGCCACTTTCTGGCCATCCGGACCTCTCGCGCCACCCGTCTGTTTCAATACAGCTTGGAAATCAGCAAAGAAATTCTTCCTGAAAGTCGGGTTTTCGGTGTTGACAGTCAAATGGAGCATAGAGCCAAAGAAGGTGGCAACCTCCTCCGCTTCGGGATGCAGGTCCACGGCCACACCGTCGTAATACAGACGAACATGCTTTGGGAGGGGTTGGTAAGGCGGGGGGAAGACGACACCAGCGTGTTCAAGTGTGGTCCACTTGATCGAGTCATCCTCCTTTTTCGGTGCATCCCACCACCGGTACTCCTCCTCCTCATCATCATCGTCACCAGGCTCAGTGCTCTCAGCCTTCTTCATGGGCTTAGACGGTGCTGCTTTCTTAGGAGTGTACGCAGCGGCTTTCTTGCTGTTACTAGTTGGCTTGGCAGGTGGTCTCGCTGCAGTCTTGGAAGTGCTCGGCGTCTTTTTCTTCGCCATGGGCACGTCAGAGTCCGATTCGTCCTTAGGTTTCGTGCCGTTCGACTTCTTCAACGACGCGGGTGTTGCGCCGTTTGTCTGCCGCCTCTTCGGTTTAGAAAGCACCTCGTCTTCCGAATCGTCGGATTGGGGAGGTTTGGAGAACGACGTCTCGTTAGATGGACGCTTCGCCTTGCCTAAGCCGTTTGCAAGGAGAGACTTGGCCTCAAATTCGGCTTCCTGTTCGATTTTGGCCTTCTTATTCGAGAGCCGGACGTCCAGAGGCTTCTTGCCACCCCCAGTGTTGATCAGAGGCGTGTCATTAATCGACAAAGGCAATTTGGACTGCTTCTTAGACACGATCGGTTCGTCCTCACTGTCAAACTCGGCATACTTGGACTTCTGACGCTTCGCCTAAAGAATTTGTTAACCGAAATTATCATTTGATGGCTCCGCGCCCGTCAGAAACATACCATCGGTGCGTCGTCATCACTATCCGACTCATCTCTGTATCTAACAGACTGATCAATCGACGTACGTGACTTTCGCTTCACAAGCCCATTCAAGCCGGTCACTGGGCCATGTCGGATGGAAACGCCCGGAGGGGCCATTTTGACGTTCGGGGAATAGTTGTCCATGGCGGTATCGTCGGATTTGGAGATTCTAGAAGCAGATACTATATGAGCGTATTGGTTAGCGAGGTGTAACAAAGAAGTTAGGAACTTAATGAGAAGCAGCCGGCATGGTCAAGAGACTCTGAGGAAAGGATATCCAGGTTGTGGACAAGGAACATGATAGGAAGGATGCGGATGTTGCGATCAAAATTGTGGCCAGTTGCAAGGATAATTAGCCGCACGCATAGACGCGATTTCGAGGGCAAACGTACCATGTCCGTTCGAGGCGGCCAGCGGCCGGTCGTCGTCTGAGCTGTCTGACATATTCGTCGCCACGGCGAAACGCACAGGTATACGCCGAGTGTCCAGAGAGACCGAAAAGTGGTGGTTTCGAGTTTGAGCGGCACGACGCGTCAAGGTGAAAAGAACATATGCGGAGAGGGAAATCGAGGCCCCGACAAAAGAAAAGTGTCCAACCACAGGGATTGGCGGTGCCAGCAAGGGCGAGAGGGATAAGGACTCGGTTGAAAGGAAAGTTATCGTAATTCAAGATAATGTTGATGCAGACCACGAAAGGGGGGAAAGGGTGGAAACGAGAGGAAGACGCACAATATTTAGCCAGCAGAGATGGGCCTCGAAAAGCAGTGGAAGGCGATTTGGGAGAGACGTGAGAATGGCCGCCAGAAAGGGCCAGAAAGGTTTGGAGGCTAAAAAGACCAATCAACGCGAGCCTTGAGAGCTAGGGGACGCCAAGCACAGGAAAAGGAACGCTCAGCGTCCAGATTCGATGACTAGAAAGAAGGACGGGCGGAAAAGTGGGCGGCGAGGACACTTTGAAGGCCAGACTGTCTGTGGGGACGCGTGACAAGGGAGAAGAGAACTGAGGCTTATTTTCCTCACGTTTCAACCGCCAATCGCGCTGGTAAACGGAATACGGGAAAATTACCGAGAGCATCATATTGTTCAGTAAAAATCTAGGGCACGAAGAGCGCCTCGTAATACTTTTATGCGTGGCGTGAGCGACTGTTGCGGAAGGAGCACACTGGGTCCTAAGCTGCTGTGACACTGTCTTTCAAGAGCCATTCCAGCCAACACGAAAATTTGGCCACAGTATACGAATTACATGCGCTAGTATCTACTTTGTACGAATACAAATCGGTTAAATTACAGTGGGTCAATCACGTGATTATTTTGCCAAGGCAACTACACCCGCCGAGCTCTACAGGAGGCAGGGTTGTGGCGGTGGCTTGCACGATTTGTAGCCGACAAAAAGGGACAGGCGGGCAAAGACTTCCCGGAAAAGCGCGAGAACAAGCGGAAACAAAATAGGGCCAAATGAAAAAAGACCTCAATCGCTCTTTTCACTCTCCACCTGCATCGACCTCACTCTCTATTCATTGAATCTTTGGCCGCCATCCACCAACGACCAATTGATTTCGCCTTCTCCTGGACGACTTCTCGATCACGCCCTTTTCTCTCATTCCTCGTCGAAAATGTTGTCTAGAGCGGCACGGCCAGCTCTGCGGGCAGGAGCTTCCGCTTCTCGGTAAGTGAAGCTTAGAAACACAAGTTGGATGGTTAGGACAAAGGAGCATGGAAAATAGGAATAAGTGGAACAATGGCCGACGCTGAGGGATGCCCTCCTGCGCTTGGTTGCCTTGCGCGACAGGAACATCGACGGCCACAGGATGGATGAGCAGATGACGGGAGAACTAGACGACTGAAAGTTGGATGGAAGTGGCGCATTATTGGAGGATGCCCGGCCAGTCAACAGATGCAAAAGGACGACCAAGACTAACCACGCTCGCAGCTTTGCGACCGCCACCCCGGCGGCGTCGTACGCCACGCTCCGCGAGATTGAGGACCGTCTCAAGTCCATTCGCAACATTGAGAAGATCACCAAGACCATGAAGATTGTTGCCTCGACTAAGCTCAACCGGGCGCAGCGCGCCATGTTCGACAGCCGCAACTACGGAGAAACGTCCAACAAGGTTTTCGACGAGGCCGAGACCAAACCCCTCGAGGCTGGTGAGGACAAGAACAAAACGCTCCTCGTCGTCTGCAGCTCCGACAAGGGCCTTTGCGGTGGTATCCACTCGGGTCTATCCCGTACCGTCCGGAAGTTGTTCGCGGAGCAGTCCGCTGCCGGCACTGCCCCTTCTTATGACCTCGTCATTCTGGGAGAGAAGTGCAAGTCGCAGCTGCAGCGCACCAACGGCAAAGACATCGCTCTGTCTTTCGCCGGCGTCGGCCGTGACATCCCCACCTTCGCAGAGGCCCAGGCCATCGCCGACCAGATCGTGCAGCTCCCCGGAGATTACAGCTCCATCCGCATTCTGTACAACAGATTTGTGAACGCCCAGACCTACGAGCCCACCACGATCGAAGCCTTCTCCGAGGAGGCCATTGCCGCGTCACGTACGTTTCTCACGTCACTTCTGTGAGCCCCAGATACTTTTAGATGTCAACTGCTAACATATATCCAGCCAACTTCTCTGCTTTCGAGGTCGACGAGGTTCTGCTTCCCAACCTGCGCGAGTACGCCCTTGCCAACTCCATCTTCTGGGCTCTTGCTGAGGGCCACGCTTGCGAGCAGTCCGCCCGCCGCAACGCCATGGACGTAAGTTTGCATATTGGCACTTCATTGTTCTCGTTCTACTCTCGCTGCAAGCAATGCCGTGTACTAACCTTTCCTTCTCCAGAACGCTTCCAAGAACGCTGGTGAGATGATCAACAAGTACCAGATTCTCTTCAACCGTACTCGCCAAGCCGTAATTACGGGCGAGCTGGTCGAGATTATCACTGGCGCCACTGCTTCTGAGGACATGTAAATTATATGTAAAAACGCATGAGACGGCAGCGGCGGGGAAATTTTGTAGGAGTGAGTGAGCCAGGTGAGGCCTGCAAAGATGAAATGAGCGCGTCCTTTATTCTTACAGCCTCTCGTGTTATTCACAAGTCTCTTAGCTTGGAAAAAAAAAACGGCAATTTTCTTATTTGTTCCCCTGTCTGTTATATTTTATGTTTTTTTTGTTTTTTTTGGTATACAGAGCGGGAACAAAACAACCAATAAATTTTCACATTTAACCCGTGTCGCCATGGGCGTGAAAGCTAGCCCTAGGCACTGGGGATAATAATAGAAGTTTGTATTACCAGGAAAACTAAAATCCTAATGTGCGGCAATGACTTTCATGACCATACTCCGCATAGAGTCGGATCTTATCACGACATCGACATTACCGTAAGCTTGCTGCTGTGAGAATTTTATGTGTAGTTCTACCACCTGTAATTCAACGCCCGGTTGTAGAGCATATAAATATATATGTCGTATATACAATGTAGTTCAAGATTAACACAAAATGGTAACCTGGCATCAGCATACGGAAAGGACCAAGTAGGCCACCAACCAGGGTAATGACAAGACATTAAACCTTTCAAAATAGGCGCAGGAAACTAAAGCGTCAAAAGCCGGCAAACTTCCATGCAGGATATCAACCGCTCATTTCTACATCACTGTCGATTCCTGCTTGACAGTTGGTCGTCCGCCTAAGACGACGGGCACTATTAGAACTCGAGCGTTGTGGTATCCCAGTAACGAGGCCGGAGACTGAGGGTGATAATGTCTGTGGCGTGTGCTCAATATCCCGTTCGCAGGTCCTGGGATGCTCAATCTCGTAGGCCACACGTAGATCCGAAGCACGTTGGTCCCACTCGGCTATCCTCTGGTTGTATTCACAAAGAGCCGCTTCGTACATCTGTTTGTGAGCCTCTGCTTCATTTGCAAAAGGACGCCTCTCCTCTGCGCTAGCACTGCGCCACATTTTGGACGTGAGAACCCGTACTTCGTTCGGGGTAGAACGACCTTTGCCAGGGCGGCGTCCTTCTTCGCATTTTTTGCGTGCCCGTTCGTAGTTCGCCTTACTAAATAGCGAATAGGCGCTCTCCGACCCTCGAGGGGGTTGCGAGGGTCGGTCTCCAATCTGACTGTTGATGTGTTGTTGGATGTGCGATTCTCGTACTTCCAAACGCTTGCGATTGCTTGTCTTTGCCTCCCCGGTGTTACTACCGCGACCACCGCTAGCACTGATGCTACTACTACTTTCATCACCAGTCTTCCCTTCATCTTCGTCTAAGGTAACCTTTCGTTTAATGACAGACGTCAAAGTCTCTTTCGGAGGTATCAACGGCGTCGGGATATCGATTGGGCCCACCAACTCCTCGAAAATGTCTGATGCTGCACGCAGGCCCGATAGGTATGCTCCATGAACTGTGGCCGGATGTGTCCCAATGGTGTGTTCACCCGCAAAATGAAGATGCCTTCCCACAGGACGAGCCATAGAATCGTAATCGTCAATCTCCATGCTGGGCCCAGCTGATGAATAGCTTCCCCGAGAAAATTTGTCCGAAGCCCACCGTGTAACGACAGCCTCAATGGGCTCCGGAACGTTCTTAGCACCAAACACGCATCGTAGGACGGAAGTAGCCTCGGAAACAAGCTCATCATTGCTAGCCTTCTCTGTGTCGAATGCAGCATCACCGGCCATGAGGGCTACCAAGCAAGGGATACCTGTCGTCCTAGAAACATTGAACCATTGGAACATTCGGCCCCGGCGCTGCGAATACTGCCTCTGATCGAGGCTAAATCGGTTGGCTGGTTCGCGTAAGACACCAAAGATGTCGCGCTCTGTATCCCAAAATGGTTGGCGGAATGTGAGAATGATCTTGTTGAGAACGCCGTAGCCGAGGCGGTCAATCGCGTTCGATTTCCATCTTGGTAACGGCGGGTCAAACTCGACGTTTCCATGCTTAAGAACTCCAAGAGGTATCGTACTGATAACGTAATCAGCTTCGAATTTGTCCCCATTTTCAAATTCGATGACCACGGGGGACTTATGCTGTTCGTCCTGCTTGACATGCCTGGCACGGTTATCGTCACCGGACTCATTGATGGCGATTTTTTTCACTGCCATCTGTCTCCGAACATCCAAGGGCTTAGGGCAAAGCATCAGACCACGAGGCACGCTCTGGTATCCACCAATGATCATACTATGCCTTCCTTCCCACTCATTCCCAGCATCTATATCCCAGCCCTTGAGACTCAAGTGGCTGTGGTTTATAGCATTGCTATATTCCAGATTTGCAATGTGCCAGTTGAGAAGCCGGTAGTCTTGCGAGTTCAAATCAAGAAGCTCTCCATATTGCCTAATTGCATCTTCAACGACGGATCCAAGGGTTGCTCTAGGCGCTTTAGAAGCAGGGTCAAGATCCAAGTCTCTTGACTCAAGGACTCCCGGCTTCAATGACCACCCCATACTCTTCAGCTTGTGTGCTGCATTTAGCGTAGCGTGCGTCCCGGGTTCTAGATGGGCTCTCCCAGTAAGTCGATCAGATGAGACAGGAACCAGATCGGCTTGTGGAAGCCCCCCGATTGCATATGGTTCTTCCAAGGTGGCTTTTTGTGCCTTGGTGGCTCCATTGCTTTGGGTGCCGCATACCGTAGCGATTTTGTCTGTTCCCAAGTTGCGACTTCAATCTCAGCAGCCGCCATGGTCGATGGTATTACCGCTTCACTGTCTTCAATTGAAGCAATAGTAGGGTGCCCCTCTGAGGTATTGTCACGACCGTCATCCATGCAAGCATGATTTCCCTCAACACCCTTTGGTAGAGGCACTTTGAACTTGTACTCGCTCACCCGGTCAAGGCATTCATTGAACAAATTCTCTACCAGACCGTCCCGCACATCATCGACAGGTTTGCCGTTGATATCATATATCGTTGTCGCAGTAATTAAGGCGTGGTATCCTAGGCCCAGCTGACCACGAATAAGGGTGTTCATCGGGTTGCCTCGGTCGAAGCCCGTGACAATCATACCACCCATTTCAGCAGTGCACCGGCTTTGGTGAAAATCCGGGTGTTGGTGGCGGGTCTGGACTTGGAATGGTCGCGAATAAACTCGGCCACCTATCCGATCGCGCCCCTCTAAGACGACAATACTGGGCACTTCCACGTCCAGGCTGACAAGTAGGTCGTGGTGTTGCTTGAAAAGGTTATCCAGCTGGCGAGCACAGCCGAGCCCAGCCATACCAGCGCCAATGATGGCTATGGTCTTCTTCTGCCTGTGTAGAGAATGCGACGTCATACTTTCCGATCTCGGCAGTGATGCCTTAGCACCCTTGTCCTTCGGTGGCTCCTTAATCTTGACACATCCAAAATTGATGTATCCTCGGCGGACAAGCCAGTCAAAGGAAACACCAGCTGCCCTGAACCAGCGCCTGTCTCTAGAACAACCCATGGCATCATTTCTCGTCACAGCAGTACTGGGATTTCGGAGCCAGAGCCGAAGAATCCCGTTGCGTATATTGAGATATGTTGTGACTTGTGCGTGGCTAATATGGTGACGAAGCATTGCATGCTCTTCTTCGTGTAGCGCATAGGGATTCAGTCTGGAAGACTCCGCCGCCGCAATACACTGTCCTGCGTACTCCTGCGGTGTGAGGTCAGAGGGAATAGAAGACTTCGGCCGAGTTTTGAAAATCGGTCGTCTTGATACAGAGACCCTCTTTGGAGATGATGACAAGGTGCGACATTGGTGGGGCAAATGGTCCGGATCGCTTTGTATCCCCGATAAACCTTTCGGGGCAGCCGCATCCTGTACATTACTCTGAGTGTCATTCATGCCTTGACTATCACATTGAGGGACCTGCAAGGCTGGCTTAACCTCGGCTTTGGAAGATATGGGCCCAGCAGTTGGCATGGCACCGTTGCTGTCTGGAGGTGTCTCATACTGGCTGGAAATTTCCGAGAAAGTAGAGCTCGGTCGGGACACATGTGAGTGAGAGGAAAGAGACGATAACGCTGTGGTCTGCACGCCATCTTGCAAGACCACATGTCGAACGACAGGAGACGCCAGCGCATTTTGTGATCTAAGCAGGACCAAAACGGTAAGAATCGAGCCAATGAGTTTTGTCGTGCTATGAAAATTCTAGGCCAGAAAAACAAGTACTTACGCTGTATGCAGTGTAGCCTGTATCCTCGTGGTACTGTAACAAGCGCGTCTTTCAAACTCCTCCATACCGGATATACTGGCTTTCGTTTGGAGCCTTATGGTTGATGTGCCCGGACCCATGAAAGGTAGTTCGGTTCTTTGAGACAAGTTGTCTTTTGATGCCGTTTCAGGCTTTCCTTGTGGCATGGCAGGCAGGGAAGTGATTTGAGGACCAGTTTGTATTGTGATGGCTGACTGGGAGTTGTCATTGGATGCCCCAAGTGGAAGGCCTGGGTCTGTCTGTGTTGCCATGGCGAGCTCACTGACAGTATCCGTGTCCTCTCCTTGAGACAACTTGGCAGCTGGTGGACTCGAATGCTGATTGGACAAGTTTCCGCGGCGTATGTGGAAGGTAGTCTCGTTTCCAACAGCAGGAGCAAGAGGCTGGGATAAGGTATCTGGCAAACCTTTCACCAGCACTAAATTTGATTCCTTTGTCTCGCCAACGAAGTTTCTCACCTCACGAAACATATGCTCTCCGTATTTATCAGGAAGTTCAGGCGTTGAGCTGAGTTCGATCGTCGACGGTTCATCTGGGACTGTAACCTTATCATGGACCCCGAGCGTGGTAATGCTATCCATTTTCTAGGATCCGAAAGTTCAGTCTCGTTGGCCTTTGTCTCAACCGTACACTATCACTCCAAAAGTGAGTAGACGTGGGACACACAGGGCGTTATGCAGCACTCTGTGACGGGCAGCACCATCATCGGTAATCGGCGCGTGTGTATATATATACACACTGGCCGTCCAAATTATGTAGATACACGCCTAAGCGTTCGTTCATACAACCTTCCGAGACAAGAATGAAGGCTATTCTTTCTAGACGGTACGCGTTCCTTCCTTGTTTGAAGAAAAGCCCGCTGCAGAGGCATTCAATGCAGAAAGGACAGTTTATCCAGCCTGGTCAACTGGGAATAAAGTCAGTCAAAGCGATATGGAAGCACAATATGACAAATTGAACTGGTAGGGATTAGGATCGCAAGACATCTCGAAGCTGTGAACTTGGTCGGGTGGGATGGCGAATATCGTACCAAGAAAAGATCGAGGGTGTAAATCGTGAAACTGGCACAATCAATAGACTTGGCCTGCCCGTTTTTTTTTTTTCCAGGGTTCGTATTGATATCGTCGTCATTAGACTCTTCGGTGAGTCAATTCGCTTGGTCTGATTACCAGTTGAGGGCCATCGGTGAAAGTATGATTCAGCTGAGGGCGATGTGTAGCCAAGGTAGAATGGACGTTGTCCTCTTGCTGCGGCCTATGGGGATAATCGTCTTGATGTTATTATAATTTTGTTGCAATGACCTCGATCGCTACAGTCGTTCTATGAGCGTCGAAGGCAAGGTGTCTCTGCGATAGAACCTACTGACGACAACAAAATATCTCTCCTTACAAATGCCCCTGTGTCGAATTTACCAGCGGTCCAGTCAAGCTAGCGAAGCGAAAGACATCACGTGATTATAATTTTGCTACCAGAAGCCAAGTCCAAAGTGTCCCCATTTAATTATGAAATAAAATTTCGCCGCATCGTTGACGTCGTCAAATTTTGAGTATCGAAAACGCAAAAAGCTATGCTCTAGCGAGGCAAGCAGTTATACGAATCTAATGCATAGAAATGTCCTATTGCAACCTTTCTGTGTATCGTTGCAATCATCCAAATACCTGTTGGCACCGTGGTATAACTCAGTGTACTTCAAAGCCCTACGGGGCTGTCGCGGCGTCCAATCCGCCATCTCGCTTAAATGATCGAGTCTCAACAGCAGCTGCCATCATCTTGTTACCGCTTACAATTGATGTCGTGCAAACAACGATCCTACGCTGGCCTTATCCAAAATATGTTAGTATTCGAGCGCGGAAACAATGGTCGCTGGGGTCGACTCACCTTTTTCTTTCCGTGCAATATACCGTAACGCCGCAATCTCGGTAAAAGTAATGCCGCCAACGAATACAACAAACACAGTTTTCTTGTTTCCGCTACCAGATAGCAGCGCCCTCGCCTTAACAGCCTTGTCTTCTCCCTTTTGAAGGATATCAAACGTCTGGCCACGCACATGTTTAACCGCCTCGTCGAAACCGCGCCAGCCTTGGGATCCGCTAGTGACACCGTTACCTTTTGTGAATGTCAAAAGATATTGCTTTTGCAGGATGCATTGGACCAGCCGCACCGAAAGTGGCGCATACCCACTATAAACGTATGCAATGTCGTTTGGGTCCTGCTCGCTGACTTCATCGACGATAAGCCGCAGCTGCTTTCTGAGAAATGTGTAGTTGGTTTTTGTGCCCGTGGCTCCAGCAGAGCCAGCCATTGGAATCATACCGGCCAGTGGAGATGATCGTGGCAAAAACATTTGCAGGGTTTCAAGATTTTGCAGCGTTAGGAGGTGCTGGTATCCATATCCTTCGAGGATCAAGCGTCGAAATTGGTCGTATTCCTTAGGTTTGATACCGCCAGAAATACAGGAGTAGATACAGAGCAGGCGCAGGACTTGGTTCAAGGGTGTGTCACGGGCGATGAGCTCTTCGATGGCGTCAAATTGGGCGGAAGGGTCCGCACCTGCAGCCAGGTTTTGCTGCACCTCGAGAAGGCTGCTAAACTCATCGCTTCGAGTGTATTTGTAAATCTCTTCAACAATCCCCGCGTGGATTTTGAGACTGGCTTGCTCGGCTTGGTAGCCTGGGAGCTTCTGGACAAAGTCTCGCAATTCCGCCGTGGTTCGCGTACTGTGTCGGCCTTCATAGTCGCTCTGGAGCCTACGGGCAACCTTGTTGAGCAGACTGCCGACAATGGCGAAATTGGCGTCACGAAGCTCTTCATAGAGCTTGTCAGATGAGTCCAGCTGAATCTTTCGTTTTCGCGTCCCTGAGGAGATACCAGAAGATGCACTCCCACCAGCCGATGCAGACGCAGAAGCAGGTTGTGCGCCTCCAGAACTCGTCGATGCCGCAGCTGCACCAACGATTGTCGAGTCGACATCGGTTTGATTGTTCTGAATTCCATACAATTCGTCGATCAGACCCTCATAGGTCAGTTGGGTGAGAAGTGGCGTGACTAGGTCGACCTCGCGGTCGATAATAATGACACTCTCAGTTGTGGTACTCGGTGTGAGGCCTACTTTACTAGCATCGCTAACGTCTTCGCCAGCCAGGAGTTCCTGGCGGAAGCGGTCCAGTAACTCAGCAACACGTTTGGCGTTGTCTCCTTTTCCGATAATGCGTGGAAAGAGACCGTGGCACTGTTGAATACCCATAAGTGCTTTTGCGAGGAGAAACGACGCAGTCGGGTCTTTTGCGAGATAGAGATCTTGGAAGGTTTCGTCTAGCTCGAGCGACAGAACATCATTTTCGAGAGGGAAAAAATATAGTGGTAGTTCTGAGATGCTCACGTCACCAAGCACTCCAGCCTCTTCGAGTATGGCATGCGTCACGAGCGTCCGGCGAGGAACCCAGAAAATATGAAAGTCGTGTCCGGTTTGGCTCTCTCGTTGCAGTCTGCGAATTTGGTCTAGATAAATTTTAAGATGCAAAACCGTCAATAATGAGGGAAAGGGTAGGTAGACAGCGCGGACAGAACGGGAGAGAAGGGCGTCTGCAAAGGGAAGTAAGCACCTGCTATGTCTTGTGCGTGGCGGCCACACTCGCCACGAGCCACGAAGATGACGTTGCTCTGACTTGTATCGGTATTTCCATTCTCGAGAAAGAAGAACTTATCAACACCGTAATCCTGCAGCGTGGAGACTTTGGCAATGGTGCCAATAGGCCCGGCGAGGCTCTTCTCGATGACGAGGTTCTTCTTGCCACGAACCGCCTCAAGAAGATACAGCAGATCTCGTCTCGCCTTATCCCTCACCTCGTTGGTATCAAAGACTGCTTGGGGGGTCATGGCGAGCGCTATTGGTTTGTTTCGACTCACAGCACTAGGTTCGTGGGCGAGTCGTGGAGGGAGTAGGCAAGAGGTGGAGAGTGGAAAAGCGATCGCTCGGAACTGTATGCGGTGTTTAATATCCCGCACAATTGAATTATACTTCAGATATGGCTATTGGAGGGGCTATTGGTGGCGGGGTGCAAACAGCGCAAACAGACAATGAAGTACGAAATATGTAGCTGATGGAACCTGTTCGTGACGGGAAGCTCTATCTCAGTTTCGCGGCTGAAGGTCGATAGGTCAGGGCTCATACTGGGCCCAAGGACCCACCATCCGTAGCGCCCATAAGCTAGGACGAAATTATAGGTGTTGAAAACGCGTAATAATTAGTACAAGACACGTGCTACAATTAACGTCGAGAGACGGCGTACTGCTAGGTATCTACAGAGCGGAATCGGAAGAATTTAAGGAATCAATATTTAAGATGCGCCCCCCCCCCCCCCCCAGCCCCCAAGAAGACAAAAAAGTTAACTGTTGGAAGATGGAATTGCTCTAAATTCAAAGATAAATATTGCGCGGCCCATGACTTGGACCGTAGACACCGCACAAATGCGCCGTACACACAAGAATAGTTATACTTTATTGTCGTGGTAGTAAAAGTCAATATCACGGGGCCGTAAACGGTTGGTTCGAACGAATTCAGCGTCGCCAGGCGGCCGCTCATTTTTCGTATTGCCGGTCAGCATGCTCTGCAGGCTCATACAGACACTCTCGACGTTCTGGACGGGACTCCAGCCTTGTGACCCAAGTAGGTCAAGGCAGATGATGCCATTGGAGTAGATGTGTGGGTGCATGGGAATCGGCCGATCAGGGCCTTGAAGAAACACGACTTCTGGCGGCTCTATACAACAGTCAGAAAAGTTCTTCCAAAACCAAGCCATGTGGCCAACATTACATACCAATTGGGTAAGTTGGGGGAAATCTAAACTTCAGTCGATAGGTTTGGTCCATGTATAGAGGATTCTGGTCAAGAACCTGGATGTCGGCTATCCATTCTTCAAGATTCTCCGATGATACGAGTGTGATACCAGGAGGCAAGCCACTGCTCCCAATCTGGATTGAAATTAACAACCAGACGGTTGGCACTGGTTAGTGACTGGCTAAAAAGGTACCACGCTCCAGAGTACGGAAAATAGAAGCTTGGAAGGTGGCGGCCAACCTTTAATAGCTCCTTTTGCAGCCGCTTCTGTGAGGAGATCATGTCGTCTGATGAAGTTGTGAATCCTCTAAGTCAGGTAAATATAAAGAATACTGTGCGGTGGCTCAGGCGCTCGGTTCTGTGCGATGCACCTTCACTCTTAGATAAAGAGCGGGGGCAAAGATGCTACGGCAAGACGTGGTTTCGCGGAAAGGAGTCGATAAGCGTACTTCGTCAAGAGGGACTCACAGACAAGTTACAAGAGGGGGTATGACTGGTTAGGTAATCACTCGCCCTCGAAGTATTACAAGATGCCACGTGCCGTCGTGATATGCGAAGATCGTAAACAGCCAGCTACGGTAAGGCCCCGTCCTGGAGCAGTTCGTCACGGTGGGTGGTGGTCAGGAGGTGCCGTCCGGGACGATGAATAAAGGTCGAGTCCGTTCCTGTGCTGGATCGCAGGCTTCGTGCGGCGTCATATGCTTGCTTCGTTGCCGCTCGATAGCTTCGTTCGTAACGAAAGCCCAGTGAGGTGCTGTATGCATGGGGTGACGAGAAAACGGGCGCAAAGTCTTCTCGTTTGCACTGGAGCGATTGAGGTCTAAGAATGGTTGGCGGCCGTGGCAGAAAAAGGCATTATTCTGTGGGAACGTGAATGTTTCTGTCGTTATTGGTGGGGCGGCATGGCTGAGTTGCCTTGATGTTGAATGTAAACTTGGGGACTGTCTTGAGAGCATTGGAATTTTGGCTCAGGAGCAGGACCTAAGGCCCCAAAAAGTGGGTCTGACCAAGCCACGCCAAAAGTGACTTGAGGCAAACGGGCGAGATAGTGTGGCGTAAGCATGATAGTCAGCTCGACATGCGGCCATGGTCTAATATTGAAAGCCTGCCACCCACCGTTCCATTAGAACCACGAAACGGTGATGAATAGGCGCCAGGGCAGTGACGTGAATGGTGGCTACATAGAGGCTTCACGGACCGTAGGAACATATTGGACAACTAGCTTCTTGTCAGGGAAAATTATGTATAATTTACATGCTTCAGTATTACGCAGTAAAACGAGGGACTTTCTCTCGGGTTATCTCTTGCAAAATGCCTAGGTCACTTTCCCTCCTTGAATTCCCATGCCGGTTTTGTCAGAGAAAAGAGGCCTGATGTCATACCTGATTCCCGTTGCCGTACTGCCGTTGCTTTCATCCCACTTGAGACCCTTCTATCCTGCTTCCGCTCTGGCTCCGTCCTTTGCTTCTCCGTGACAGGGCGCTGCCCCACGGCCTCATTCAAGGCCTCTTCATCTTCATGGGGTTGTCGTTTTCCCGTCCTCGTGGCTGACTTGTGCACTGAAGGCTTTTGTATTGCTGACTTTTGGGCATCTGACTTGAAGCCCACTCGACCCGGAAGAAGTGGCGAGATTCCATAGTTTTAGCTTCACGGTATATCTTTGCCTGTCTCATAAAGCGTTGGATGGCTTCATTCCGTGGCGCGTTTTGCTGATCGAGGACGCTCGTCTGTGGTGTAGACAAATCCTCTTCCGTCTCGCCCGTTCTCCGTACCCCCGATTCCACAAGCTCTTCCCTGGCGTTGTCGTGCGACGGCTTGCGATGCTGGACAGTCTTGGTGTTCATATCCAGCCACCAGTATTCGAACTCGAGGTACTCGGTCCAAGTCATCCTCTTTTTTTGCTACCGAGAATCTTGAGAAGACCTCGCGGTAACCGTGCTTGGCCAGGCGTGTAGCCCTCTCATACTGCGCGAAGCCTCCATCCTTGACCTCCCTTATCCACTCCCACCGGCCTGTGTCCTGTTCCTGCTGCCACATGGTCCGCATAGTCGCTTCGAAATTCGGTTCAGTCACTATCCATCCGGCTCCAGTAAACTCGAAGTGGCGCCGCTTCTCTTCTAAAGCTCTCGTCTGTTGTGCTGGTGCCCCCGCGGTTCTGATGCTGCCACCTCCGGAACTCCTTCCATCGTGCTCTCGTAGAAGTAAAGTCCATTTTCATTTAAAGCTGGCTACACAGGTTCCATCTTAGGGAGAGAAATACCCTTGGAAGCCGCGGCGCGCGTTAGAAAACAACCCAGAGAACTATGGAGATATAAAAGAAAAAGCGATGAGCCTAAGATACGTTGACACAACATATTGCTTCGGGGCACTAGTTAAGCACAGACCTAATGGAACATCCCCATTAGACTGGCGCTTGGTACGAGGGTTGACGGGCTCCTCTTTAAAGGTAGGAGACGCGGCTCTCTTGCGAATTCGGACGGTCTTGGCGGTTTCGCTATTGCTGGAGAGAGCCACCATTAGATCGCATGCCCTAATGTGGGGCTCCATGAGGTCTTCGTAGGGCAAGTCCTCCTGTTGCTTGGTGTAGAGATCCGCCAGCATGGCGCGCTCTTTTATATAGAGGTCGATCCGAAGGAACGATGTCGTGGGATGCGCGAGAATCTCAGGTGACGTTGATATGTGATAGCATGCCGATCAAGTTATCATTGTTAGGCTCGTCTAGGAAAGCGTTCTGGAGTTGAAATTGCACTCTTTTCGTTGATTTAAGTATTTTGAAGGTGGCTTGCCATTTGGGATCGTGGCGCATTATTTTACAGCGTCTTGGGCGTTTCTATCAACCTTGTTTGGTGCTCCTCGCCGCTAAGCTTTGGCTTCGATAGCCGTCTCGTAGCCGTAGTCGGGTGATTGGCATTTCATGTCATTGTTGAGTTTGTTGTACTGCAGAGCTTTATCTAGAGACATAACATCATCATCCCAACGTCGGAAAACGGGTCGCTTGAGCCACTCAGTCTTCCATCGTAGTGAGCGTGTAATTAATTACTGGACGGGGCCGATATTCCTGGCCCGCCATACTCCCGCGGCGTTAGTAAGACTGGGGCAAACAAACGCCCTATCGTCGATTGGCGAGGCGATAATGACGTTGATCACGTCGAAAATTAGCGTTTGGTGGGAAAGAAGAAGAAAATTGTCTCATCCGCCCTGTTATTGATATAAAAAATAAAGCTGTGAAGGCTTTTACTTACGGCTTGGGCTTGTTATCCGCTCCCTTGTGGTGGATGAACCTGATGGTCATGGCGAGGATATATCGACCCGTATTATGACGGCGTACTCACTATCAGCTTGATATCCTCGTAATAAAGAGCCTTAAGACGCCCACGGCTAACGGTCTGTTGCGAGAGCAGCTGCTCAAGCACGTTCTCATCTTCAAGGTTGAGACCAACCACGGATCCGAGTAAGCTCATTGGGCCGAAAAGCTGCTCTAAATAGTCGTCCTTGGGCTTTTCCTTCTCACCATCCACAATCTCAGCCGCGCGGCATCACGTGTAGGTAAGGATAATGTAACACCCCGATAGCTGCACGCAGTAGCGCTTCGAAGGGAAGATACCGGTGTCGTAAACAATCGTACACCAACAAGGCCAGAAGGCCACCAAAATCGGCAACTTACTTCCCGCCGCCGTTTGGGGCCTGCAGCTTGGAAAGCCGAATCAATATCGAGTCGTACCAGTGGAAGAAACTGGCAATGGGTGCAGGCAGTGGGGGTGGCATGGGGGATAGGAGACGTAGGATACTTTGAGAACCTCTCGGTTCGTTTCTGTCGAAGTACTGGTCCTTGGCAGTCGCGAAGAGCTGCTTCCACAGGGGAAAGTACTCCCAAGAGGTACCCCATGAATTGATCTTGTAATGCCTCACGCACAGGGCGTAGAGGAAGTCCATGGCCCTGGGTGTGTCGGCTCAAGCAATCTGAATAGCCAGTTAAAACTCCTTGCCATCCCGAGCCTCGAAGGCAAGCTTCATGTCCTCGCAATACTTCTTCCCACTTATGGAGCATGCCGGCGAAGTTGAATTTGGTGTTGCCCGCGTAGTTAGGGGGGAGAAAGTGGAGGCCTGACGGCTGTTTGTGAATGAGGGCATGCTCACGAGCTCTTCGAACTTGGTGGTTGTTTGTGGTGCCGCCTTTCTTCTAGGCCACGTGAGCGATGAAGTCTGCATGGTGGCCCGTATCGTAGCTGGCAATGGCGCTGGCAGCGGTGGGAATGGAAGCAGGAATGAAGCACGAGCTATACTGGCAGTTCGCAAAAGAGGACCCATGAGGCATATGACCAGAGTTATGACCAGAGTTATGACCAGAGATATGACCAGATAGCAGTGTGTCTCTCATAGAAGCAGGCGGGCGGCCAGCCCTTAGAAGCCGCTCCCAGAGAGCTCGCTCCATCATGAGGTCCTAGTCGCGGCGAGCCAAGGGAAGACGGTTGACGTTGAGCAGCGAGCAACCCTCAAAGAATGAGTGAGCCACAAAAGAGGCATTTCAGGGTGTCGGAGGGGACTCAGCAGCGATACCATCGCTGTCGTTAGCCAGCCTCCGCCTCTGCCTAGACCACGGTATCACCCGCGCAACGGCATACCGCTTAAGCGAGAGGGCCGATGACCAACAATCTGAGGGCCAAGCTTGTCCAAAGCATCACAAATGCGCCGCCACGGTCTGCCAGCTCTGGCGGCCTTGACAACATCTTCAAGACCTAATATGTAATGAGGATTAAAAGGGATCTCTTTGGGGTCGGACCAAAAGAGAATTCTTCCTAAGTACGACACGGTTCAAATTGCGGTTGGCCACGTTATCGTCCCGCCACGAAAAGCCTACTGTAGTGTTAGAGATAGACCACTTAAAGAAAGCAACAAACATAATAAATACGTTTCGACAAGGGACGAAACAGACGTTCGGTGAGAGGACACGATATGCATAGTAACATTACACTATTGCAGCTAGCCAACCAGGTCGCAAGTGCGAATGCGGCTCTACGGCCAACTCTGGCACACACTCTGCCACAGTGCATTGTTTCTCCTCCAATGTGGTTTTAGTGTCTTACGATGCCGCACAGCGAACTCGCACCTCTGCAACGATTGTCCACAGCGTACTTATCCAAAATGTCGTGTCATTGACAGTGGCATTTTACACAATTATCTTTCCCGTACGGCCATGTGTCGCAATGACTTGCTCGACTGGCCGTCGTTCAAGGCGATCCTGCCCGAAACGAGCTTTGGGTGTGCGAAAATGTAAGATATTAATCCGTGGGGCTGTGCCTGTCCATTCAGCCCCATGGCACTCCAACGTATCTTATTTTCCCCTGCGCGGCGCCCTCAGCGCGAGGCATCTTGATGAAGTGGGGGAGGGCCTCCTGGACAGCCAGGCTGAACAGGCCACCCAGCACAAACCAGACACTCGCTCTATCTGACTCGTCCGTCGTAGTGAAGGCGCCACCCCTCCTTTTCATCTTGTTTCTCGGCTGCCCCCCTCTCTCGACTGTATTGTGAGCCCTCCGTCAACGCGCGCCTTACTCGCGAACTATGCCGCGGGAGGCTGAAGCCATTCGGCGGCTGCCAACTTCGTACTTCGCAATTGACTTTAGTTTGCTCCACCCCTTTGAAAGGAGCGGCTGTCCTTTGTTTTTTTCCAACACTGCTTCTAAATTCTTGGCCGTATTTCTCGTTTCCTCCCTCGTCCATCGTGTGCTTTTCTCAACTCGGTTCGTTGTATCCCTATTCACCCTCTTCCATCGTATCTCTCCGACCTTTCCTACTATACCTCCCGTTGATGTTCCCTGTCGTCAGCACTCCCACGATCCCGATAAAGAAGCTGCTGCCACCGCCGTTAATACCCAACCGACGTTTAACCAATTTGTGCTGCCCAACAGTCTGTGAAAGCGCATCCACCGTCGGCTCCGAAAACTCTGCCTGTCCGCTTTGCGCCCATTGGGACTCGTTTGTGTGGACCTCCGTCGCTACCCATAAAGCCCACGCTGCCTGCGTCTCAGCTGTCCTAAATCAATCACCTCGTGTGCCTTGAGCGCATACCGGATACAATCCCTGCGGTATATGGTGCGCCTTGAAGGGGTTCCTCAATACCAACTCCAATATGAGCTGTAAGTCGTAGGCTATCTCGTCCCAGCCGAGGGCCCTTCATGTTGCCCGCCGGCACTGTCCTTTCGCGGTCCAGCAAGCAATTACATGCAGCTCTCTGGATAAGGTTAAAGACTAATACCAACTTGTTCTATCCAGTCTCCAGTATGCTAAGCCGCCTTCATGGCCAACCCGACAGCTATGACAAAAAGTTTGGACACCTTTCAACCGTCAAAGGCGCGTACACTGTTTTCTTTCCAGCGGCTGCTGACTCCGCCCCGCGCTTTCTTACAGATCCAAATACCACTTTGGTCGCATGCTCGGCGCAGGCACATATGGTATTGTCCGCGAGGCAGATGGCCCGACCGGAAAGGTCGCCATCAAGGTCATCCTGAAAAAGAATGTCAAGGGTAACGAACAGATGGTCTACGACGAGTTGAATCTCCTCCAAAATCTGAAGCATTCGCATATTGTCCGCTTTGTGGACTGGTTTGAATCGAGGGTATGACTAAACTCCCTTTATCTGTATTGGCTGAGAATTTCTTTTTTGTCTTCTTTGATAACACTGATACATTGTCCGGTAGGATAAATACTACATTGTCACGGAGCTTGCTACGGGCGGCGAGCTGTTCGATCGAATTTGTGAGCAGGGCAAGTTCACCGAGAAGGATGCATCGCAGACCATCAAACAGGTTCTCAGTGCGGTTGACTACCTGCACAAGAATAACGTCGTGCATCGAGGTATGTACATATTTTAGCTTTAATCACGGCCCTCCAGGTTTTCATTCCCTTCTCTGTGGCCTTATTTGTCTGACAATGGGCTTCGTAGACCTGAAACCAGAAAACCTTTTGTACCTTACAAAGCAGCCTGACTCCGACTTGGTTTTGGCTGATTTCGGCATCGCCAAGATGCTGGACAGCAAGGACGAGGTCTTGACCACGATGGCAGGCTCGTTCGGCTACGCCGCGCCCGAGGTCATGCTCAAAAAGGGCCACGGAAAGCCCGTCGACATGTGGTCAATGGGTGTCATAACGTACACCCTCTTGTGCGGTTATTCGCCTTTCCGTTCCGAAAACCTGCCCGACCTGATCGAGGAGTGCACATCTGCCCGTGTCATCTTCCACGAGCGCTATTGGAAGGACGTTAGTGAGGACGCCAAAGACTTCATTATTGGCCTACTTCAGCCAAACCCGGATGACCGCTGGAGTAGCGGGGTATGTTGTACAATTATCTGTCCATCGTAACAACTCAACAGCTGGGCTAACACATCTTTTCCAGGATGCGCTGAAGCACAAGTGGCTGAGCGGCGAGAGTGCCACTGAGCACAACTTGCTGCCAGAGATCAAGGCCTACATGGCAAAGGCTCGCCTGCGCAGAGGCATCGAACTCGTCAAGCTTACTAACCGTATTGAGGCTCTCAAGATGCAGGAAGACGACCCCGAAAACTCTGATATGCAGACTGATACAGCAGCACCACTCCAGAAAGCGGCCGCTGCAGCAGCTGCCCAGAACGACGGAGCTTCTGGCAGCGTCGGCGCTGAGAGCGGTCCCACCGACAAAACTAAACAGACAATTCAAAAGGTAAAGGGAGCCATCTTCCGGGAGGTTGTCATGGCCAAGGTCCGCGAAATGCGCCAGCAGGAAGAGGTGCGCAAGGAGGTCGAAGAGGCCAGCAAGCAGGGCTCACCTTGATTTTTACGTAGGAAACGTTGTCAGAATACACTGCAAATTGGCAGTTTGGGAGTCAAGTTGACCTTTTTCGTTTTGGTTACTTTGGCCACTTTGGTCATGGTCATGCATGTTATTTAATTAACGCTCCGCCTTTTCTTTTATTTTGGGCTGTTTTCTCTTGTGGGACTGTTATCGCGCCCTCTTTGCTATTTTATAGGACATTTAACAATACAAATCAAAATAACTACATTGTGCTTGGCGCAATCCTGGGGAAGGGCATTCGTCGTTTCGTTTCGGTGATAGTTATCAGTTTTATGTATATTGTTCTGCATTCTTCTTCTCTTGGCTCTTTCTTCTTCCTCCCTCTATCAATCTCAAAAGTAAAACGCTTTAGCATTAGAGTATATTTTAGGAAAACAATGAACGCTCGCTCGACCGGACGAACTGAAAAATACAAAATTCATATACCACAATAGACAAAATACAAGAAACAATCAAACCATACATGATAAACATTGGTTTGTTAAAAAAAAAATCAACTATGAAACGCCCTAACACCATCGCTGGATGGATACAAAAGGAACCAATAATGACGTATGACACGAAAATGCATAGACGATTAGAGCAATTAGGAAACGAAGAACGTAAAGTGATTCATCAACCTTGGGTAATACCTCAACTACCACGGACACAACAAGGCAACTGTAGATTTTTATCCCAATAAAGTCGTAATTCGTAATACATGAACAGTGATGCACGTGTCGCGGCACACTGTGAACGGGCCGCGACGACAAATGGAATAGGATTAAATACGGTCATTAGATGAGCTCTGCGAGAGCCGCATTGCGAAGAGCTTCGTATCGGCTCGGGTCAAAGCGTTTACGTTGCCAGCCCCCCTTCCGCAGACGCTCGATACGGGTTTTCCGGTCAAGATCGTGCGCATCTTCTCCCAGCGGCACCAGGCTAATATTTTCTGCAATATAATTGTCGCCGGTGGGCGGTATCTCGATAACAACCTCCAAGTTTGCCTTGTGTTGTTCAAGTCGAGATTTCAGATTGGCGAGATGCGCACAGTATCGACTTGCCGAGTTATCAAGCTTGAAAGAGCGGCCATTAAATCTAGCCTCTAGGTCAATGACTCCATTGCTTAAGTGGTTAAAGTTTTTCGAGGCCCTTGGTGTAGCATCCTCGTTGTTAGCCTGCTGTAGAGTTGGTATGGACTTCTTTGAACAGCTAGGGGTTTCTGGTAGATTCTGTCGAGCTAAACCGGTGACAAAATACTCGTCATCGAAACCCAGAGTAGGCGAATCGGGGCGTATGTAAGGCTCAAATATAGGAGTGTCTTTTCCGGCCAATTCAAATGAGACCTTCCTGGCCGGCCCGAGCGAGAATGAGAGGCTCGGCGGTAACGAAAACTCCAGCTGGTGTAGCCCGGCGTTCAGATCTTCTGAATAGGTTACGGAAGGGATGGGGGAAGAAAAGCCCGTCTCTGATGTCCAGGCCCGCGAGCTGATGGAACCAGATGGCGAGTGTGGATTTGATAGGGGTGGCAGGGTGAAGCTCGCCCGGACCCTGGATTGGACCAATACTTCAGCATCGTGAATAAGATGGCTGGCTTGGCCGTAGTGCTCCCGTGCCTCCTGCAAGAGGCGGGCACGGTACGCGGAAGGGGAGCTCAGCGGTCGAGCACACATCTCCATTGCGGTCGCAGCATAGAAATGTAGGGAAATTAGATACGTTGGCTCGACGTCGGACTTTGATAACATGTCAGTATTCCGGCCTGTGTGGAGTGTTTTGAAGATAAGGCCTCAGAAGAGCAAGGTTCCCGATTAAAATGACCTGTCGAGGACGATGACTCACCACGTCTTTCGCGTTGACCAGAATCTCGTTGCACCGTGTGAAGCATGCACGGTATCTGCGGTGTGCGTGCTGCCGTTTTACCTCAAAAATAGCCCGCTTCCAGTCCTGATTTGAAGACGAAGAGAGTGACAGACGCGTTGAGGGTTTTGGCTTGGATGGGTTAGGAAACGAAGCCTGTTGTGGTGTGATTGTAAGTGTGTTTGGCGGCAATGAGGGCGACAGAGGCGACCGAACACGCGGAGGCAGGTGGCCTATGCTCCGGCCACGTGAATGGTGACTTGCTGCTTGATCCAACGGCGCAAAGATGACGTTGGAGCGGTTCCCAACCACTTCAGGGTTGAGCATTAAGGGGATGAGGCCCGGCATTGTAGAAAGTTTAAAGAGTGTTGATTTTCTTTATCGTCAACTTTCCGATGGGACAAACACCAGGCCACGAGAAGGGAGGGGATATGATATAAGTGGTTCTTGGTATTCGAGGTTTCTTAGTCCGGGGCAAGGACAGGCAAGGATGGGACCGAAAAGGACGGGATGGGGGTGTGCCGTTCACCTGCGCCTGAAGCCTCCTCGAGGTTCTCGTCTTCTCGAAGTGATTAAAAGTCCGGGAAGGGGCAGATCTCCGTGATCGGCAGTCGCCAAACAAATGGCTGTTGCCAGGCTCAAGGGCGGGAAGCGACCGGGCAGCAGCTTGTATCAGGCGTAAGAAAATGAATCGAGCCAATTAGGCTGATAAACTGTCGCCTAGACGTGCTTCAGACTTCCACAAGACTGCAAGGGAAGAGGTCGAAATAATAAGCCACCTAAAAAGTCAAGGAGCTGGCACACGACAAAATGCACCGTAAAAGGCGTACCGGAAAGCGACTGGAACGGCCAGGAGTACCTAGAAAGAAGATGTGACGATGCTGGTGATCAGGCGAGGAAATCAAATCCGGCTAAGGGGATGCGTTGCAGAACTGGGGCTGAAATGCCAGAGCCTTGTGTATGGAACAGGCACACAGAAAGCCAATTGCCGTGGAAAGTAGGGCAAGCAATCAGGAATACTATATGTTGCACAAGGTACGATGTATTCGACTTACGTCGTATACTATGTAGGATGGCTGGTATTGGTGGAGATGGATAGGCAAGCTTACTGGTAGAAGGTTGAGGAAAGTCTAAAAGCAGACTCAAAGAATAAGGGAAGCATATAGCAAGTCTGAAGTTAAATCCAAAGCGAACAATGGGGCCATTACCTGGATAATAAACGATGGTGAAAGACAGCCTCGAGCATTCAAATCTGTGGCGGCATAATCGCAGACCGGAGCCAATAATTACGACTCACATCGTATGCACAGAATAGGGAGCGCCCCACACACCTATAACTATCGTGGCCAGGCCCCTCGCTGTAATAGCTTGGACGCCATCTGTGTGCTACGCCAACTCCCTGCGCTAAAGCGCACCTACTTGGCGCGTTCGCTCGCGACGCAAGGATCCTGCCGCTTGGGTCGGTCCTGGGCCAAGCTTTGCCTAATAGGGACTTGCATTGGCCAACATAAAATATAATCCCCCAAAACACACAAAATAAAACTAATACAGAGTAAACGATTAAAAGACACAACTGAAATTGCTTATGAATTACACTCCGAGTCCAAGAAAGACGCACACTATGCAAACTGCCCTTAGGCAGGTCGAATGGAAACTTTCGCCGTATTTAAAACGCGAAGACAAAATAGCACAATGCCAGGGCAGGAAAGCAACAACATCAATAGCCCTTCAACAGGCAGCTGCAGTCTGCGACCATCCTGTTTCTTTTCCCAGGTGTGCTCGCCTCGGTGTTTATTTAGATGATGGTTAGTTCAAGCTTACGTACCGCGTTGTCAACCAACACCGCCCTTTGCCACGAGTTGGTATATGCAAGGGGGCAGCAAGCCTACACAGACGGTCGCGGAACGAGATATCACTATTCCGCGTATCTTCTCTGCACTGCACATCGCATATCGCGTTTGCCTCTTTGCTTCGCTGGCGCCAGAACATGTTCGGAAAGCCCACCTCCCTACATCCACTTTGGTCTGGCTCTCTGAAATCGGTTTGAACGGACATCAGCCACATCATGTGCGGTAATTTGCATGTGCCATATGAGATGGTCTACATGTCTCATCCATGCCTTGTTTGAGTTAGGGGCGGTACGGTGTTCAAGGGCGTCAGAGATCAAGGGATAATATTTGACGGGTATTTTTGGGCCTATCAAACGACATCAGTTACGAAGGGGGGGGGATAAAGTAAAAATAAGCAAGGAAAGAAAATCGAAAGGAAAAGAAAAGAAAAACGGAACGAGTGACGAGAGTAGTCAAAAAGAAAGAGCAAGAAGCCGAAAGCCTGGCATCGACCAGGGCGTTTTTCTACCACAAAGGAACTGTTTACAGGATCTGTTTGACGAAATGTAAACTGTCCCTTTGATATTAAAAAAGGTGATTATAGGATTAGGAATAGACCGATGTTACACATCAAAGCAGCATGTGCCTTGACCATTACAACTATTGTGATACGTCAAAAATCAAGCTTGCTAGAGCTAGATATGAGTAGGCCACTGGATCCCCACATTAAGGATAATATCGAAAAATATGACTGCAGCTGGCCGCTCATGCGCTGCGTCCGGTCCTGAGCCATTGGTAGTACGACGAGGTTTGAAACCGAGAACCGCGTTGTTAGAGCCAACCAGACTTCATAATAGCTGTTCAAAGAGACATTAAAAAAGGGGGGTGAGAATTTTCCAGGGCACTGGCACAATTATCAGCCAAAGGGAATAGTTATGCTGTGCAAGTAATCGTAATACACCGCAGAAGAAAATGTGCAAATCGTGCTTTGACCTTCGCACTAGACGCGCGAACGCACAGGGCCACCTTTCACCGCGTCTGGAAACATTGCGGTGTAGCCCAAGGTATCTTTGTGCCGTAAGTACGGGGGAAGACACTGTAACACCCTAGCTCTAAAATCTGAGGTGTGCATGGGACAGGCACAGCGTGCGATGCATATCCAGGCGAGGGCGGGATATAAAAAGTCGGACAGGGGTTGAAGGCCGGCAAATGGGGGACAAACACGGAACCTGGAAGTCGGATGATAGACCGTCGGACACTGCCGAGTCACATCCGTTCGTCGCGAGCGTGCTGTTGACGACCTTTGGGGCCGGAGACCGGCAGGCCCAAGGCCAGCTACGGAGGAGTGGTTGTGCGAAGGTGTGCAAAGTAGAACAATTAAGGGAAAGAAAAGAATAAAGTTCTTCAGGCCATTACGCCCTTTGTATTACTTCGGACAAACGTATAATTACTCCGAACCACGGGATGATTCGTTTTCGCAGGGTCCGCGAGGCAGCAACACGACCCTTCACTGACTGCAGTTTCACTGATTTTCATTCTCTCGGAGTCTTACAGCGCCCCGGCCGGCCGCCACTTTGCAGGCCGACCGACCAGGGCACTAGTCAAGCACACTAACATGCGTTCCAGCGTATTTCGTATATGGCCTTAGCCCCTAACGAGGGCACCAGACATATGTTTTGTTAGTCCTACGGTACTTGTAAGGTCCTTGGCAGATGTTTTCCAGCGTATTACCCAAGACGTTTTGACATAAGAATTCCTACAGCGAACAGGAGCCCCCAAATAGTGATCACAGTTCTGCCTCAGACGGACGACCCGCACATCTTGGCACCCGTCAAAAAACAAAGTAAGGCCCCTACAGTAACCGATTTAGGAGCTGCGGCCCTTGTTAACTTTTTAGTGTATCTAAAGAGTACTTAAATTCATCGTAATACGGGATCCATTTGCCCCGTGTTTCCCCTTTCGTGTTATTACAGACCACTTACTTCATGTCGGCAACGGCGCACCTCGTCGTGTCTTATTTCTGACTGGTGAACAGATACAAGAGGAGACTACTGTCCCTTTTTTTGGACACTTTCCAATGTCTATCGACCTTACACGACTCTGTCGTTTCTCCGAGTACTTGAAGAAGGTAGTGGCCCTTGCCATTTTTTGCTGCTGTTCACCTTGTCGTTCGGCCAATCCTTCCTTCCCTCCTACTTCTCTCCATCGATTTGTTTTATTTTATTTTTCATTTCTGTTCCACATATTTATTCACCCATTTCCGCGTCCTTTGTTTTTGCAGGGCCAGATCTCGGGCGCAATGATAATCGCCATAGTTGACTACCAAGCCCCTCCAACCGATCTTCGTCGACCGTGTCTGGCACTGAGGCGGCATATCGCGACGGCATGATGGCCGCCGAAAACTGCCAATCGCCCAAGTCTACACCTGGCCCCTCCGATGACAACGGCGCACCGACCGCGCCGGGCTCCGCAGCCAACGAGGGAGCCGACATCACAGGACACCACGATGACAGTACGGTCGGCGCTGCCTCCCTGGCGCCGGCGCCACTGAAGGCTGCCGGGACTGTATCGGAGCGTCAACCGACCTTCAAAGACTTCCTCCGTGTTTTCTCATATGCCAAAAAAGTTGACTGGTTCCTGATGGTGGCTGCCTGCGTATCCTCCATCGGCTCTGGCATTGTACGTCGTCCGCCCTGTCTCTGCTCCTTAGCTCTGTTCGTGTGACACTGACCCCGTAGACCCTTCCTCTTATGAACGTCGTCTTTGGCAAGTTGGTCGGAAACTTTAGTACCTCTCCTCGTGACAGCTCCGGTAAGCTTGTTTTCTCCGCCAGCCGCTCGTCGAGGTCGTTTCCTTAGCCTTCACGAAGTAAACCCATGATCTAACCAAAAGTGTTTATGCCTAGACACCGAATCCTTCCAAAGCGGTCTCAACAGACAGTCCCTATACATCTTCATTTTGTTCCTGGCCCGGTTCATTCTTAACTACATCAACAAGTTTTCCTTTCGCATGATCAGTGCTCGCATGTCAGCCGCCATCCGCCTCGATTATCTCTGCTGCCTCTTCGGCCAGACCATCCATGTCCTGGACTCCATGCCTTCTGGGGCCGCGGCGAACACCATTACCACCACAGCCAATACCCTGCAGCTAGGAATTTCTGAGAACCTTGGCACATTCATTGAATTCGCCGCCTGCATTCTCGCATCTATAATTGTCGCCTTTACGTACAGCTGGTTACTTACTCTAGTCATTTCGTCCGTTCTGGTCTACATCCTTGTCGTCGTCTCTATTGTTTTGCCTTATGTTGTCAAATCCGAGGCTAGTTTGACACGGGCTGAAACGGTTGCCAATTCCATTGCCTCCGAATCCTTTGGCAACATCCGCATGCTGATGGCCTGTGGCGCCGAAGACAAGATGGCCCGCAAGTATGGCGAGTGGGTTCAAGTAGCCCGAAAACATGGCCAACACATGGCGCCCTTCTTAGCTTCCATGTTTGGCAACGTCTTCTTCTCGCTGTACGGTGGCTTTGCATTGGCCTTTTGGTTCGGTATGAGGCTGTTCCGTGAGGGCCGCATTCAAGACGTTGGCACTGTCATTGTGGTTGTCATGTCTGTAATCACTACCATTGTCTCCATGGAGCGCGTCGCCACGCCGCTGATTGCTGCGTCTAAAGCTATGGTGGCAGCTGGGGAGTTTTTCGCAGTCATCGACGCACCACGGCCCGTCTCCGGACGGCTTGCCGAACCCGACGTGTTTGCCACCGAGGACATCGTTTTTTCGGACGTCGACTTTGCTTATCCAGGCCGCCCGCACGTCAAAGTGCTTGATGGCCTGAACATTCGCATTGCTGCAGGTAAAGTCAATGCCATTGTAGGGCCCTCTGGCTCTGGCAAGAGCACCATTATTGGTCTCATTGAACGATGGTATAGTCTGCGGAATGACCAACACATTATCGAAAAGGTGGCCCAAAAAGACAAGAAACAGGAGGCTGAAGAAAAAGAGCTCGAGAACCAGGTCAAAAAAGACGCCAAGAACAAAAAGAAACAACGAGAGGAAAAGTGCGATGCGACTACGGATACCAACAACAAGAGTGGCCGATCGGTCGGAGATGCCAAAACCGAACCCGTCGCCGCTGACCTTCCTCGAATCGAGCTCAAAGGTTCCGTTTCCACTTGTGCACACAGCTTTGACGAGATCGATGTCAAGTGGTGGCGCTCACAAATTGGCCTAGTGCAGCAGGAGCCCTTTCTATTTAATGACTCCATTTTCAACAACGTGGCCTTTGGCCTGGTTGGGTCACCATACGAAAATGCAACTGATGACGAGAAACGGGCGCTGGTTGAAGAATCCTGCAAAGAAGCCTTCGCTGATGAATTTATTAACCGCCTCCCAGAGCGTTACCAAACGCGGGTGGGCGAGTCGGGTGCCAAGCTGTCCGGAGGTCAGCGCCAGCGCATAGCCATCGCCCGGAGCATCGTCAAAAAGCCGAAAATTCTTATTTTGGACGAGGCCACCTCAGCCATTGATGTGCGCAGCGAGCGCGTCGTCCAGGCCGCGCTCGACAAGGTGTCCCGCAACCGCACAACCATCACCGTTGCTCACCGACTGTCGACCATCAAATCGGCAGACAAAATTATCGTGCTCCAAAAAGGCCAGTGTGTCGAGGAAGGCACACACGAGCATCTCTTGGAAAATCAAAACGGCGTTTATCATCGACTTGTGACTGCACAGCAGCTATCGCTTGGTGACGATATTGCCACCACTAAGGAAATCACCGTGAGCGACGGTGATGACACAGGCGCAGTGGTTAATGATAAACCTGGCCATGCGGGCGGTGATGAAACTGCCGCAAGCGACACTTCAAACGACATAGTGGACAGCGCTGACAATGCGCCCACCGTCGGAGCAGTTGGACCCCTGGGTGCTGCGTGGAGAGACACAAACTTCTTTGGTAGCTTTGGCCGACTGCTCTACGAGCAGCGGTCTGGTTTTCCATACTACGCTGCATTGGTCTTATTTGCTGGTGGCGCTGCTTCGGCATCTCCGTTGCAAGCTTTTCTCTTCGCCAAGCTGGTTGTCATTTTCGGCGAGCTTAACTTAATCGCCGATGGCAATACAGGCCTCACTATGGACCAGGTAAGCCACGACGGCAACTTCAACTCGCTCATGTTCTTCGTGTTGGCTATCGGGACCGGTGTTGCTTATTTCGGACTTGGCTTTGTATCTACATTCGTGGAACACTTTATTTGCGCTATCTACAGAGAGCAGTACTTCGTTTCCATCGTCCAGCAACGCATCGCTTTCTTCGACGACGAAAAAAACGCATCGGGCACCCTGACGAACCACGTTGGTGGTGATCCAAAACAACTGCGACAGCTGCTTGGAGGTAACATGTCCATGGCTGCGACATCCGTTTTCACCATCGTGGGTTCACTTATCATCTCGTTCGTCTTCGGCTGGAAACTGGCCTTGCTTGCCTTTGCTGTTGTTGTCCCGCTGGTGCTTATATCTGGATTCTATCGCGTGCGGTATGAGATCGAGTTTGAAAGCATGAATGCCGCTGTGTTTGCGGAGAGCTCTAAGTGGGCGGCCGAAAGTATTGATGCCTTCCGAACTGTCACAGCACTTACCCTTGAGGAGGTGATCTGCAAGCGGTATGAGGTTCTACTTGCTGAGCATGTAAACGACGCGTTCAAGAAGGCACGTTTCAAAACTCTCATATTCGCCTTGAGTAACTGTATGTTCACCCTTTTGCGTTGCCATATTCATGAACCCCTCGCCCCTCTCTCTCTCTCTCTCTCTCTCTCTCTCTCTCTCTCTTTATGTGTCTGTGTGTGTGGGTGTTTCTTCACGTCCTATGAAGTCTTCGATGTATTGACAGATATTAGCCATCTCGCTTGCTTGCCAGGCCCTTGTATTCTGGTATGGTGGCCATCTCATATCGACTGGGTAAGTACTGGTTTTGATCCGTGTGCATGTATCTGGGCTCTCTCTGATAAATTTCGCAACTTTTGCAACTGGATAGTGAATATTCGGCTACAGGCTTTTTCGTTTGTTACATGGCTGCAATCCAAGGCGCGGAGTCCGCTGGCCAGGGCCTAAGCTTTCTTCCAAATGCCGCTCAGGTCACGTCTGCAGCTAATCGAATTCTCGGAATACGGGAGACGAAGAGCATCGACCAGGTGCCTCTGACAGAACGCCTACCGGATACAGATGCGGAAGACGACGCCCGCATCGGAAACCGTGGTGCTTGCTTAGAGTTGCGAAATGTTCACTTCCGTTACCCCACCCGCAACGTGCCCATCTTCAGCGGACTCAACTTAACAATAGAACGGGGAAAATTCACGGCCATTGTCGGCGCCTCGGGATCTGGTAAAACGAGTATTATTGCCCTGCTCGAGCGTTTTTACGACGTGGAAAAGGGGGGCGTGTTTTGTAACGGACGGGATATCACGGAGGTCAACGTCCAGATATATCGGAAGCTTTTGTCATTAGTTGCCCAGGAGCCAGCCCTATTCCAGGGCACAGTCCGGGAAAATGTGCTGCTCGGCGTTGAAGAGAATGCCGTATCAGAAGCCGACATAGTCCAGGCCTGCCGCGATGCATCTATTCACGATTTCATCGTGTCTCTGCCAGATGGATACAACACGGACCTTGGTAGCAAAGCAATCTCGCTATCGGGCGGTCAAAAACAACGTGTGGCCATTGCGCGTGCACTCTTGCGCAACCCCCGCGTGCTGTTGCTGGATGAGGCAACGTCATCTCTCGACTCGGACACCGAAAAGACGATTCAGGCCACTTTTGAACGCATTGCGCAGGGACGCACGACTGTCGCTGTGGCGCATCGTTTGAGCACCATCCAAAAGGCAGACGTTATTTACGTCTTGGGTGATGGTGAGGTGCTTGAGACGGGCAACCACTCTAGCCTTTTAAGCAAGCGCGGTGTGTATTGGAGTATGGTACGTATTTGGATGATCTATCACTCTGGTCAAATCTTCTGCTCTATTTCTTCTTGTCGTCTAATCATTCACAGTGCCAAAGTCAAGCCCTTGATAAATAGTTTGTTATTGAGGTATGTTTGTGATTTTATCCCTTTTGCTTTGCTGGGGACCATACGAGCACCTTCCAACGCTCGCCACCATCTTCTCTCCAACTGCTCCCTCTATACTGCTCTCTCCGCTTTATATAGGCTTTGTCGAAAGACGGGCTATGTCCCAACTATTTATGTGCGTCCCCAACTCCCATTCTTGTGTGTATTTGTATACGCTGTATTTCGTTAATTTAATTTTGGACGTCACTTTCATTTTAAAACCCCTCAACATATACTTTGTAGTTTTGAGTTTTTATATTATGTGTATCTTGTTTACATGTGCGTCGCTCCTTTCTACCGTGAATTTATTTGACCTGTTACGTCAAAGGACGTCCAATTAAATTATCTAGTAAGGCGGACCCAAACAAGCATGGCCACTGATAACCTGGCAATTTATTTTGTCGAGAGAAAACCCCATTGCGTACCCATATACGAGTAATTCAAGGAATGCTCTCTATGCCTGCCGGCCTACATTTGCCATTTTCCACCTTACCGTTCTCGATTTTGTTAGCAGTAGCGCCCAGGCCCAGCTTTATCGAATGTCCCTCCATTGAGAGCTCTCTCTCATCCACAGCCTCGAGCTTGGCCATAGTGGTGCTCGGCTCGACCCAGAAATCAAAAATGGCTCGGAGCACGTGTCTTGAGTATGTCATTGGAAAGTCATGGCCACCTGGCACCACGGTCCAAGTTACGTTGCTGGATCCTGAACCGCCAAACATCGGCAATGCGTCTTTTTCATAGTCACACGCATCCACAACGTTGTCATGGCGGCCAAGAATAATGCAAAGAGGAAGCCGTCGCTCACCGTCCGCTGTATCACCGCCACGCACGAGCCGTGCTAGTTCTGTCCACGAGGCCTCTTGGCCAACAAGAGGCGCATCTCTAATACAGCTCATAATGGCGGGCACGAAACCATCATGATGAGACAGCATCCACCGAACATACCGCCCCACTTGCAGACTCCAGATGACGCCCTGAGGTTCGGGGGCATGAGGTTCTGCGGCGGTACCGCGCTTGTCTGTGGTCTCTGTCACAGCCACTTCGAGCGGGTTTACGGTGCCTTCGTCCGTGGTCAGCACTGCAGGTGGTCTCTTTTCAGCCAAAGCTTGCCCCTCTCTCGCTTTCTGCCCGTCAGCAAGTGGCCTACGCAGACGACGCCGGGTGAGATACGATAAGAGGCGCTCAGGAACAATGCCGGAGGTGAAGATAAGTCGGGCGCCCACACCAAACCGCTGGGGCCGAATGAGGCCAGCAGGGGCCAGCAAAATGAGGGAACGCAGCATGCTGTGGAAAGCTGTCGCAAAATGAACAGCTACTCCGCCACCCATGGAGTAGCCAAGGAGGTCGAAGGCACCATCTCCGGTCCATGCCACGGGTGAGGAGGCGAGAGCACATAGCATTTGGGAACAATACAGACGCGCATCGTGAGGCAAGTCGCCGACACCATCGGAGAAACCACGGCCAAATAAGTCGAATAACATCACTCGACAGCCGGCACAGTCGACGAGCTGGCGGGCAATGCGACCGAGAGTCTGGCAGGAGGTCGAGATGCCATGTACCATCAAGACCTTGCGGCCAGTGACAGGCCCGAATTCATATACACGGATGGAGCCATACTACGAAGCGGGAGTTAGCCAGGTGAGCCGAGTGCGTATATCGGCATGCCATTGTGGGGGTCACTTACCGGCGTCGCAACATCTCGGGCCCCGGGAAAGATATTAGGTGGATACTCTAGCTGAGCTATTTGGTCGCTCGATAGCTGGGGTAGGATCGATCGGAGAGGGCCTGTGATGGTTTTGACTCTGGTTGGATAGAACGTCCATCTGAGCAGAGCAAATACTGCTGTTGCAGCTACAGCCGTTGCGAGGACCGTGGCCATGGGGGTTGTGCCAGCCGGCGATGCCATGGCAGACATAACAGGCCAGCAGCGAGGTGGCACCGAGGGAGTTGCAAAATAAGCAATGTTGTAGTGCCGCGGAGCGTGGCAGAGCAGCGTGGAAAGGGAAGAAATTGGAAGGGTTGATGTTGATTGATGAGGTACAGGTAACGAGAGATAAGAGGTCAGGTGGCGATCAAAGAAGGCAAGTAATGGACAAGAGCAGGAAAAGGATAAAACTAACAAAGGAGGCGCAAAGGACCGCGAAGGCCGAAAACACGAGAGAGAGCGACTTGAGATCAACACAGGTTATCGGTAGACGCAAGTCATGAAGCTGCCACAGCAACAGCATATTTTCACCCCGGACAGTTGGGTAGCTTTGCAGGTGTGCCACATACCTTCATTGTACCTAATCAGACGTCCTAATTACAACGCGAATTGATTACAAGATGTTTTCGGGGTAGGAAAGGGGACAGGGGACTATATGTGCCGTAGATAAGCGGAAGGTTCGGAATCAAGACAATGTTATTTTCCGGCACTTCCCCCCAACGGTGAAGATGGCGGGGAGCGCACATTGTAAGGTGCTAGGTGCAACGTATTACGACATATTACGGCGTACTCCGTACGGCGTATGGTATTTATGTGCATTATCTTCGTAGTGGGTTCGTTCGGGGATTTTGTAAGGAGATTCAACAAAAAAAAAAAAAAAACGAAATAAACACGTATAGCTGAGAATTGGGTGCGTGATGCTTTTAACGACGCCAGGGAATAGGCAGGTTCCCTGATACCACGTGGGGATGGCGCTAATGTCGTTGGTGGCTACCGAGCTTGGAAAGGCCAGCAAAAGCACACTGGTGGTATCGGGGTATCTACTAGAATTATAGAAACGGCCTCCCCTGTCCGACAACTACGAGACATAATACCGTCGATTTTAAGTTTAAAATCTTATCTCGAATATGGCTCGAAACGTCCTCCGTTTTTCGTGGTAAGATAGTAATTAAGTAAACTTACGTCGAGGACCCGAAGATTAATATACTATTAACTTATTATTAATATCTATTATTATATACGTATACATCTCGTTCGTTACTTATATTACTTACTATATAGTACGGTTTACGAGAACGTCCCAACGTAAAGTAAAATCTCGTTTAAGATATAACTACGAGGATCGGTGGTTCACTATAAGTTCAGAGTATAACGTAAACAGCCGCCAAGGCGATCAAAATGGGTCGGAATTCTCCAAATTCCAGACTCACAGGGTTCCAATAGCCTGTTCTTGCTCAACGTGGCCCCCAAAATAGACCGAAAACGCCGATGTGACTATGCGCCAATGCTCCAATGCTCCAATGTTCCAACATACCCCAACTCCGCATCCATCCCGCCCAATGTTTTCAAATTAAAGTACTCAAACCGCTACCACTAATACCTTTCTTATTTGGAGGCGTGGTAGGAAGGTGTGCAACTAGATCACATTTCAGCACCTGCTTCTCTCCGACCAGAGTCATTCTGGCTGAGTCGTTCCACAGTGGCTCTCATCGTCGACCACAATTCAGCTTCCATTTCACGATCGACCTTGTTGCTCCGGCTATTCAGCCAACCAACATCCAGACTACCAATGTCACCAACGCCATTAGGCTCCAAAGAAACCCCAGACGACCTGGACTCTTTCAGTGATATCAACCCCGCCTCCTCGAGACCCCAGATCTGCCGCTTGAGCCGAACGTCAACTGAATGCAGCGTATTCAGGAAATTGTCCATAGATTCTTTGAAAGCAGCAACCTGTGTCTCGGTGTGAGCGTCTGCAGTCCTGTCCATGCCTGGTGCTGTTCCCGTTGTATCTGCGCTGATCGCTTTGTCAGGGCTAGACAGTGGGTGGATCGTGTCGTTTGCGAGTGATAGGAGCTTGATTATTTCCTAGAAAACCAAGTAGAAAAGGCATTTGACACGTTAGTCGTCAAACTACCTAGCGTAACACGGAGACAATCAGGGAACTCGTGAGGAGACGGTTTCGAGAAGCTGAGAAGGAGATAACCGCGCACATTATCGATGACCGCCAGCTGCTGAAATCGTTCAGCGAGCGTGAATGGCTCATGCACGCCAGGTGCATGTGGCTGACCGCCGGCGTTGTCGTCCGTTGCACTCTCCATTCGGAAATGTCTGTTTGATTGAAAGAGTACGTTCACGTCAACCAGCGACAAAACAAGCCCACAATTAGCCTAGTCCAGAAGTGGAGAGTTCCGATAAACCAATATAAATTATGCATGTATCCATAGTATGGTGCATAGAGCAGAGCAACCTGTGCAAAGTGTGAATAGCCGACTCTTTAACGCACAATTACTGTTATTTCGTCTATTGCTACAAGACCACCGTATGCGCATTCTCCTTCATGGCGACACAACGGAGCGACAATCAAATAACGCACCATTGACACAAACATCTTTTAACACGCACCTTATCTGCTTGCCACCTCCGTCCGGGCGCTGACTTGACGGCCATCGACACAAAGTTGGGTGCGATCGACTTTCCGCAACTTTTGTACAAGGGCACGCCGACGCGTACGATACACGACGCGCCGCATCTGAAGTAGCCCATGTCGGCGTCGAACGGGAACAACGGCCAGCATGGCACTGGCACAGGGCCGTCCGCTGCTGGTGGCTCGGGGCAATCCCAAGCATTAACAAACTCCCCGTCTGATTTGAACAAGATTGTGGGTCCGACATTGAATGAACGCGACGTTGATTGCTGAACACAGTGCCTCTGAATATGACTAATTCCTCTCTCATTTAGGTCACAGACTATTTGCTGAAGAAGGGATTCACGAAAACCGAAGCAACATTTAGAAAAGAGTCATCTAATGTGAATCCAGACGGCCGGCCAATTCGGAAGAAGGTTGATGACATGGGGCCTGAACGCTACCCTAAGTCGTTTCATCTTCTAAAGGACTGGATCGAGAATGGGCTTGATTTGTACAAGGTAAGGTATTGTCTAGTTTAGAATCCGCGAATTTTTGACTTTGCACCACGAAGGCGTACTGATGGCTTGCTGTTTAGTTTGAGTTGAGGAAGCTTTTATGGCCTGTTTTTGTCTACTCCTTTTTAGACATGGTCGAGCAAAACTTTGTACAGGAGTCCAAGCTGTTTCTAAAAGACGTTTGGTCTGATTTTGAAAACACCCATGCAGACGACTTGCGCGCGTTCGAGACGATTCAGCTCCCCATCCACGTCACGGAGAATCCCACGACTAAGATCTACCGTGGTAATAAATATCGCATTCCACTCAATCAGCATGTCAGCGGCCAGCTCTTTGGGTTTCTTGAGCGACAAGAAGATGCGGGTGGCAGTGTTATCACACTGTTACTACAAACATACTGCCAGGTCGACTCAACTGCCCGCGGACCGATTGAGCCCTATAGCTTTGAGGCAATTGCCCGCCGAGCTCAGAACGCTGATCTAGATGAAGCTGATGTTCGGGAGGGAATCCCGGGCGTTTTCACGGGTGTCAGCAACCGTGACATCTTGGACACACACGCGGCGTTGAAACTGGGCCCACTTCCCATGGAGCTGGAACTACGCGACGATGTGCGTGCCGAGCTTGAGGAACAGGACCAGCGACAACCACCCGCTGCGGGTGTTCCGTCTCTTGTATCAGAATTCGATGCAAAGATTAAGCAAGAGGAGGGAGCAGACGGTCCCTCACGTACCGACCTTCCCCTTCCGCCATCTCGCGCCAGAGATGTTGTCATCGAAATGCAGAAGATACGCGAGACCCGAGATCGGTTTCAAATTGAAGATCGGACCGGAGGTGTCGGCGTCCCAGTTTCAGTGTGCATGTTTACATTCCACAACACATGCGGAAGGTTCGTTAAACTGCTATATCTTTGTGCTTCTCTATCTCTCTCTCGCTCTCTCTCTCTCTTCTTTTCCTTTTTAAAAGAAGAAAGGTTCGTCTGTTCGTAATACTGACTTGATTGGTGACAGCGTTTCGTCGATGGCCTTTTCAAAGGATCATCAGCTTGTTGCGTATGGCTCAATGGATTCGTACATCCGCGTATGGAGCATTGATGGGAAGGCATTGAAGAGCAGGATGCTCGGGGACGCAGACAAAACAAACAACCGGAAGCTCATTGGGCACTCAGGCCCTGTGTATGGGCTCTCCTTTTCCGATGCCGTGACTGGGCTTAAATACAACCCATTTGACGAGAAACAACCGCCCGTCGAAACAGACTCAAAGCTTCTCCTATCCTCCTCGTCCGACGGCACAGTTCGTTTGTGGAGCTTGGATGTCTGGTCCTGTCTCTGTGTTTACAAATCTCATACAGGTCCGGTGTTCCGGGTGCTTTGGAGCCCCCACGGCCATTACTTTCTGACTGCTGGTTGGGATAAGACCGTTCGTATTTTCACACAAGATCATGCCTCAGCACAGCGGTTGCTTGTAGGCCACAACACGAGCATATCGGCCATCGCCTGGCACTCCAACGGGACTTACGTCTTTTCGGCATCCGATGAAACGGACAAAACCATTCGCATGTGGTCCGCCATTAAAGGCGATTGCGTCCGAGTTTTTACTGGCCACACAGACTACATCAGTGCACTGGAATGCGCGCCGAATGGTAGGATCCTCGCCAGTGCCGACGCTGGAGGGACCATTATCATTTGGGATATCACGAAGGGAACTCGCATCAAACGATGCCGGGGCCACGCAAAAGGCGGCATATCGTCCCTGAGTTTTAGTGCAGAGTCAACCGTTCTCGTCTCTAGTGGCCTGGATGGCACCCTTCGCTTGTGGGATATCAACCTTCCAAAGGACGCCAGCAAAACCCCGGCCGTCCTGGGGACAGCGCCGGGCTCAGCTCTTGCTTCGTCGTCAAACCAGTCAGGAGATATTGGTGGGACAGGCGGTGAGTCCCTAGCCGGGGCTCGCTCTCAGGACCGCAGCATCACAGTTGGCGGCCAGCCGCCGTCACCGGCCACGGCAGCAACCGCGGCCGGTGCGGCGAGCGGTACAAACAACGGTGGGGCGGGCAAGAAGAAAGGAAAAGAGGTGACAATAACACCTGATCAGATCAGCGCATTTGCCACCAAGAAGACACCGATTCTGCGCGCAGAGTTCACAAGGATGAATCTCGTTGTTGCAAGCGGGTGTTTTGACCCGTGAACACTGCGCAAGCCTGGTAGGTAAAGGTGCGCTGAGGTAAGAAAACTGCTAGGCAGCGTCTTTGGCGTAATGAGTACTGGGCGTTTAGTTTCGCGGTCGTCCTGGTTTTAACAAGGCGCATGGCGTACGATATGTAGTCAAAATAGCGCGTGGGAACGGTGTTTAGAGGGAATTAAATAGGAGCTGACCTGTTTGTCCGGTGCAGATTCGAGAAGATGAAGTATTGGCAGCCTATGCCAGAAGCGAACATTCAAAAGTGCCACATCTGTGTTTATATGCAAAGGGGAGCGAGGGTAGGTATCGTAATGTCCGTTCTAGGGAGTTGAAAGCCATCATGAGTGTTAGTGTACGACATTGTTGCTATGCTCACTCTCTGCGTTGCCTTGTATCCGCATCAACAGAATGTTATACTTGGGCATCTGTGAATTTTAGAACTTAAACAGGCACCTATGTATATGTTGATACGTACTACGGATTGTTGTATGCGAGCCCCAAACATGTGGAGAACTGTGCTCAGAAACGGGACAGGCAGATGCCAACTAAGGGGGTTCGGCGCACTGTGCGCTGATGGGAAGTTGGAACTTGTTGCCTTCTGCGCTGCTGAGCAAAAAATAGCCATTGTCACAGGGGGAGGGGTGTGCGTCATTCTCGCCGCACAGTACCGTGCTGCACACAGATCCCGCACGGAGTAAGCCGCCTAGATTTCCAAACCCAGCAAGGGCCCCGACGTCTTTCTAACACACATATTTGACTTTGATTCCTGATTCACTATTTTCTACGGCACATCTCGCTACTGATAAAGTACGAGCAGCAGTAAGTCAAGGCCACGCTACAGACAATACCCTCTACACCTTTATGATGCTATTTCTGACCGTCCAAGTATCCCATTGCTTGCCATGGACCCCCTCGAAGAAGCTCCATGGGCCGACACTCCCCCTCAATCATCCACCTCGGTGACAACAGCGCTAGATGACGACGCGGCGATAAGTTCGTCGACTGCGTCTAACAAGCCAACCTCCCTAACGCCGTCATCAGCCATGTCCTCTTCGGGGGGTCGATCGTCGCGCGTAACACCTCGTCGGCTTGTGGCCCAACCCACGCGCCTACAGGTGGTCGAGGATGATCCGCTCGGTCCGTTGGGATCTGCCGGCAGCACTTCAGTACAGGCTGGCGGTAATGCTACCAGCTTGGGAGGCTTGGAGTCCCCGCCCATGCCTCCCTCGAAGGAGTTGTCTTTACCTTTGCGCACAACTATACCGACGAAACCCGGTGGAATAGCACGGGGCCCACCGGATCCGCATCGCATCGTCGACGACGACGCCGATAATAATTATGGTAGGGCACCGAGGGCCCCCCCCCCCGTTGCTGCCGCGCAGCTAAGTCCAATTCGAACGTCGAGCCGGCCCAGCGTTAGCGTTGAGCAGGCTGCGAAACCGACCTTCTCAATTACTGTCGGTGACCCGCACAAGGTTGGTGGTGCTACGGGTTCGCACATCGAGTACAGTGTCAAGACAAAGGTATTTTTTCTGGTTTGTTTTGTTTATATTATTTATTTTCTTGAGCCGAGGCAGTTTTGCTATGTATAAAATAATATGTTGTCCGCATCACTAACAATATTGTAGACCACTTCTAAAGCTTACAAGCATGGGGAATTCGTCGTCAACAGACGTTACCGCGATTTCCTGTGGCTGTATAACCAGCTGCATGCTAATAGCCCAGGTGTTGTCGTTCCCCCTCCGCCAGAGAAGCAGGCTATGGGCCGCTTCGAAAGCAACTTTGTTGAATCAAGAAGGGCGGCCCTTGAGAAAATGCTCAACAAGGCTGCTGCACACCCAACGCTGCAACATGATGGCGACCTTAAACTGTTTTTAGAGAGCGAGGCGTTCAACGTCGATGTGAAGCACAAGGAACGCAAAGAGCCCAATCTGGGTGAAAGCAAAGGCATCATGAGCAGCTTGGGTATCAACGTTGGTGGTGGCGTCAAGTTTGTTGAGCAGGATGATGTGAGTCGGTTTCTTTTCTCTTCCCTCTACCTTCCGTCATTTCTATTTATATTGTCCCTATACATTTAAGGCCGATCTTTCGCATTGTGTGTTGGGTTGGCATCGCTAACTTATGTTTTTGAAGTGGTTCCACGATCGCAAGATCTATCTAGATGCACTGGACAACCAGTTGAAGGCGCTTTTAAAGGCTATGGACACAATGGTGAACCAGCGCAAGGCTATGGCCGAAGCAGCGGGAGAATTCGCTGCATCGTTACACGCTTTATCCACCGTCGAACTTTCGCCAGGATTATCGGGCCCACTGGAGGCCCTCTCGGACTTGCAGGTAACCATTCGCGATGTCTATGATCGTCAAGCCCAGCAGGATGTGCTCACCTTCGGTATCACCATTGATGAGTACATTCGCTTGATTGGTAGCATCAAGCAAGCCTTTTCGCAGCGCCAGAAGGCCTTTTACAGTTGGCATACCGCGGATGCGGAGCTCCAGAAGCGAAAGTCCTCCCAGGACAAACTTCTGCGGCAGGGCAAGAGTCAACAAGATCGTCTCAACCAAATCAACGCCGAAGTAGCAGATGCAGAAAAGAAAGTCCACCAGGCCAGGCTTCTCTTTGAAGACATGGGCCGCTTGATGCGAAACGAGCTGGACAGGTTTGAGAAGGAAAAGGTGGAAGATTTCAAGAGCGGTGTGGAGACTTTCCTGGAAAGCTCAGTGGAGGCACAAAAAGAGGTTCGTGCGATTGCCAAACACGTATCATACTCATCTCTATATGTTTCGCACCTGCCCCGATCCCACCGTAAATTTGAAGAACGAACCGCTGACCGTTTTATACAGTTGATCGAGAAGTGGGAGACCTTTCTCATGCAGCTTGATGCTGAGGACGACGAGGCTGTCTTTTACAGGCCCCCCGTCTTTCATCCGAATAGCAAACCAGCTGGAGACACGGCGGTGGACCGGGCCAGAGCCCGGATCGACGAAGATTCAGACTAGGAAGCGTACATGCTTACGGCTGCCAATAATAGTCTGCTTCACTTCCGACGGTGGGGGTAGGTTTTGTTCAAGGCCAATAATGGCAACCTTGGCGAGGAGGAGCGGTGAACGGCAAGGAGGTGCACGTTAAGAGAGCGCTTGCTTTGTTGTTTATTATGCCTACTGGACATGCATAGAGAGGGTGACGGCAGGCTTTGTTGTAATTGACTTCCGTGCTGGTAGCTTTGTTTCATACATTATTTTTGTAATCCTATTAGCTGCACATCCTCCTCACAAATGCAATCAATTTCACCGGGCGCGCCACCCAGATTCTTGCACCTAAAACCATCACTTCTTTTTCTTGTCCTTTCTCGCCTGCTCCTTTGCACTCAGTCCTCCGCCTTTCGTAGGCTCTTCCTTGGCCGCGTAACCGCTCAGCAGATCGGCTAGCGTGTCTAGCGAGTCTAGCGAGCCCGTGTTGCCTATGGCCGCGTTAGTTGCCGATGGTTCGGCCGTTTGGTCCTTTGATTTTAAGTGCGTAACATCTCCTCCTTCAGATGCCTCGTCTGCAAGAGAATCCCAGCTGCGGCCGTAGCGGTTGCGGAAGGCGGCTAGCCGTCCAGCCTCGTCAACCTCAACATTGCGTAGTGACTTTTCCGACGGCTGCCAGACGATATGATTGCGGCTATCTTTATTGCAACGGTGCAAAGGATGGGGGTTTGTTGTGCGGACGGTGAATGTGCTGCCGTCCGAAAGCTGAATCAACTGCGTAAACTGGTATGGCCGTTGTGGGCGTTGGACCAAGCGCGCCTGCAGGGAGGTGGTCGTCGATAGATCCCGCCGCTCACTTGCCATTAGCGAGCGCCGAGGGAGGCAAGCCCGCAGCCGAGCTACCGGCGTCCCTGGCTGTGCCAATTGCAATGCGAATAAATCGTGTGTGCGGGAAATGGTAGGAAATATTGAAGAGGCACAAAGTCGGCGCTCGCAAAGGGCGGAGGCCATGATCGATTGCGTGTTGCGTAGGAGGGTTTCGCGTACTGGGCAGTTTTGTAAGGCAAGGATCGGACTGTGTTCGTGGGTGAGATTGAGTATCGCGGAAGAGGGAAGCAAGACCCTTGTGCTCGCTGTTTGATGTCGTGATCTCAATTTGGCTGCCCAAGTTATTGGCACTTGGGATGTTACGAGGTTTGGACTTTTCTGCCTCAGGTTTTTGTCGACCCTAGAAGAAAAGCAAGTGGGGAAAAGTAGCCTAGTCCTATTGGCACAGTTTTACTCCTCCGCAATTTTTCCTTATCCTTAACTCACAGACGGTTACTAGTATGACGGTGTGGTATCATGACATAAAATTATATTTGCAATCATTTACTTGCCCCGGCTCTGGTGAGCTCTGGTGATGAGAGTATAAAACAAGAAAATAAGCCAACCTACGATAAAGATATACATCATGTGGATGAAATCAATGACCGTGTTTTTGGCGCTGAAGACGGTGGCGCAACATACAGGGTAACGGTATAAATAACGGCGACACAAGGACCTCTCTAGCGGCTTCGCACCTAACCTATCAAATCACAACCCGGCGATCTCACCTCTTAACATATCCCGATCTTCAGAAACAGAACCGCGTCAATTGTCACGACCGTGTCACTCACGGCCTTCAACAAATTGCACACGCACCGCCATTGGGACGATGAGATGCGAAACCGTCGCATCCTTGGCTGCCTAGCTGGGAACGTAGCCTTGCTGCCTCGCCACACTAGGCCCCAATGCAGGTGTTTCCGACGTGTTATACATCTGCAGCTGGCTGAGCAACATCGTGAGTAGATTATATGCAGTCTCGTCGGGTTTCCTTCGACTTTGTCTCTGCGACATAATTCCTGCACTTAACTGACCGGTGTAATGGGAAAAGATGGCCGATGTAGGCCCTCCCATCCGAGGCGCTCTTTTGCCACGTCCGCGGCAATTTTTTCCCCTTCCGGTCACTACAGTCGCCGTGATCAAAGGGCGGACAACAACACGGCGCCCCTAATATTGCCAGAGCACGCCCGCCACATCTTGAGGCACGTAGCAGACTCGGTTGTTGTCTGCACGGCACATTCACAAGACACAGCACTGGCCCCGGACGGGGATGCGGCTGTCCCTGTTGGATTGACAATGTCATCCTTCGCGCCTCTCAGCTTGTACCCGAGTCCGGTGATCACATTCAACATAGCGGTCCCTAGCCGCACACAGCTGGTGATTGCCAAGACGAGGCATTTCATGATACACATTCTTTCCGGGGATGTCCAGGGAGCCCGTCTTGCAGACGTGTTTCGAGCAGGAAATTCACAGCCGGCTAAAACACTCGGTGCATTACAGCGAACCGGTAACCAAGTAGTGTGGCCGGAAGCACATGCCGGGTATCACAAAGACCACGAGCAACCATTTCTCCGGGGAGCAGGCGTGCTCTACGTGCTTCGCTGCCGGCTACTAGACAAGCCGTTTGGAGGGCTGGTTCCGGTACGCGATCACGTCGTGGTCCTTGGTGAGATTCTGGAAATTATGGACGGAGAGGCTGAAGCGGTAGACGGCGCTGGTGCTCCCCGCTTTGGTCTCCTTTATGGCGACCGCCACTACCGGCGACTGAACGGCGCTGAGCTGAACACTGGATCGGAGGAGTGAACTAGGTGAGCTACCAGGGTGCCTTTGGACTGGGATACAAGATAACATCCCACATGGTATGCCATTTTAAATGTTTTCTCAGCCAGTAAACAGTACGAACTTTCATCCTTTTGTGGCTTTGTACTCTACACCTTTGGCTAACAGAAAAGTGCAATGTAATAAGCCGTTGCTCTAACAGAGACATTACCCTTGGCAACCTTGCCACATTACATAGCCGCAACAAGTAACTTTTGAACCGTTGCGTTCGTTGGGTCGCGATCATTGGTTTAGTGCATAGGTATCCATGTGGCAAAAGGCCTAAAGAAAATGGCGTGGTAAAACAATCAATTTAAATACATACATAAAAATAGGCGTGTTTTGCCGATATTTCACACTGCACGAGAGACGCGTGTGGACGACAGAGAAGCGGGTGTGTTGAGACAGCGTCTTTATTTGCTTGGTCCAACTAAGCCGGCGCCATGCACACATTGACACCTTGATACAGATCGTTCTCGAAAAACCAACCTTTGTCCAATGTCGAAAGCTTTGTGTGGGGCAACTATAACTGAGGGCACCAAAAAGGTGCCTCAGAAACCCAAAGCACCCCTTCCTTCGCCCTCAATGGGGGTTCTGCCCCACTCTTTACTATCCGGGCGAAGGTAACAATCCTACCAATCATGTCTACGTTCTGGTTGCCATGGTGGCCCAGCCTGGCCAATCATAGAAGCTTCTAGGGGCTAGAATGGTAGAATCCCGTAGAATGTCCACCGAAAGCTCTAGGCTGGTCGGACCTGCAGAAAAAAACTTGCCCTTTTAAGCTGTCACGGTCTACGAAAGCTCTCCCTTCGTTTCTTCCCTTTTACTTCCTCCTCTCCTTCCACCCAGTTTCTCCTCTGCCAGTCTTCAATCAATTTCATTGTCAGTCTACGACACTTTCCACCTTTTTTCCGGACGACAAAACAACCAGTCAAGCACCTTAGCATCTGTGAGTTTGCATCGCACCCACCACCATCGACATCAGCTCCGCGTACATCCTCACTATCAAATGATTTGATATCCCTATCGATGCAGCCTCAAATCAACAAAAGATACACCACGAGTGGCTAACAAAAAGTTTTTTTTATTTTATGCTCCAGTCTTCAAGAAATTTTCTGTTCTGCCGTGAACAGCATCCGTCAAGATGTCTGGTGAAACTTTTGAGTTCCAGGCTGAGATCTCTCAGCTCCTGTCTCTGATCATCAACACCGTCTACTCCAATAAGGAGATTTTCCTTCGGGAGCTTGTTTCCAATGCCTCTGATGCTCTGGACAAGATCCGGTACGAGTCATTGTCGGACCCCAGCAAGCTGGACTCTGGCAAAGACCTCCGCATCGACATCATCCCTGACAAGGATGCCAAGACTCTTACGATCCGCGATACGGGTATCGGCATGACCAAGGCTGTAAGTACATTCGCCAGCGTATTCTTCGTACCACCGACCCCTGCTTGACTAAGTAACGGGCGTGGTTTGAGACGGGCATGAGCTAATATATTTTGTAGGACCTCGTCAACAACCTCGGTACTATTGCTCGCTCGGGTACCAAGCAGTTCATGGAGGCCCTGACTGCTGGCGCCGATATCTCCATGATTGGCCAGTTCGGTGTCGGTTTCTACTCGGCCTACCTGGTTGCCGACCAGGTTAAGGTCATCTCGAAGAATAACGACGACGAGCAGTACATCTGGGAGTCGAGTGCCGGCGGCACCTTCACCATCCTCCCGGACACGGAGGGTGAGCCCCTTGGCCGTGGTACAAAGATCATCCTGCACCTAAAGGATGAGCAGATGGACTACCTTAACGAGAGCAAGGTTAAGGAGGTGATCAAGAAGCATTCCGAGTTCATCTCCTATCCTATCTACCTCCACGTCAAGAAGGAGACTGAGAAGGAGGTTCCAGACGAGGATGCTGAGGAGGAAACTACTACTGAGGACTCCGACGATAAGAAGCCTAAGATTGAGGAGGTCAGCGACGATGAAGACGGCAAGGAGAAAGAGGACAAAAAGAAGAAGACAAAGAAGGTGACGGAGACCACGATTGAAGAGGAGGAGCTGAACAAGCAGAAGCCCATTTGGACCCGCAACCCGCAGGATATAAACCAGGAGGAGTACGCTTCATTTTATAAGTCGCTCACAAACGACTGGGAGGACCACTTGGCCGTTAAGCACTTCTCGGTTGAGGGCCAGCTCGAGTTCCGCGCTATCCTGTTTGTCCCGAAGCGCGCACCTTTCGATCTCTTTGAGACGAAGAAGACGAAGAACAACATCAAGCTCTACGTTCGCCGTGTCTTCATCACCGACGACGCTACTGATCTGGTTCCTGAGTGGCTAAGCTTTATCAAGGGTGTCGTCGATTCTGAGGATCTTCCCCTGAACTTGTCTCGCGAGACACTGCAGCAGAACAAGATCATGAAGGTGATCAAGAAGAACATTGTGAAGAAGTCAATTGAGCTGTTCACTGAGATCTCCGAGGACAAGGAGCAATTCGACAAGTTCTACACGGCCTTCTCAAAGAACATCAAGCTGGGCATTCACGAGGACACCCAGAATCGCCCAGCGCTGGCCAAACTTCTGCGCTTCAATTCGACCAAGTCGGGTGATGAGCAGACCTCGCTGGCCGACTATGTCACCCGGATGCCTGAGCACCAGAAGAACATGTACTACATCACTGGCGAGTCTATCAAGGCTGTGTCCCGTTCGCCTTTCCTTGACTCCCTAAAGGCCAAGGGCTTTGAGGTACTGTTCCTGGTCGACCCCATCGATGAATACGCCATGACACAGCTGAAGGAGTTTGAGGGCAAGAAGCTGGTTGACATCACGAAGGACTTCGAGCTCGAGGAAACCGACGAGGAGAAGAAGACCCGGGAGGCCGAGGAGAAGGAGTACGAGGGCGTCGCCAAGGCTCTGAAGAATATCTTGGGCGACAAGGTCGAGAAGGTTGTTGTCTCCCACAAGCTGACGGGCTCGCCTTGCGCTATCCGTACCGGCCAATTCGGCTGGTCTGCCAACATGGAGCGCATCATGAAGGCCCAGGCCCTGCGTGACACATCGATGTCGAGCTATATGTCGTCCAAGAAGACTTTCGAGATCTCTCCCCAGAGCCCGATCATCAAGGAACTCAAGAAGAAGGTTGAGGCCGACGGCGAGGACGACAAGACTGTCAAGTCCATTGTCCAGCTGCTGTTCGAGACATCTCTGCTGGTGTCTGGTTTCACCATCGACGAGCCTGCTAGCTTTGCCGAGCGTATCCACAAGCTGGTCTCCCTCGGCCTGAACATCGATGAGGAGCCGGAGATCGACGACGCGGCTCCTACTGAAGCCCCGGCTGTTACCGATGCTGGCGACAGCGCCATGGAGGAGGTTGACTAAAACCACCAAGGCGAACGCACCAGCTGACAAAGAGCTGTTGAGGTGGATGGATAATAAAATGAACTGGAGTTAGGACTGACCTGGTTGTGTGTGTTATCTGCGTTACATGATGCTTCGTATTTAGCGCGATTTTTTTGATGGATCACCACGACGGCATGTTTCCTCGACATTCTCACGGTGTTCAGTGAACATGACTTACGCGGTATCATTTTAACTTGTTGAGTATGTAGAGCTGCATTAAGGAGGTAATTTTCCATGCTACTCTTGCGAATATGTCTATATGTGGATGTGGTCGCGATCTGTAAAGACGTGTATTATGTCTTTGAGCAACTTGTGGCATTGGAGGATCACGACCGATCCTGACCGGCCGGAACTCAACTTTCGTACATTTATGCCTGCGTGCAGAATGCTAGAGACTACAGAGTAGTATGATTTTATGTACTCCATACTTTGTTACAAAGCTACTGATCTCAAACAGCTTGACTGTCATGCAATCTCCTCGCCCTCTTCCTCTTCCCTGAACTGCAAACCGCCCTTAACAGCCACTGCATCATGAACCCAAGCACTTTCCGCCACTTGAGCGAGAGTCCATCTGCTACGGGCTCGCTTAAGAAGGCCCTCGGTTATCTCCATTGCGCCTCCTAATCCGCTCGCACGAAATTTGGAAATATCTCCTTCGTGATCCCCATCATCGCCAGCAAACTGAATCCAACGCCATTCCACACGTGCGATGCGGTGGCTAGTCCTCGAGCGCATTCGGTGGGCGTCGCTCATTCCGGGATTCGGATCAAAGGGTAGCCGGCCTTCTAATAACGCATAGAGTAGTACACCCAAAGACCATGCGTCAGTCGCACGACCGTCGTAAGGCTGGCCCATTATAACTTCTGGAGCAGCGTAATCGTCTGACCCGCAGCGCGTTTCCAGTTTCTCGTCGTCGGCAGCTCGTCTCGAAAGCCCAAGATCCGTAAGCGTTGTTACGCTGTATGGATAGTCTTCCCAATCAACGACGCCCTCTGCCAATTCCTTAGGAGTCAAGTTGACCAGCACATCTACATTACAGCACCCGCGTTAACATAGTGAGAACACCTCAAAACACACGTCATACCTTCTGTGGAATCCTGGGCAATGCACGTATGTGCACGGTCCTAAAAGCCAATAGTGCCGTAATGGACGAGGGTAGGCTGGTGTTACTTACTTTCCAGTTTGATATCACGGTGAACAATATGTTGCCCATGGAGATATTGCACGGCACTGACAAGCTCAGAGAATATACGTGCAAGCAGTCGTGGTGAGAGAATGTCGCGATGAGCGCTGGCAATATCAAAGAGATCACCGCCGGGACAATAGCTTAGTACAAGAATTGCCCTAGTTGGCTCAATGTTCCATGCCTTGAGGCGAATTAGAGACGGATGGTTGATACACCGCATGATCTCCAGCTCGCGCTTAAGGCTCATTTCAATACGATCCTCAGAGGCGCCGCCTTTTGGGCCATGCTCACATATCTTGATGGCAACGAGAGTGCTGCGGTCATAACAAGACCGCGGTGCTGAGCCTGAGATAGATGAGCTTTGGGTAGCCGGGCCTGTATCCTCGCTGGACAAGGACATCCGGTTTGTGGCTAACATAACACGACTGAAAGTGCCCTGGCCGAGCAGCTTGATAGAGCGCCATCGCCGTCGTTTCTGATCATCCCGACCAAGGGCCTCGAAGTACTCTTTACTCTGGGTAGTTGCCTGCCCCCCCCCGGAAGGCGCCGCTCCATCGCCCATGAGCATAGACGATTCACTTGGGGGGGGCGTCGGTGGCTTTTCAACAGGTGTGATTCCGCGAACTTCAGAGAGGTGAGGCTCACGACGCATGTGTGGCTCATATGGAGTTTCAGCGTTTTCTTGACCAGCATCCTGTTTGGAATGAGTGGCAGAGACAGTGACCATTCGAACTGGCGATAGCACCGGATTGGGGACATATTCGCTGAGGCTTCTCCCCCGTGTGTGTGCTGGTTGGATATCGGAGCGCATATGGCCAGTCTCGGGAGGTCGCACTGGGTTTCCAGCGAGCAGCTCAGCATAGGCTTTTCTCTTTGCTTGGTGCGCCAATGCGGCGGTGAGGGATTCGCCGTTCGCAGTAACAAGGGCAGAGTCAGGCATCCCTGTTACCAAATGTACAGGGGTTTCAATCGGAGGTGAACGGCCCAGCTTTTTCCAGGGCCCTGGCGAATCTCCAGACAATAACGGCGAGGGTAAAGGGGTAACGTCCCCCATAGCCGAAATTATTGGGCTCGGGACGGTAGAGCTGGCTGCAGAGGCAGTCCCAAAGCCGTGGTAGGCGGTGGTCTTGAGACTAGGTGTACGAGACACGGGCTGCAGAGACGTGTTTGAACCTTTGTGCTGCAAGGTAATCGTTGAAGGGCGTACGTAGCCCGAGAACGGCGTGGAGGTGATGCTCCCTGACGGGGACACATTCGAGGTCACTGGGTCCGACGTTTGACGGGGAGTGGACGACGCTGAGGCCAAGGATGAATCGGCGGACTGAACATCTGTCTGAAGTCGCAAGGAATGAAGTCCGCTAGTACGAGCTGTGCGAGCGTAGCGGCTGCTGAACGGAACGTCCGACTCCCGATCAAGATCGTTCGTGGAGGGCGGAGAGGGTGTTGGGGAGGAGCGTGACTGTGGTGGTGACGGAGCAATCGTTTGAGATCGGAATTGAACGTCGCCTGTAGGGAAGCGAGCGGGTGTTGTTATAATCGTCGTCTCCGTTTCCACCGTCGCAGCTGTTGCCGCCGGGGGCGAGTCAGATGACAACGTCAAAGGTAAGGCCAAAGAGGTAGCAGTCACTGGGACAGAGACCTCGTTTAAAATTGGAAGGTCCACAGCGTGCGTCGTGGACGTTGTGGGAGGGGTGACAGTATGACAAGAGCTATCATCGAAACTTGAAAGCATAGGACTGCCCGGCGTATCTATAGAATCGGCAACAGGTGTTTCTGAACCACAACGAGAGCCTGGGTCATGGGGGACAGCACTGTCGGTGCTTCGTGGCGTCTGAGGCAAAGGGCTGTGGTCCATGATGCACGTCGTGGTGCCCGGTCGAATCAACATACGCAGAACGCTTCGGGGCAACTGCCGGAAGGCCGCCTCGGACGGTGAACGGTCCGGATCGTCGAGTCTGTCAAGCACTCGGAGCGTATTTCGAAAACGTGAGAAATTATCGAGCGCGTCAGTTTGTGGGGAGGCGGAAAAGACGCAAGGTGCCGGAGAAAAGTTGCCGATAAACAAAAGAAGATATAGCAGACGCCGTTCGTCTTGGCCGATACTCAAAGCTGCCAACCGAGAAACAGTAACACAAGTGAAAGCTGCAAAACTGCAAAATCAGAAAACAACGGGGGAAAATCGGCCCGGCGCAACGTCCGCAATGCGCTGGGCGGAAAATGATGTGTGACTACCGGTCGAAGGATAATGTCGCGATAATATTGACAGGACAAAGATATGGTTGCAGCACAACGGCATGAGTGGCGAGGCTGGCCAGACGAGGCACCGACACACAGTGTCGGCTTGGAGCGTGTTCGCAAAGCATTCGAAGCCGAGTCCACAGTCACCACGATGCCTCCTTTTCGACCTGGCAATGGGCAATTCTCTCTGGCTCTTGCCTGGGGGGGCCGTCATTGACAGCTCCATTTTTACAAGGGATTACGCATTTGAGTCAGCCGTGACCAGGCTAAACCAGCTGGCCAGGCTGTTTCGAGTACTACGTACAGAATACTTAACTCGGCAATACGCCCAGGCGACGCACAAAGTAACGTAACGAGCGGTGCCGTGCATTAGGCTCGAAACGGCAAGCGCGTTGTTATAGATTGCAGCAGCCAATCACAAGCACATGGCAGGCCACCGTCACACACCACTGGACCTCCAGGTCTCTCCCATGCTATGTTTTGCAGACACGTATACTACATACGGAGTCGGCTAGGGACGATAGGATGATAGGAAAACCACCTTCCGTAGAAAAGAACTTTTCCCATCCCATGTCCTGTCGTTTCCCCAAATACCCACCCCATTAAGACTCTGCTTGTATTCCCAAACTACATGCACCCGCTACTGAACTGCACTTTTTTGGTTTTGGGAGGGGCGGGGAGGTGGCCTTTTTGACACAGAATGAATTTGGTCTGGCATACTGAGGTAAAGGATCTCTCGTATGTGAAAACGAGACATGGCGTGTAAATCCATAGGTGTTGTTGAACAGCATCCACGAATACGTAATAAGGCCATGAGCTCGATTGTGGTCGGCCTTCTGACTAAGCCAGTTAAGTATGTGACAAGAAGGTATGAAAACCTGACATTTTCTTGTTTCAAGAGATAAAACTAAAATAAAGTAAATATCTTACGACGTACATAGGAACATGTACTGCTTCTCTCTTTAAAGTGAAGCAACGGTCGACGGGTTTGTTGGGTTTGTTTCACAGTTTTTTCTCGTATGGCACTGATTCAGTTAGAGCTATCGTTTTATGACTAAGCGATTCACGTACCAGAGACGCGTGAGGTTACTGGGCACTGTTAAATTAAATACCAGTCGCGTCAAATCGCGTCGTTTTCAAGACACGGGCCATTTAGTAGACTTCCGTCGTGTAAAGAAGTAAATAGGTTGTTTTTCCATCCTTGCCTTCAGCCCTCCATACCGTACTCTGCGTCTCAAGCACTTTCTACCATCACGGTGCAAACATTAGACACTGGCGCAAATCAATTTTGTTTTCTTTCCTATTTCCAGACATCATTCGGCCTTCAACTTCAATTTCACATACGAAAAGCTAAGACGGACTACACTTGTGCGTCAACCCACATGATGATCAGACAAGACTTCAACCGCGTTGAGCCCAAGCGACGCAACGTCCTCGACCATCGCAAAAAGCAGTTTGTCGACCCATCTTACAAAGAAGCGCTGTACCCAACGCGCCTCAGCATCTATGCCGAACCCCCAACTTCTGATATCACACTGGAACAATTCGAGCAATG